GTATATGGTATCAAGGACTCTCCAGTATTTCGTAAACCAAACGACATTTATATTTATAATATATCAGCAAATATAAACAAATATATACCCCGGCTTCGCCAGATGTGACGTGCATTAGGTTACGCCCAGAAACTTGTTCAAAACTTTTTTCTTCCTGATTAAAGAAGTAGACTTCTTGATTTTCATCGATCGCCCAAACGTGAGGTGTGATTCCTGTGTCGACTTGTTTCATTAGCTGCGATAATCTGGTCCAAGTTACTGAATTATGCATGGTAAAAAGAGAAAGGGTTTGATAAAGATAGGATTAAGATAATTCGGCTTGGTAATGATGTGATTAAGAAGATCCGAAAGGGATGTAAGGGATTGAACGACTAAAAGAGATTCTGGATAAAATGAAACGCTATATGTTCATTGGCGCTAAAGTTGTTTTATAATGGGGCGTGTGAAATTCCGTCTCCGTGCGAAGGTGCTTGCAAACCTGGTCCAGCAAGAAAAACTTTAAAAATTTGAAATAATTTACAGATAGTAAACCGTTCGAGGTAAGTACGGTGTGCTAAAATCATCGTGCATGCAAGATCACCGCTCCTGTCACCTGCATACGCTTGAAATTGCAAGGCAATCACTATTTTTCTAAAATGCATCACTATTTTTGGCACCACCCATGCACATTCACCAACGCAAAACTATGCAAAACTTACTTCGTCTTCCATCAGTCGTTGTATTTGAGAGCTTTACTTCACTCTGACTTGCGACTTCTCTTGCCGCATTTAGTACGGCAATTATACTGAAAATGTTGGTCCAAAAGCGAAGATGCATAGTAGATTTGAATTGCGCAGTGCATCCGAAGGTTCATGCAGGAAGGTTAACTGGCACAATGAAGAAGTGCATGTTCGTTTCGTAGTAATATAAGCATGGTCGACTGTCACAATGGAGCATTTGATTATTTATGCGGTTTAAAGCAGTTTCAAGAACACTTGATTATATTCGCTTAGTGTCTGCTGTAGCCTTGTGAATTGCGCGGCTTTACATGGTTGTCATGACATCAAACTCGAACTCATCAAAGTACAGACCATTGATATATAGAAAGAAAATAGTTATGAACAGTTATGAACACTTTAGTTGTCGCACTAAAAGGCAACTAACCGTTTCAATTAGTTTAGGCACAAAATCATGTATAACACCAAATATATATTGTTTAAAAAAAATTTAATTTGATATCTGGTTTATCTCTCTGTCACTAAATTTACTTCTGCTTATCATAAGACAGCCCCAGACAGTGGCGTGACTTCAGTTGTGGAGAACTGCTTAGTCTCACTGGTGTGACTCATTTCCAGTCGTCTTCTTTCAATATATTTTGTTATTTAGAGAGTATAGAAATTAAAAACGCCGGCCCGCGCTGTTGCGTGAAAATTACCTGATGACCGACCGTGGTTTCAACAATCACCTTAACTGATAATAAAAGAAAATGAATGTACTATGCATGTGTATAAAAAAAACTGCAACCATAAGCCTAATATTCATATATGTTCGCTTCTTTTCAATAACAAAAGATCGTAGGCCGCTGCATGGGAGTTATTAAGGTTGCAGTTTTTTTGATACACTCTGTAAAAGAATATGACTCTACCACATGCATATGATTTGAAAGCGGTCCGATTCGATCGACATCGGAATGAAAATTGAGCGGAAAATTTCGTTCGATCAATGATTGACATGATTGTTACCATGATTGACAGCGCACCACTGACTTAATTTAAGTACTTTATACCTAAGCATGTTATTCTTGGTGATCAATGGGTTAGAACGATGGGAATACCGTAGCCGTGAGAAAATTTAACTTCGGGTGTATCAGAGAAGTGAAAAACCAGGAAACTTGATCGTATCTTTATATACGCGGTTTTTCAATATTGGTGGAATTTTGCAATCGAACGATATTTCTAACCTGATTTTCTGTTCAATTGCGAGAATTCCACCATAGCGGAAAATAAGCGCATCCCTAGACCAGAGTTGCCAAAAAAATGCAGGTATATGTGGACCATTAGGAGGAGAATCGCTCGGGCCCGGCAAGGTCAATGCAGAGTGGACGAGCCATTCTATGGCGAAATAGATGGTCAGTGATGCACAAAGAATTTTGAGGGCCCAGTAAAAGTCTTCATTTGGCAGGGGACCCAATCTTGCATGCAACAAAAAACACAGTCACAGATCATAGTTGTCAAAGATGTCAAAGGAAGTTTGTCTTTGTCAACCACTTCATTATGCTGGAAAGAGAAATCGACCAAAGTCAAACGCTTAACGACCAACTACTGGAGTCAATTGCTATAAACATACATACAGTATTGTCCAGGAATAACCTAACACTGCAGTTGCGGTCGACGATAGAAACCGCAGACGACCGCAAGGGAAAAAATACGATCGCGGTTGCCGTTCGCTTCCAAACGGAATGTTATGAACTGCTGAGAACGACAACACAATGATCAAATCGAAAACGTCTTAAGAAAGACATGTCAGACCGAATTCGACCGAGGTTCCACATCGGGCTCACCGCGGTTAACCTATATAGGTCGAACTGCAGTTTTTGTTAGGTATTTCTGGACAGTATTGTACATTCCAACGTTTGTCAATGATAAATATTTTCTTTAGGTTTAAGGCGGCTGAAATCTATAACGGATACAACAACTTAATTGCTATCATCCGACAACCCAAGGAATGGAAGATTTACTCTCACGAGCTATGTGCAAAGATGCAAGACCGCCATGCATGCAAAACATTCACTATCAATTTCTTCTATGACCGAAAAATTAGATCTAACGCGTTTTTCTTGTATTGTGGCTTATTTCAGCATTTGAAGTTCAAGACATGCACGCTCGTACAAAAGCGCTTTGTTCTCAATTTTTTTTACTTTTACGGCGGTTGCGTGAACGGACGTGGGAATCTAATCGCGACAAATTTGCGTCTGGGAACAGACAGAAAGTGTTCAAAATAAAAATACTATGTAGAAATACATTCAGCAACCCCTCGCCATTTCAAACAAAGCAAAATTATTATGAAATGAATTAAATGATCAGTTTTGGAAGAAAACACAGTCGTAAAGTAAAATCACCTGTTTTCCTGCTGCATTATGTTGCATGCAGTTTATAGACTTTCACAGTTTAAATGAGAGTTAATGCTTTAGTCTTTACTATAGCTAAACCTGAATTCAAAACATCAAAACAGCACAAATAATTTAAATCCACTAGCACTAAACGTCGAATGTTGTTTTTCGATTATTTATGGAAATCGCGCAGTGATTGCAGTCGACTCTATAAAAGCTTTAAAGTGATATTTGTTATATCAAAACTCCGCATAATACCTTCAAGAATGAAGGAGTCTTTTTGAAGTTAACAATGATGTTAAGCCTTAAATAGAGAAAGAAAAACAAGCCAAAGTCAAAGGCTTAAATGAGCAACTGCAGAAGTCCAGCAATTGCTATAGACATATACGTTCCAACGTTTGTCAATGCCTTTTAAGCCTATATTATGAAATGACTTATGTAAAGCCGATAGCTGATAGTTCAAATTTTCTGAAGTAGTCAGTTAGGTCGACATACGAAGCTCATAAATAAAATGCATTCTTACAGCAAACGCGAACAAAATAAATACCTACCACTTCAAGGATTATAAACTACACGTTCAAATTTTGCGCATGCGTGCAAGTACCATGACCATGGAACGTCCAAGGTCCATGACATAGAATTTGGGCAACTATGTTCTGTCACATACTCGGGTGTGATTCCTAATCTCCGGGCGGAATTAGTACCCTCGCCCGGCGCTTCGCACCGGCTCGGGGATAAACTTGAAGAACATTAGTATTTTCCTACGTCGAAAACCGTTGTGACGTATTCACCATAAAGGTCAATTATTACCGACTGATTAAAACATACATGCTGAAAATCGTCATTCAGCTAATCCATAGATCATGACGCCATGAGGCGAGTCATCATTCCGCCTATAGTCATTTGCTCAAGCCACACCCATTTTCCTCAATGACCACACCCAATTTCATGCTTCAGATGTTTCTTGAAGTAACATAAGTCAGCATTTTGAACATTTTGGAGAGTTGAAATATTTTTAGAGTTGCTATGGACTCGTTTTTGTGTTTCCGGAACATAGTGGATTATTTAAAAAATTCCAAAATTGCGCTTTTCATTCACGCTGTATATGATAATGCTGTATAAATGTACAGTCTGTGCCATTTTTCACCTCTTCCGGCCTGAGAAATCCCAATAAATAAATTTAAACAATTGGAAAAGATCCTATAGTTTCTAATTAATACTCTCTCCTATCTCCATCATTTCCTGTGCCGGGCAAAATGTACACTAAGCCCCCGCTTAAGTCGGCAGTCGGCTCGCGTTTGCCGTGAATAGTGAATACCGCATAAATGATCGATTATTGGGAGTGGGTACGCTACGGTAGCTACCTGACAACCCCTCATTTGCACCCCCGTATACATGCTGGTGCGTGACCAGCGTGTCAATTACATGGTTGTCAATTACAAAATTTTAAATTAGTTCACCTTTGTATTAGCGCTGGGCCGCTGGCATTTACCCTGTCATCTCTGTTGGGGTCTTATTCAGACACTGTATCAGTGTCAGCAGGCTTTGAGATTAAAGACAGTGAGTCATGAGCATGTAATATGGAACTTTTATTTTCAACGCCCCTATCTACTTTGAGACTTCCAGACTTCAGTATGGTTACCATGATGATTCACTACCAGTACCACTAAATATTTAATATCACCAACGAAAGTAGCAAATATCTGACAAGTAAAAAGTTATGGCAGAAGTGGAAAGTTTGATTTTATTCCTGCTACGCACTGGTCATTCACAGGCACCGTTATCTACAATAAAGTCAATATTCAAATTCGTTTTCTTTATTTGCATAACAACATAACAACAGATATTGTCGGCACCTTATTTACATATGCGTCGCGCTAAGCAATATTGTTGTTAAATGTGAGATGATGAATTAAGTAGCTTTGATATTGTATTATAATTATATGTCTGCAAACTTGAATTTCATACGAACTCGATGCTATGATTGTGCCATCTTCGAACTATCGATTGGATGGGTTGTAACGTTGCAACTTTATTCACTATTGGCCAAAGATGAGCTGTGCAAAGGTGTCAAATTTCAAACACGCAAGTTGTAACAATATAACACATAATAAAAACAAATGATTTTGCCAAGTTTGAGCCGCATCGCTCAAGTCAGGCAATGTTCAACCAAAAAGTTTTAGTACTTTTAATCATCGTGACTGCAGTTATATGTCTGGCTTATTGTATAAACCTATTTTACTTTTCATCGGGCCTTGTACAAGTGAGACCGATATCATACGAATCTCCAATTTTACAAATACGGCGTTTCGAAATAAATGGACACGATATTATGGTGTTTTTACACATGCAGAAAACTGGCGGCACTTCTTTTGGTAAAAATTTGGTCAGAAATCTACGTCTGGAGAGAACATGCCATAAAGTAGTGTCAACGAAATCTCGATTCATGTGTAAACGACCTAACTCAGACGAATTTTGGTTATATTCTCGATATTCAACTGGCTGGATATGTGGGCTTCATGCAGACTGGACCACATGGACAAGTTGTCTTCCAAACGTTTTGAAGCAGAGACTTAGCAAGGATCGTTTAAATAAAACCAAGATATTTTATATTACTCTTCTGCGTGACCCGGTTGACAGGTTCTTGAGTGAATTCAAACACGTCCAACGGGGGGCAACATGGATCTCCTCAAAGTTCATTTGCAATAACAAGCCATACAATCCGCCTGTTTGCTTCAAAGGTGCAAATTGGAGTAATGTTAAATTATCGGAGTTTCTCAACTGTCCATATAATTTGGCATTTAATCGACAAACTCGAATGCTGGCAAATTTAACCGAGATCGGATGCCACAATAACGATACTAAGAACTTCAGTAAACAATATGGCAAGGCCATGTTGGAGAGTGCCAAGCGAAATCTTCGCTCAATGGCGTATTTTGGACTTGTGGAATATCAAAGAGAAAGTCAATACTTATTCGAAAAGACATTTGGGTTGAAATTTAAGAAAAAATTCTCCCAGGTTCCAGTCAACGAGACTATTAGCAGCAAGGCTTGGGCGTTATTGACTCCAAGACATCTGTTGCAAACACGTAAAGTCACCAGGCTAGATCGTCAACTGTACAGTTATGCAAAAGCGTTATTTTTTAAGAGGTTAAAATATATTGAAAGATTGACGAAAGCGATGAGTTAGCCGGACCATACTTATCAAATTCGAATATAAAGACTAAAATATAAACAATACGAGCAACAAATTGTTATACAACTTGCAACAAAACATGATTTCGCAATCACACGAATAAAATTTTAATATCATTCGTTGAAATCAGTGTATCGAAAGTTGTAGCAATTTTGCTGCATGTAATTGCGCTATTGGTATGTGATATTTTTCTTGTACAAACTGAAATATAATGTATAATGAAGCCATAGTGATGTTCTTTATATCAACATAGTTTCGCAGCGAGTTCAAATTTCCAGCATACTTCACCTACATGAAGTTTTTCGCGGTAAGCTGTGACTGCATGCTCCGCCACTGCGGTGTCACATGTCTGGGTGTTACGAGATGACGAGAAAGCAGTATCTTACCTATATGAACGAGTCAACGAGTTTTGTGATTGGCTTTTTGTAACACTAATTTGAACACTAATTTGAGGGTAATGACCCTATCCCTCTGCACGCCGCCTTGTACGTCTGTGTGATGAACTTGATTCTTTTGAAAAATTTGAAAAATTGAATAATTGTGAACACTAATTTGAGGGTAATGACCCTTTCCCTCTGCACGCCGCCTTGTACATCTGTGTGATGAACTTGATTCTTTTGAAAAATTTTAATGATAATATTGATTATGATAAAGTTAAAAATTAAATTCTGCAGTTTTCGAAACGCTTGCTATCAGTCACTATCAGTCTCTCTATATATGAAACTTTTCTAAAACGTGGAACTGGAAATTTTTATCGGTCAAAAGTGTACAGAAACATAACGCCTTTGTGGACAGCCTCGATCAGTGAAAAGAAAAGATAGCGAGACATCCCTACGATCCTCACTTCGCGTTAAGGTTTGCAAAATGTGTTGGGGATCAAATCGTCAAAAATACGAGCGCTCCGCATAAAAAAATGGGGTGTGGCAAGATTTGTTTTTTGAAACCCCAGCATAATCTCCTGGGCTTTGATCTGAACGAGAAGAGGGCTGTCAGACCCCCCATTTTCCCAACGGCTATGGGACTGTAATTTCTTCTAAAAGCCTATGAGGTAGCAATAGGGAAAACCCTGAAATGCTCATTTGTATTTTCGTGGAAATTTCCCGTATCAAGTTGCTCGCGGGCATCGCGGGTTGGGCTCTACATTCACAGCTATGTAGCATTACAACTCGTTTCCCGAGCCAGGTTTATACATGTATTACTATCTTCAAAATTCAAATCAATTCATTAGTAATAGTTGCGGGTTTTTGTATGGTTTCTTGTGTTCACGCAAATGGTCATATCTATATTTAGATGTTTCCCAAAGTCTTTGCGGGCGCGCATACACAGAGGAAGTGAATGAGAGTTTTGTCGAAACTAACTTGTGGATTTCTGTAGAATTGAGACATTTTAGATTCACTATAATCTTTAATAAAAGAGTTATATAGTCAAAATTTGAAAGCTCGGGAAAGGATCGTATTGAATATGGCAGATGAAGCACCCCCAGCACCACCAATGAGGTCGACATCGCATAAAGATGCATTATCGCCGGCCTCTTCCAAACCTCTTCCGAGCACTCCTAGTGAAGGCGAAAATCTTAGTTTGAAGAAGAAAAAGAAAGCAACGTTTACATTCTTCCCGAACAAAGGAGATGATGAAAAGAAATGTGCGTAAATCTGAGGATTTTAGTAATTCTATCTGTGAATTTGATGGCCATTACTACCGTTCGCTTGATTGTTGTGATATGAGACGTTGTATATGTCGATAATATTCACCAAGTACTTTTTTATTCTGCATAGATAACAAGAAAAAGCCTGAAATTTCATATCCTACGAAGTTTGAACACACGATTCACGTTGGTTTTGATCCTGTAACTGGCGAATTTACGGTAATAAATAAATGTGAAAAACACTGTCTGGCAGTTCTCTTGACAGAGCAGACTGTCTATGCTAGCTAAACTATGCTCAGCCCTATTATCATATTCGTATTAAACCTGTTCTCATTTACCGTGATACGAAACTATAACTTTTATTATATTTCGGTCCTTTATTTTCATCTACCTTTGCCAAAATGGTTTCTATATGTTATAAATTCCTGTCGTGTTTTCATACGAGAAATTTGATCTTCATTTTCATCAAAATTGTTATTCAAAGGAGCACTGCTCTGTTTATATACACACTGCTAAATCCGGTCTGTGAATTGCATGACTTACACTCGAATTTGCCCCTATTCTCTGCGGTTTCATTTTCAATACTTTTGACTATATATGTATGTAGAAGCACTAATGTTCAACGATCAGAGTCAAAGTGGGCTTTTATATAAGAGACCAAAGTTGTCACAAGAAACTATTTTATTTAGTTGAAAAAACACCAGGACACTATAGCAAGTTTACACAGAACAACACCCATTGTGTATAGTTTTGCATCCGTATTGTATCCATTCAAGTTCGCTTTAAATATTTACTTGTGTAAATTATATTTGACAGTGTCTTACTATATTTTTAAAGAATTTTTCGCTTTTCAAACTGACTTCCTGGTTTAATTAAATAACATCGAATAACGTAATTAGAATTTTCCAACTGATAATAATGTTGCAAATATAGAAGTATAATTGCTCCTGTTTTATTTGAAAAAAATTGAAATAGGAGCTTGTTCATTCCAGGCCAATACTAAGGAATAAAAAACCATGGACATGTCTGTTGTATGTTGATATATTGTAGGTACTAAGTTCAGACATTTAGTCCTATTCTTGTCTTTTTATGTATGCATCAATACTAATTTTATTATGTTATTTTGATGTGAACTGTGATAGTAAGTTGAATACATATATGTACAATAAATATGTGACATTCTTTTGTAGGAAGTCTTATTTGACCCCTGATATTTATGACCCTTTATGGACAAAAGTCATTAGTTGCCTTGTCTTTGTTGATAGTTGAGCATGTGTCTTGTATTGTTGTTTAACTAAAAATCTGCTCCATTTTGCTATGTCATTTACTTAAACTTTAAGTTTTTTCTTGTTAATTTTTAATCACTATTATGCAAGAAATCTTGAAAATAAATTGCTTCCATGGCAGCTTTTAGTGTAAAAGAATAAGCCTGTTCATTGCTCCCCCCTAATTTTTAGAGACATGTTATTTATATATGACTGATTTTTCCCTTTTTCTCCTAGACCTTCTATAAACATTTCTCCCAAATTATGTTGTTTTCTTTGTGGTTAATAGAATTGACTATATACATAAGTAGTTCACCTTTTTAAAAGAAAATTTAAACTTAAGTGAATTATTTGTGAGATATTATGATTAGTATCAATCATGTGAGCAGAAAATACTTCAAATTGAACCCATGACCTTCGGTTCACTAATCCATTGCTGTGCGAAGTGAGCTATATAAGGTCAAATGGGTTCCTGATTAATGCATTTAGGAGAGAATGTTATATAGAGTATATATTTTGGTCTTCACTTGTTTATGCATTTTGTATTTCTCTGAAACATTGCTTTGTACACTTCATATTCTAATTTACATAGCAATCTAGCGTAAACTATGTCAATTACATGCCTTCCTTATATTTTTTGATTATTTTTTAGGGAATGCCAGAATCCTGGACACATCTTTTACAAACTTCAAATATTTCTAAAAAAGAACAGCAACAGAATCCTCAAGTATGTAGAATTTTTTTAGTCAAAAAACCCATGATGTGTCATTAATATAAATTCCAATCAATTGAAATTGCTGTGTTATTATTGCATACCAGTATAATATTATTGTATATCATACCATACCTATGTCCACACAATTAATGTTATATAGGACAACAACATAAAACATTTAATTAATTAAAATGATCTGCAGACATTAGCTTGCCATATAACAAAGTGTTAATTTACTCAATGTTCAGTCATTTTCTCTGAGACCTCTATTGCTGGATTTCCTCTTGCAAAGAGATAAAAAGAAAATATGCGAATATTTCTTTAGAGAACTATTTCTCTGCAAGTGGAAATCAAGCCTATTAGCCTTGTTTTGGGATTTGGATGTATAATCAATACTTGTTCTTTTTGTAGGCAATTTTAGATGTATTAAATTTTTATGACAGTACTAACAAAGAAACAGAACCTGCAAAGTTTATGCAAGTTTCCAAGCCATATAGTAAGTCTTTTCTTAAATATTACTGTATACATATATAAAGTTTAGAACCTACAGTAAATGCCCAGCATAACAGATATAAAGACAGTTACATAAATTGTAATATACTGTTTATCATGGTATATATCTCACTACGCATCATCAACCATCTACCACCAAAACATCATTCCAAGGGTGATCATGCAGATCAGTACAGTTTTTACATATCAACTTTATGGATAGCATTCTCATCATAATGTGTGTAATAACAACATGATTTTTTATTATTCTAGGTAGATTAGCACCCTCACTATGTATGAAGTGTTACAAAATACTGCTATTCCAATTGCTAGGGATATCCCATAAAATGAAATATTTGGGATTTTATCATAGCATAATTAACTTATAACATGTGGTTTTGTGTGCATATTGTGTGCACACACCAAATTATGCACACAATGGAACATCATAAAATAACGTCCCTTATTGCCTACTTTGTTGCCTGTATACCATTTACCATTATACATATATTTCTCACGAAAAATTCTTTAATGCTAAAATATGTAATTGGCCATATTTTGGTGGAGGCAATTAAACACTTGTGCAAAAGATGCAATAATGAGATGCACTATGAGAAAGAACAAACTTGAACATGAATTTTGGAAAAGAAACCAGGTGATATAGGGCTAGGAAGCATGGCACGTGTTATTCTTGATCTGGAGTAAATATTTTATTACTGGCTGTGTTTCTGTATTCCACACTATTATCAAGTTTAAAAAAGAAGAAATGTAGATATAATCTCATGTGCTTTACGTATTAACAAGAAATCCAACTACTCTAACAACATGTTTTTCAGACATTTCATCATTTTCGTCCTCCTCGTCGTCATCATCATCATCAACGTCGTCTTCGAGTACTGGTCATATTTCACCAGTCAATGATAAAGCTGCTAAACCTAACATAAAGTCTGCTCGAATCACTAAATCACACTCATTCAAGTCAAGACTTAAACTCATTAAAACTGAAAGCAAAGCTCAAAAACTAAACGGACTTGATAAGACACTAAATGGTAACCATCCACTAACTCCGAGTAAATCATTACCAGATGTTGTGCGAAATAATAGTAGAAAGTGTAAGACTCCAACGCCAGGTAAACAGTTGACTCATCCATATTCTCGGCCTCGTACTGGCTCGCTTGACGCAGGCTTGTGTGCTGTGAAAGGTAGAGTACATACGATAAATGCATGTTAAAATAAGTTAAATGTTTAAAAGAGTAGAAATATACACGTGAGTGACCTAACACGTCAGTTTGGTTTGGCCTAACCGAATTTTTCTTAAATATAAAATGGAATGAATGTTTACAACAATATTGAACTACCATTACGGTAATACAAAATAATAAATATGCAATCTAATAAAGTTTTGCTTATAAAATATTTACGTGGGAATAAAACAATAAATTCGAAACGATAATAGTTAAAACTCGGTCGGTTCATGAGTCGATCATATAAATTAGTGGAGTGGCTCCCAATTGATCGATTACTCGATTAATCTATTACGTTTCTACAGTCGAATACAAACATCCTTAGAATTGTTGTCGACGATTAATCGATTACGAAAATTATACCGATGAATGGGATCAGCTCTATAAGATATAGCATTGTTTTGCTGTATAATTATCTGTGTTGTTCACGTCTTCATCTATAGATCAACCATACCCTCCTGGATCAACAAATAACTATTCTCAAATGGCAGTTTCACCAAATGCAAAAGATGTGAGTGAAAAAGGAATAATCTAGAAGCTAAACATGACTGTATATAAAATGAAAGGAGATGAATTGGTTTTGTTAGATATAAAAAAAATCCTGTTGAGGTTTCAAGCGCTTTGCCTTGAGCTGCAGGGGGTAGCCCGCTAGGATATGATCTGAAAAAAATGTTGGCTCCTGATTTTTATTGTGTACTTTGGAATGTCGATGTAAATTATACTGCACTAAAATCGTATAATCGTAACACTGATAGTATTTCTATTTATACAGCACGATCATGAACACTTTTTGGTGATTTTATTGGGTTTCAATTTGTACACTGGGTGAAATTGGTAATTTGAATTTTTTTTGTGCACAGGATGGTAAAAGTGGGAGAAGTGAGAATCATATATCACCACCAACCAGCGAACCCGAGAAGCCGCCAACTGTACCATCTCGACCAGAAATCACGAAATCAAAGGTAGGTTCCAAATTCCAAATTCCATCCAGTGATAAACCGAGATCTTTATTAATAACCTAGAAAAGTTGAGGTTTTCCACATTTTACATATATTTTCCTTCTACAGATTTGTCGTGTTTCGGACAGTAATACGACGTAATATGTTAATTTAGACAAACGTCACATCGCATTTAAACGTTCTGCATGTCTGTGTCCATGCATGCAAAATTCACGACCCGGCGTCATATAGTTGAGCGTGCATGTTGGCATGTCATTCCTGTCTCATGATGACTTTGAAATAAGGTCGAAAATATAAGTCGAAATTCGAAAACTTGTTTTTCTGTCGTTCTAGTATATTCCGAATGAACCAGTCAAGCCGACAGGAAAACCAGATGAAAAAGAAGGTAAATAATACACATATAATATACCCCATCTTTCATTAAACATCTTTAATAAAGATTAGCCATGCATGCAAACGTTTGTGTATTCTTGCCTTGTTTAGGACAGAACGATAAGAACGCTCAAGCAAAACAGAAGAAGAAGAAAATGACAGACGAGGAAATTCTTTCCCGACTAAGTAAGGTTTCGTTAAATAATTAACATTCGTACTCTAGGTATATATTTCGTTTTTAAAACAAATGCCTAGCAAAAAATAAATGAGACTAACTAAAATTATATTTTACATTCCTAAAACATATGATTATTTTCCAATAAAATGCCAGTAGTCAGATATAGCTTCACTGAGTTAATCCAGCCTCATACGACCAATAATGGCAATATACTGTTGTAATACGTAATTATCAGCTGCTAACCCAGCAGGTGTTAACATTACATCGAAGAGAGTGACTGGTGTTTTTATTATATAGTATTTACGTAATCTATATTAATTCCTTTTATATATACCGTTATAGCTACGTTATTTTTCTCCAGGAACAATCGTTACCGTAAGAGACCCTAAGAAGAAGTATACCAAATTTGTAAAAATCGGTCAGGGGTAAGTTCTGAATTTAATTTATAAATTTTCATTATGCACTCTGCAATTTGATTGTTGTATTTCGATCTTGAAGTGGCATTTCAATCTTTTATATAATCTTCTAGAGCATCAGGAACTGTTTATACCGCCATTGATGTGGCTACCGGACATGAGGTACTGATGAGGATTTATGTTCATGTGTAAATCATTCTTGTTGTAAAACCGTCGCTGTTCGCTGTCTCTTGAAATTATTCCTCTTTCACTGTTAGTATTTATTAATCATTTTTTAGGTTGCTATCAAACAAATGAATTTATCACAACAACCGAAGAAGGTAACATTTGCATAACATGTATAACAGTCGATATTTTTTAGAAGTACCATAACGCTGGTTTTTATTGTTCAGGAACTCATCATCAACGAAATTCTTGTGATGCGAGAAAACAAACACGCGAATATTGTGAACTATGTCGACAGTTATCTCGTGGGGGAAGAACTCTGGGTAGGATGACATGTGATCAGACTTTAGGACTATATAAGAAAATAGGAGAATCTCAAATAAAATAATATTTATCTTAAAACAAATATTTGCTTCGATATGAATAGTGGTCGTTTGTAAGGAAACATACTCTTCTTAATGTTACATCACGGTTTCCTTGCAATCTTCTAATTTACGTCGTAATACGTCATAATTTCAATGCTAGTACATGGTATATATTTGGTTAGTATATATGGTGCATGGTATATATTGGGTCATGTTGTAGTTAGATTAAGCTTAGTTGTAAGAACTTCTAAACTTTTCATAGGTTGTAATGGACTATCTGGCTGGGGGTTCATTAACAGATGTCGTGACTGAAACATGCATGGACGAGGGGCAAATAGCGGCTGTTTGTAGAGAGGTATAACATCATGTTCGAACCATACACATCGGAAAATCTTGCTGCAGGTTGATCCTTAACTCGTGGTCTCGAGTATTCAAAATTGAATTCGACTCCACATCTATTTTATACCGTTGTTTATTATGTTAGAAGGTTGCCATTGTGTTATGCAAGAAACCAATCTCCATTGATTTCGCGTATCTATTCCCCTATACGTATTATAAATCATTCATTTCTATGTATTTTCTCTGATCATTTGTTATACCTTCAATGTATCATAGAAATGATTCATTTATATAAGGCTGTATTATATATAAGTCGATCTTATAATAATTATTCTCTTGAATTTTAAGGTTCTGCAAGCATTAGAGTTTCTCCACAGTAATGGTGTCATTCACAGGGATATAAAGAGTGATAATATTTTACTTGGAATGGATGGCAACGTTAAACTAAGTAAATTCATACGCAAATGTTTTTTTTTCTAAAATATTTTTCCAATTGTAAACGGTAAAACAGTATTGTTAATGTCGGATTACCATGCATGTTCACCATATCAGTATCAACTTCGAATGTGATCGATGGTTTAGGAAATATGATGGTTTTGGTGATTATGGTGTTAATAGATTTTGCAATAATTTTTTAGCTGATTTTGGATTTTGCGCCACGATAACACCGGAACAAAGCAAACGGTCGACAATGGTTGGGACACCTTACTGGATGGCACCAGAAGTTGTGACGAGGAAGGCATATGGTCCTAAGGTACTTATTCAACACGATCCTTAAATGCTGTGGTACTTATAGACTTAGCTTAAAGTCCTAGCTCATCCTGGGCATAGTCGATGAGTTAAAAATATATATAAAAAAGAAAAACTTTCGTTGACATGCAATGTTGATGCAATTCTTTGGGAAGTTCATCATCACTGATTTTATGGGTATTACTCATTTTGTAGTTAATTCTCTTTTTAATTTCATTCTAAATTAGTTTGGTTTTCATCTGGATTTGCGTAAATGCTTTCAATAATAATTAAAGCATGTGGAAGTTGTAATGGAAATGTAATTGCTCCATTGAACTCAAAAGAACTTTTGAGTTCACTGAATTGCTCAGAGCGTATTTAATGAATGTCGTAAAAGAACTTTTGAGTTCACTGAATTGCTCACAGCGTATTTAATGAATGTCGTAAAAGAACTTTTGAGTTCACTGAATTGCTCACAGCGTATTTAATGAATGTCGTAATAGGTTGATATATGGAGTTTAGGAATTATGGCAATCGAAATGGTAGAAGGGGAGCCTCCATACCTTAATGAAAATCCTCTCAGGGTAGGTGCCGCCATGGCTGCATATATAATACGTTCGATATCGTGTCATGTAGTCACGGTTCAGTATAACCTATATAGGTCACCGTTTGATATTTTGTCTTGACTTCTTCAACATGCAGGTTGCAAGCATACAGAACTACAACATGTACATATTAAAATTTTAACTAGACGCAGGAATTAAAATTTTATTTTACAGGCGCTATATTTAATCGCCACTAATGGAACGCCAGAGTTGGCTCATCCTGAAAAACTGTCACCTGTTTTCAAAGAATTTCTAAGTTATTCGTTAGAAATGTCAGTCGAAAAGCGTTACAGCGCAAGACAACTTTTGCAGGTAAAACGATTGTATTAATAATTCTTTGAATAAATTGAATAAATACTTATCAAACTGATACATTCTCAGTCGTATTCAGTACAAAAAATTGATCGTGTAAGATATTAAATTAGTTGTATTGTTATATTACAGCATCCATTCCTAAAGAATGCAAAACCCCTGGCAAGTCTTGTTCCATTAATTATGGCTGCCAAGGAAGCCACACAAAGACATTGATCGTGTACCTCAGCACAAGAATATACTGACAAAATATAATTCATATATTCCACTGGTTCAAGAAATTTACCATGCGGACCCTAATTTGAACGAATGAGAAATTACCAGAAAATTTATTATAGTCAGTCAGTTTGAATTCTCGCAACTTGTGCCTTCGAAAGAATAATAATGCGAATACAATAGCGAGTTATGAATGCAAATCCATACCAGAAGAATGGTTTCGCAGACAAATTGAATTCAAGAAACATGATTTAAATTTCTTAAGGTTTATCGTAAAAGAAAAATAGTAGCTCTTTTAGAGAATTTCACTTATAAGTTTAATATAGGATTTCGTTAACGTTTACAGGTTTGCAGTAGAAATTGTAAATATAAAGAAGTGGTGATTTCATGTACAAAGAGTGCAGATGAGGATTCGTATCTCCTTTTGTGAAACTCCACATTTAACTAGAGCTGGACTTTCTCGTCCTAGACATAATTTATGCGGATAATAATTTGTTAGTGGTGTAAGCGCTGTGCACTGCCACAGTGATCGAATTAAGATAAAGCAACATTTTTAACCATCCTGGTGAGTATGTTGAATCATCGTGGATTTTATTACGTCCTTTGGACTGAAAGTCTCACTGTCGTGAGCCAGTCGGCCAGCCAAAAAAGGTATAATGACGTGCTGACTTTCAAAAGGTCTATACACGTGATATATAAGGGCTGCTTTCCAGTAACACGCGCATGAATCCAGGGTTGCGTACGATTAGGCATGTTTTGGTTAACTTATTTGTAATTGAAGCTGGGTAATTGAAGTCAAAGCAATCCTGGCTATTGTATCTTTGGACTTTTTCTAAATAATAAGCTGAGCATAATATTGACGGTACCTAGACCGTAAAAGAGATCGAATATAAATCGTACAATAATCTTTGACGGTACATATAGAATAATCAATTTAATCTAGCCTCCAGCGATGTAATAGAGGATGGTATTTTACATAAATGTCTAGTATACTTGATTTAGCTCGTATTTTACGTCACCTTTACATCAGCGGGATAGGTATAGTAAATCAATAACATCGTAAGTTTTTCTAGCAAACATCACGCGTGAATCAGAGGAGATCCACCCTATGGCAATGAATTCTACACATAACTTAGTCCTTATTCCCTACTTATCACTCTACTGCTCCATGTTTTTAACGCTAACAGATATTATTAAAAAATTGTCAGATTTATTATATAACATGCTTCTTTGATCAAATTCATAATTTATGGTAAACTACAGTGGGATGGTATCAGATAGCAAACACTGGTCAGTTCAACCTGAAAAATAGCAAACACTTATTAGTTTAACCTGGAAAAATCATTACCGACGGTCACAATTACATTTCTAAAGACCTATTTACACTACACGATAAGTTATAGCCTATGCCACAATCCTCATTCAATTTTGTTTAGGTTAGCATTTAAATTGTCATATTTGTACGTGTGTTCATATGTTCACATACGCCAGGGTACGGATCGTATACGACAAATTGTATAGGGTAAATGGGCTTTAAGATACATTATGCTCGCCTTTTCTGTTGCTCGAAAAAAAATCATTGTCCAATTGGGTTGCGTGGGCTCGGGCTGCAGCCCCGATCCAAAAACACTCACCTTGCGCTCAAATTACACATTCAAACAAACTGTAACTTGGTTTCTTTTGGAACGCCATATTTTTCCTTGTTCTCCTCAAAAAGCTGAACCAATGCATCGATATATCTCTTGTGTAATTCATCCAATTCTTCTTGACCTGGCGACAAATTCTTCTCGACTTCAACTGGAGCACCAACTGTATACATTGCAAAACAGTTAAAAGTTTAGAGTGGTTAGATTTGGACAGAATTTATAAATATAACGAAGATGTAAATATAAGAAAAGAAAAAGGCTTTTCTTGTCCCATGCAGGAAAAATAATGCCGGTACCTCGCTAATAATGACTGTGTGACTTTTTTAAATCACAAAAAATGAACTATTAAAAACATGTGATGCCCTAAGGTATAAATGGTTCAAATATAGTGTCAACAACGCCCAGGGGCGTAACTTGACCCTAAGCGTTGGGGGGGTGTGAAGCAAATTTGCCCTACCAAAGGGCGTGACCTGCAACAAATACGCGGAAAAGGGCGTGGCAACCAAATGCAATTATAGCTCTTTTTGATAGGCTGTGAGACAGTTATATATTTATTACGCAAACCCGGCTGCATAAAACTGAAAGCGAGATTTTGATATATATTTCGGAAATTATTGAAATCTACGAGGCGCCACCATGGTTGGCGCCGAGAGAAAGATTTTCGAAAATTCGGTCCTCTAGATCGTCGGAAACGGCCTTCTCAGACTGGCAACTTTCTCTCGAATTGTAAGTCGCACCCACGCCTAATTTTCAAGACTTCCCGCACCCGAACTGATTTTCAAGAAGCGATATCTCCTGCAAATTAAGTTGACTGAAAAATCTCAAGTTCTGCGCATTTGCAGTCTCTCTAACCAGCAAACCCCTATTTGGATCGATTTTACTAACTTACAATTCTTATAGCTGCATGTAAATTTAAAGTTTCGTTAGTTTGTTTAGTATTCATATGGTTTTTTTTATCAATTTGGGCAAAAATTGTCCAGCCTGAACCCAGCGGTCTGCCCTGCAAATTCCCAACAAATTGCCCTACCAAAACACTGTTTTCAACAATTGGGGGGGTGTCACACCCCCCCACACCCCCCCAACAGTTACGCCCCTGACAACGCCATGCATATTTACTCATATACTATCCACATAAAAAATACTAACCAACTGTGTGTATTGGTTTACTGTGTGGCAGTAAACCAAAACTGTATTGAAATATTCCTCGACCATAAAACAGGACTGGAGCAAACGCAATAGTGTTTTGAATTTTCGTTTGTATCTCTCGCAGACGAGATCCTCGGGGATTACTGACCTGTTTGAAAATGTCATTCTCTCCAAAAGAAAATACAGGGACGAGAGATGATCTATATAACCAAATGGAATAATTGCAATACTCACATTTATGACGTAGAACGGTAGAAGAAAACAAAACTATACATGCCTCACTTTGTAAAATCAGTTTCTCAGCAGGAAAATTGTTTTTCCACCCTTTCATGCCGAGGATCTCTGATATTTCAGACAACGAATCTGGGATCGCATCCGTTAAGGAACATTTTTTAAAGTTGTTCACAAACATCGCCAAGTGAAAGTCACCAGAAGGCGGAAACCCTGGGTCCAAGCAAAGGATGTTTTTGAAAACTCTTCTAGCTTAGAAAGCCTCAAACTTAAATCTTGAACAAGAGTGCAACCACAGTGGTGCAACTAACTTTTTATGTAAAACTAACTTTTTCATTTCAACTAATCTTACCCTGTTTGAAGTGCAAGTTTAATAAATCCTTTCCGCTTTTTCAATGTTAAAATGAAATTTCCAGGATGTGCATCCAAGGCCTCGATCGCTCCACCAACGGCGATTACGACAGAGTTTCCGGCGCCTTTCTTTGTCAATATATATTCACAGCTTTCACGCGTGACGTCACACATGCCCGATAACATAATGTAATCTCGGAATAATGGCGGTCTGAATAGAGCTATTTGAAAAGATAATTGGCGTGGAAATAAGCATTGTAATTTTCAAAATTCATATCACACTGACAGGAAACATAGGATGATAGATCAAATTTCGCAAAACAAAAACACTACAGAACAATTCACATGTAATAATATGGTGCGCAAAAGGAAGTGTATGACTGCTTGCCAATGCATGCAGTCACATACTCACACACATGATTACAATAAACTTTTTGTATGATTTATCATTATGTATGCCAAAGCTAGAACAAGCTGTTCATATTATTTCGCTTACTCGAGATTAACCGAAGCATAAACTGTTTGAAAAGAGTCTTTGAAACCAGACAATCAGGATCACGTCATTCGCTTATTTCAATTTCTCGAATTTATTTTCACGCTTCGTTTATTTTCGTATAAGCGTGATGGACTGCCCCTATTCTTACCCATAAGTGGCAGCAAATGAGGAACAATACCAGGAAAGACAGTCGAAAAATCGGTTGCCTCTGTCGAAAAATTGCAGAACGCGCCCGCACAGAGTATGCCATGGGGATGATACCCAAAAATATAATTTTTCTCTGGATTCAGCTCCGCTGTCTTGACCAGCTTGATTGGAAAATAGTCCCGAAAATATTTCCACAGTCGTAAACGACGAACAAATTCTACTCGACGTCCGCCGTGGCTTGGAGTTCCCGAATCAAAGATGTAAGCCCAGGTAAGGTACAATAATGCAAGTGGATAATACGAGGTGAAAAACAAACCTATGATAATACATGTACCAACAAGGGCTCCAAAATAAAATGAGTAATAAAAGAGAATAACCGCCGTTGTCTCAATACGCCGATGAAGTGGTATACGCAAAGGAGCAAAATCAATCCAAGCCATGGTCGTTCAAGGGTAGTTTAACTAGTCTTGTTATTGTGAGATATCTGATATCCTTCCAGTGAGACATTTCGCTGCTGGTTGCCTGTCACGTGATCCATGTTGTGGACTATCAAGTTCGTTTACACATACTTGTGGTCTTTCGGTGGCCCGCAAGGGTCAGGACAAATACCTGCAACATGTTTCGCCTGTGTGAGTGTTTCGTAATATAATTTTGTCGCTTGGACTTGTTCTTGTGTTTCAAAAACATGTCGCTCGGCCTTGTGTAAATGTGTGTCAACGACGAGCTGCAGCTGCCCCATGCAGGTGCGTGGGGAACGAGACTGGTTTGGAGGGATTTGGTATTATAGTTGACCAACTTTTGTCATACAAACGTCCAACATTTTCATCCGTATAACGGAATACGCTTTTCGGAGAGGTTTAAAAGCAGTGATATAAGTGTAGAAACATTGGGTGAGGGACTTTCACAGAGCACCACTGCGGTTAACCTTGAAAATGTTTCAATTCAAATCCTCTAAACAGCCAATTTTGAGTAAGACCTACAGTATTAATATTCGGAAATCAGTGGCGAATCTATTTTAGTTTAATGCTGTATTTTTCTGACGAATAACAAAGCGCTTTGACCAATGTGGAAGCAAAATACCCTGGGTATAAATACGCAACTAAAGTTACTTTACCAACTGAAATGCACTTTTGATAGATGTGAACGAGTGAATTGGTTACGTTTGTTCAAATAAGAGCTCTTATATATCAGCATTCATAAAAACAAAAGCTATAAAGGTTAGAAAGGTTACATTCAGCATAGAGATCGGGGGTTTGACGGTGCCCTGACAAGAGGGTTACTCCTTAAGTTTTACCGACGAGCACGTTGTACTTGATAGAATAATTCATAAATTAAAATATTTTTTAAATGACTTTTTAAATCCTTTTTAGTGCAATAGTGTACAAAATAGAAATCCGTCGGGCAGCACTGAATATATGAATAAACACCACCCCCCCAATTATCGTTCTAAAATATTATTGTACCCTTTAGTCATGCCCCGAGCAACCCTGCCTAGTTGCCGCATAGACTATCGAAGGGAATAGACTGTCTAAGGGAACAGACCTAGTTGCAGCATAGACTACCGACCTTCGATACAGTTAAATGCCTTCGATAGTCTATGGTTGCAGGGCGGTTATAAGATAACCATCTTATAACAGCCCTGATGGTTGCAGTGAACCGTGTAACCTGCGAGGGCCAGTCAACGCTTGGGCCAATCACTGGGGCCAATGGTTGCGTCCTGTGGTTGTGTTATGTTGTTTTAGGGAATGTTTTAGGGCACTTGCTGTGCTATCTACGTCAGAATAGGAGATTGCGCAGCAACTGAGATCTAAAAGACGTTATATAAAAAGGTTCTTAGTCCAAGAGCAACAATGTTTTCAAAAATCGGAAGGTCGATTTCGTCCCAATTTAATCATAGAAGACAGGATTTAAAGAAATGTTTGGAATTACAGATAAATTCGTACATTATTCGCAAGACAGTTTATCGACGTGTCTCGAATCTTTCCAATGAGTCAGACACTATGCGAACAGGTATTTAGTCGATCTTAGGCAAATCATCTAAAATTTATTATCCATGTAAATGAAATAAAATATTTCGATTCCCTCTGCTACCTGTCAAGGGCTATTTCTCGATTTACAGCAAACCCAAATGCAAACATTGGACTTCTGATAAAATCAGGCCATTAGTGATATTTTTAGGGACATACATCGAGAAAGAGCTCATTACAAAGGGTTATAATGAGCCATATTTGAATTTTGAAAAAAATTGTGATGAAATTTTTGAAATACCTTTCTCAAATAGTTCTACGTTTTTTATAAATCAATTATGATTTTTGGCACTTCACTTGATGTAGGTAAACTCTAGAGGTTGAAGGGTCTTAATTTAGAGTGGAATAATAATTACAGTGTTTATAATTCCACTTGAAATAAGACCCTTTCAACCTCTACGTTTTTTATAATTTTTTTTTATAATTCTTTCTTTTTAAAATTTCAAATAAGCAATTGACAAGGCAAGAAACTCAAGTTCATACATGAAAGAAGTGTTTAAGGAGCTTGGCAACAGAAATTTGAATGTCACCTGGAGTGATGGCACTGTCTCAAGATTTCCTTATAATTTTTTACGTGATAACTGCAAATGTTCTCAATGTTATGAGTCATCCAGTAAACAGAAACTGTTCAATACTGCAAGGGATCTCAAAAAAGACATTCAAATTGAAGAATTGGTAGTTTTGGAAGATGGTAAGCATCTGAAGTGTATTTGGTCTGGTGGGCATGAAAGCAAGTATCCATTTGGTTGGCTTCACAAAATGAAAATGCCAGAAAAGAATGAATGTCTGAGGAGGAACTCAAACAGCCTTGTAAAGGATGAGCTTATTCTTTGGAATCGGGAAACAATGCGAGATAACATTCCTTTTCAAGATTATAATCTAATGATGAATGAAGATAAAAGTTTATTTGATTCATTGTATTCTTTTTATCAACATGGATTTGTGGTGATTAATAATGCTCCTGCCAGGGATGGTGTTCTGATGGAATTAGCAGAAAGGATTGGCTATATGAGGACAACACATTATGGGTAAGATATGAGAAGGTTATATAGGTGGCCTAGAAATCAGTTTGCTAAGGTTAATTATCCAATTATGAAAATGTTATGTTTTTCTAGTCACCAGATCAGTGACTAGAACAAACATTTATTTACATAATTGGATAATTAAAGTTAGCAAAATTATTTCTGAGCCATCTATGATTATATAATTAATATTAACTTTCATCATGAATGAAAATGACGTCTCTTTGTACAGAATGTAACCTAATATACTGGGCTGAGAGGGGTTTAAAAAGGGGAAATATGCTTTGGGCCCCACGTTTGTCTAAAAATGCAACAGAATTAACAATTGTTGGAAAAATAGTTCGCTTTCCAATGAAATGTCACCGCCAAAATGTAGGATGTTGTGCCTGTTGTATTCTCAATTTCCAAACTTTCTTGGGAGAGTATGCTGGAGAGTATGCTCCCAAACCTTCATCCCCCTAAAAGTGCTTTGTTCCCCCAAAAATAACCCTGGAATGGCACCAAAGCTCCAGACAATGCATTTTTGCATAATTAAGTGAACTTTTTGTGACATTTGCTCAGATTTTGGACCCATAAAGGACTTTTGTCCAGTAAAAAGAATTTATATTCAAACTTTTCAGTGCAACCCAACTTTTCTGTTACATCATTGCAAGTATATGTATGTTCTTTTTTAGAAATACTTTTAATGTAAAAGATATTGAGAATCCTTCCAATTTGGCTTACACCAACCAGCATTTACCCTTTCATACAGATATGCCATTTATGGTAACTCAACCTGATGTAAGCAGAGACAAAATTATATATTATAATTTAGCAAATATTTTGTCTATAAATTTTTAGTGAATAATTTTTAATGCTTCTTAGGAGTCTTGCATTAGAATTTTATCAGTGAGGTTGTAGGTTGTGCAAGTTGTTAGGTTGTAATGCATGACAAAATATTAGGCTTGCCAACAGTTTGTGTTTTTTCCCATTCATTCAGGTTTTTTTAAGAAACATTAGTCAGGGGGGGGGTGAACAAAAAGAACCTAATGGGAAATTGCTAACTTGAAAGTCCTTCTCAGCTGAAGTTTATTGAGAGAAAATCATTAGTTTCTTTTCAACATGGTTTTCATATTGGTAATATTTTTACATCATTTGGCTCATGCTAGAATAGGCACAATTAAGATTTGTTAAAATCTTCATATAGCAGGTTAATTATTGATGGAAAACTAATGTTTACCTAAATTAATTTAGTCAATATATTTTGGACTTTTTAGATTCAGTTATTACATTGCATTAATGAAAACACAGCAGGAGGTGATAGCATATTTGTTGATGGATTCAATGTTGCCAATCAGCTACACAAAGACCACCCAGATGCTTTTGATGTGTTGAGAAATTTTCATGTCCGCTATTGTGATTATGGCACAGATGCCTATAGTGAATTCATAGCTGGTGACTCCAAACCTATTATTAAGTATGGTCTTCAATATAGTTAACTATAAACTCAATATACGTATGTACACGCCTTATCAATCTAAAAGCTCTTGTATAAGAAAACTTGGCTTGTCCTGTAATGCAGTACGATTCTATTAAGAGATTAAGGATGGTATGATTGATAGGATTGTGTATTAGCTGTCGCAGTTGCAGTTGCCGTTTGCGTTGTGAAATCGTATGGTCCCTAAAAAAAGGCCTAATAATAAGCAATATATAACTCTCCCCATGTATTTCTCTTCTTAATTTTCAGGATAGTTCCATGGATGGAAAGTAATCCAACTAATTTGACCAGAAAAAACACACTATAAAAAATGAAATTGTATAAAAATAAATTATAACACAACTATAACAATTGTTTCTCTTTTAGGCTCAACAGACATGGACGACTGAATGAAATTGCGTATAATCCATCTGTCGAGTCTGAGTCGAAAGGTGACTGTACTCCTGATGAACTTCTAGCATTTTACGATGCTTGCTATTTGTTCACAAAAGTTCTTTATGACTCGAACAACATCGTAGACATGCACTTGAAATCAGGTCAAATTGCAATGTTTGACAATGGCAGAGTTTTACACGGAAGATCTGAATTTGAAGCAACTGGGGGACCTACGGCTAGGTGGCTACAAGGTATCTATTTTGAATGGGATGTTATCTTCTCAAAACTCAGAGTGTTGCAAGGGAAACTTGGTCTCAAAGAACCATACCTACCGGAGCAATCTGATGAGTTTTTTTGAAAAACTGGCAAGTATTGCGAGCTCTTTACCAGTATATACAATTAACAAATATATAAACCCAAATTAACTGCATTCTAATATGCAGCAGTGCAGTTATAATCAGCTCGTTCTATTTCCATCTGGTAGCATTGAATGTAAAATAATAATGACTTTTATATTTAATACGGTACATGTTTCTAAAGGAATTAAAATCACCGATTTACGGCGTATTATGACTTTACTAACATGCTTCAAATTTTTGGTAAATTTTACTCGTCTTGGATTTGGTATATTTTAATATAAATTTTGGGGGATTTGTAATCGATATTTTTTAGGATTGGGAATAAATACAAATTTCATGTGACCGAATACTGAAAAGGAAACTCAAGTGTTAGTATATAGCTAGCTTTGAATACAAGAAATCAGACAGTGATTCTATAAAATATAATTGGGTACAATCCCCATACATGCATGTAATTCAATTGCTCAATTTCTGTGCCTATGTAGGTCTATAAATCTTTGTAGTAGGCATTTAATGTATTTAAGAACAAGCATGCATGTTTTGTTTCAACTGGTTATTTTACGGCGTAGATTTTATAAAGCCATACAGCAGGAGCGTCTGTGCTTGCTAAATTGAAGATTGCATAATGTACATGTATACAACGTTTTATTGTATGATCTAATTCACCAATCATTATATGATCTATAATCGATCAGTTGGATACGCACCCATTAAGAAGTGGCTATTCTGAGCAAAGAGTATAAGGCTATGTGCATACGAGCGTCGTTTTCCAGCGTTTTCAAATTCGTTTTTGTTTATTTTATTGCGTACACGCCCTGTCCACGCGATCCAAGGAAAGATATGCTGAATATGTTAAATTGGTTTCAACTTCTCTTGTAATTTGACAGTGTTTGAAGCCGTTTTTGGCATGAAAACGAATGTGAAAACGCTCGAAAACGTCACCGCGTGCACACGGAAAGTCTAAGCTTCACTTTTATTTTTACATTAATTTTACGTCTTGCTAGTAAAGTAAACTTAGGGGGTCTTCCTTTTCAGTACATTCCTAGCGTAAAAAACTATAATCGAGGACAGTGCTGCTCAAAAGTCCGAGTAAATAGCACCCAATACGGTGTAGTCAGTATGGTGTCTTATGGTCTTATGGGGTTTATATATCCTTCATTTTTTTATCGTGTAATTTATTGATACCAAGACACAATATATATTTTGTTGATATATTTTCTTATCTCAGCATAGGCGTACGAGCGTAACTTCGTTTGGGGGCGGCGCCCGAATTTTTGAATTATACAATGTACCCGAATTCTAACTTTTACCAGATTTGTAAAAATAAACTTGGCAAAGCGCCGGATGGGCTTAGAAGAAAGTGTAACAAAAATGGCCAAATAGAATAAACATATATGTGATATATATTTCAAATTTTGCCCGAATGTCTTGATTCTCCAAATTTTTTTTTGCGGGGGGACGAGTGCCCCGCTGTCCCGTACGCCTATGCTTATCTGATGCCTTGAGCTTTCATCACATTTTTGCCCTCTATAGGCTTTAGGCCGGTCTAAGGTGCAATCATTTAAAAGCCGAGTTAATAAAAGTAAATGAAATATTATATTCTTTGAAAATATGAATTGAATCTTTAATTTTGTATTTTTTAATAAAATCCCAATTCCAACAAGTTTTGGTCAACGCATTAGTTTCAATTTTATAGAGATATTGGTGCTGCATGTGAAGTATTTTTTAGGTTATGCATGTTCTCCGCCATGATCAATTCAACTGTTGCATTAACAAAATAAGCGAGTTCATATTAAAGCTCAAATCTGCTGCGTGCAAATGGCTGCATGCATACCAATCAACTTCGCCCGCATCAAAAGTCTTGCGATGAAGCCAAGCGTACTACGTTTTATAGTCCGTATAGCTAATTAAGTATAAGTAAATAAGTTGTTTTTTCAAAACTGTAAACTCTAAGGCTAAGCGGTTAAGGCATATTATATTCGAATTATAGAATTGCCTATAGTCATAGACCAAGTTGGCAAATAGATTCAATTCTGTTGTGAAGGTCCGTTTATCCGTAACTAATTCACAATTCGTTCATATCTTTTAAAAGAAGAAAATTGCACATAAAATCGTAGCAAAAATGTAAACGAGCCTTAAATTAAGGCTTAATTGAGTCATCTTTTATGCCTGGATAAATACGAAACTCATAATGGTCTATGGAGTATATACATTTTACCCACTGAAAATTGTCCCCATGTCGTCATGCATAAGTCTATTTTTTTAGCAAGTAAACCTGTAAGTAATGCTTGATTGTCATTTGTTTTTTAAAGTCACGTCTGGGCCTGGGGAGTTGAAGTCAGCCTGATAACCATCTTATAACCTCCCTGGCTGATGGTTGCATTTAACCGTGTGATTTGCGAGGGCCAATCTCTGGCCTGGGGTCAATGGTTGCGTCTTGTGATTGCGTTATGTTGTTTTAGGACACTTGCTGCTGTGCTTGCTGTGTTATCTACGCAGTTAGCTCCACATATACCTGGAGTAAGAACTTTGGGTGCAAATAGTGAAGCCAAAGTGTATTATTACCATCTTTGGCTTCACTTTTTGGCCTCACGGAAGTCTTAAGTTCTTACTCCAGATATATGTGGAGCTCACTGTATCTACGTCGGAGATTGCGCAAAAAGCCAGCAACTGAGATCTAAAAGACGTTTAAATTATTATTATATAAAGAGGTTCTTAGTCCAAGAGCAACAATGTTTTCAAAAACCGCAAGGTCGATTTCGTCCCAATTTAATCACAGAAGACAGGATTTAAAGAAATGTTTGGAATTACAGATCAATTCGTACATTATTCGCAAGACAATTTATCGACGTGTCTCGAATCTTTCCAATGAGTCAGACACCATGCGAACAGGTATTTAGTCGATTTAACGCAAATCATCTAAAATTTATTATCCATGTAAATGAAATAAAATATTTCGATTCCCTCTGCTACCTGTCAAGGGCTATTTCTCGATTTACAGCAAACCCAAATGCAAACATTGGACTTCTGATAGAATCAGGCCATTAGTGATATTTTTAGGGACATATATCGAGATAGAGCTCATCATGCAAAGGGTTATAAACTTATAATGAGCCATATTTGAATTTTGGAGAAAATTATGATGAAATTTTTGAAACACCTTTCTCAATTCTCAATATAGGTCTATGTTTTGTGTAATTGTATATTTTATAATTTACTTTTTAAAATTTTAAATAAGCAATTGACAAGGCAAGAAACTCAAGTTCATATATGAAAGAAGTGTTTAAGGAGCTTGGCAACAGAAATTTGAATGTCACCTGGAGTGATGGCACTGTCTCACGATTTCCTTATAATTTTTTACGTGATAACTGCAAATGTTCTCAATGTTATGAGTCATCCAGTAAACAGAAACTGTTCAATACTGCAAGGGATCTCAAAAAGGACATTCAAATTGAAGAATTGGTGGTTTTGGAAGATGGTAAGCATCTGAAGTGTATTTGGTCTGGTGGGCATGAAAGCAAGTATTCAGTTGGTTGGCTTCAGAAAATGAAATTGCCAGAAAAGAATGAACGTATGAGGAGGAACTCAAACAGCCTTGTAAAGGATGAGCTTATTCTTTGGAATCGGGAAACATTGCAAGATAACATTCCTTTTCAAGATTATAATCTGATGATGAATGAAGATAAAAGTTTATTTGATTCATTGTATTCTTTTTATCAACATGGATTTGTGGTGATTAATAATGCTCCTGCCAGGGATGGTGTTCTGATGGAATTAGCAGAAAGGTTTGGCTATATGAGGACAACACATTATGGGTAAGATATGAGAAGGTTATATAGGTGGCCTAGAAATCAGTTTGCTAAGGTTGATTATCCAATTATGAAAATATTATGTTTGTCTAGTCACGAGGTCGGTCAGTGACTAGAACAAACATTTATTTACCTAATTGGATAATTAACCTTAAAGCAAAATGATTTCTGAGCCACCTATGCTGATATATATATATATATATATATATATATATATATATATATATATTAATATATATATATAGCTGATATATTGCACCTGTTGTAACAGTAACAAGAATTTACTCCAAATTTTTCTGTGCTGCCCAATCTGTGTGAAAGATCATTGCAAGTATATGTACATTGTGTTTTTTTTCTACTTAGAAATACTTTTGATGTAAAAGATATTGAGAATCCTTCCAATGTGGCTTATACCACCAAGCATTTACCCTTTCATACTGATATGCCATATTTGGTATTTCCACCTGATGTAAGTTTATAGCCCTGCGCGCAGACGCTATATAGTAATGACTTCCGGGCGCCAACATTTGGGCAACAAAATAAATATTTGAATAATTGTGAAAATATAGCGTCTGCTCATCAGTGGCGCCATCGGAGTTTATGTAGATCATTTTATCAATGTAATGTCGGCAAGTACGCAGTTTTGTGTCCTCTGCCAGCAAATGCTGACCATAATTACTCAAGCGTCAGCGACGGAGTTGAAAATTCGCCTCGGTTTTGTTTTGTTTTTGTTCTTTTTTATTATTATTCATCGTCGTAAGTTTGTTTTGGCACGAGATATACTAGTATTTGCACAGTGTATGTGACCATATTCATCTACGTCACAGTTTTGTCTCCCAAGAGTTGTGGTGCACAGCTTTGGGTCTTTCATACTTTCATGGGGTTACACTTTTGAGTGCAATTTGGTAAAGACATGCACAGGTGAGTTTTTCAAAGCCTCGTCCTTCAGACTTGTGCAACTCAAAAGTGCATATTTTTCCAAATTGCATAAGAATCTTATCAAAAAAAAGTTAAGAGACACATGCTACATAGTTATATGATAAATAATTTATTCAATTAACAAAATTAATGCGCAGTCTCATGTTGTGTTCATATTGTGTCAAAACAGAACTGTTTCAACAAATTTAGAAATTTGCACTGGGATTTCCTAAAAATTGCATTGCTCTAAACCAATCAGAATGGAAAACTGATGTTTACCTTACAATTAAATTAATTTAGTCAGTATATTTTGGATTTTTAGATTCAGTTATTACATTGCATTAATGAAAACACAACAGGAGGTGATAGCATATTTGTTGATGGATTCAATGTTGCCAATCAGCTACACAAAAACCACCCAGATGCTTTTGATGTGTTGAGAAATTTTCATGTCCGATATTGTGATTATGGCACAGATGCCTTTAGTGAATTCATAGCTGGTGACTCCAAACCTATAATTAAGTATGGTCTTAATAGTTAAATAACTTGATGCACATATGCAGGGATGCCCAGAGGTGGTGAGAAAAGGGGGGCAATTTGCCCTGGGTCCCTGGGTTGCAAGGGCCCCAAAAACGCTACAAGAATAAAATTGAATTAGTGTTAGAAGTATAGGTAGTCCTCTTTCAGAAAACGTTTTGGGTTATGTATAGTTAAGGTAATGCAATATGTATTCGATATTGCAGAAATCGCACCCCTAAAACGCAGGAAATCGCATTTGCTGCACTCTAAAACTTAAAAATTTCCTTGGGGAGGATGCCTCCAAACCCCACTAACAGTGCTATACCCCCAAAATTTACCTTTCTTAAACCTCTCAATGTTCATTATGCATAAGGTCCGTCTATTGATAAGATTGAGTACCAGATGTCGCTTTTGGCCTGTTGCAGTTCCCACTGCCATTGCGAAATTATAAGGTCCCCATTCGGGCCCTTGCTAATAAAAAGTAGTATAAAACTAAGATAGTAAGATGTACATGGATTATGAAACTAATCTAACTAATTTGACCATAAGAACACTATATTCTATTAAAAATTAAATTGTATAACTTGAAATTTGTTTCTCTTTTAGGCTCAACAGACATGGACGACTGAATGATATTTTGTATAATCCACCTGTCGAGTCTGAGTCGAAAGGTGACTGTACTCCTGATGAACTTCTAGCATTTTACGATGCTTGTTATTTGTTCACAAAAGTTCTTTATGATTCGAACAACATCGTAGACATTCACTTGAAGTCAGGTCAAATAGCAATGCTTCACAATAGCAGAGTTTTACACGGAAGATCTGAATTTGAAGCAACTGGGGGACCTACGGCTAGGTGGCTACAAGGTATCTATTTTGAATGGGATGTTATCTTCTCAAAACTCAGAGTGTTGCAAGGGAAACTTGGTCTCAAAGAACCATACCTACCGGAGCAATCTGATGATTTTTTTTGAAAAACTGGCAAGTATGGCTAGCTCTTATATACAATTAACAACTATATAAACCCAAATTAACTGCATTCTATAATATGCAACAGTGCAGTTATAATCAGCTCGTTTTACTTCCATCTGGTACCATTGATTGTAAAATAATAATCACTTTTATATTTAATACGGTACATTTTTCTGAGTGCATAAAATCACCGATTTACGGCGTATTATGACTTCACTAACATGTTTCAAATTTTTGGTAAATTTTACTCGTTTTGGATTTGTAATCGATAATTTTTAGGATTGGGAATAAATACAAATTTCATGTAACCTAATACTGAAAAGGAAATTCAAGTGTTAGTATAGCTTTGAATACAAGAAATGTATTGTGATTCTACTGAAATATAATTGGGTACAATCCCCGTACATGCATGCAATTCAATTGCTCAATTTCTTTGCCTATGTAGGTCTATAAATCTTTGTAGTAGGTGTTTAATGTATTTGAGTTAAGCATGCATGTTTTGTTTCAACTGGTTGTTTAACAGCGTAGATTTTATAAAGCCATACAGCAGGAGCGTCTGTGCTTGCTAAATTGAAGATTGCATAATGTACATGTATACGACGTTATATTGTATAAGTGATCTAATTCACCAATCATTAATCGATCAATTGGATACGCACCCATGAAGAAGTATAAGGCTATGTGCATACGAGCGTCGTTTTCCAGCGTTTTCATATTCGTTTTTGTCTATTTTATTGCGTACACGCCCTGTCCACGCGATCCAAGAAAAAAATATGCCTAATATGTTAAATTGGTTTCAACTTCTCTTGTAATTTGACAGTGTTTGAAACCGTTTTGGCATGAAAACGAATGTGAAAACGCTCGAAAACGTTACCGCGTGCACATATTGTAGTCTACGCTTGACTTTTACTTTTACGTCTTGCTAGTAAAGTAAACTGAGGGCCTTCCTTTTCAGTACATTCCTAGCGTAAAAAACTATAATCGAAAACAGTGCTGCTCAAAAGTCCGAGCAAATAGCACCCAATACGGTGTAGTCAGTATAGCTGTTTTATGGGGTTATATATCCTTCATTTTTTATCGTGTAAATTATTGATACTGAGACACAATATATATTTAGTAGATATATTTTCTTATCTCAGCATAGGCGTACGAGCTTAACCTCGTTTGGGGGCGGCGCCCGAATTTTTTGAATTATACAATGTACCCGAATTCTAACTTTTACCAGATTTGTAAAAATAAACTTGGCAAAGCGCCGGATGGGCTTAGAAGAAAGTGTAACAAAAATGGCCAAATAGAATAAACATATGTGATAATGTGATATATATTACAAATTTTTCAGTTTGCCCGAATGTCTTGATTCTCCGAATTTTTTTTTGGCGGGGGACGAGTGCCCCCCCTGTCCCGTACGCCTATGCTTATCTGATGCCTAGAGCTTTCATCACATTTTTGCCCTCTATAGGCTTTAGGCCGGTCTAAGGTGCAAACATTTAAAAGCCGAGTTAATAAAAGTAAATGAAATATTATATTCTATGAAAATATTGATTGCATATATGATTTTGTATTTTTTAATTAAATCCCAATTCCCACACGTTTTGGTCTGACAACGCATTGGTTTTAATTTTATAGAGATATTGGTGTGGATGTGAAGTATTTTATATAGGTTATGCATGTTCTCCGCCATGATCAATTCAACTGTTGCATAAACAAAATAAGTGAATTCATATGAAAAGTAAAGCTCAAATCTGTTGCATGCAAATGGCTGCATGCATACCAATCAGCTTCGCCCGTATGAAAAGTCCTGCGATGAAGCAAAGCATTCTACGTTTTATAGTCCGTATAGGCGTTTACAGCTAATTAAGTAGAAGTAAATATACGTTTTTTTCAAAACTGTAAACTCTAAAGCTAAGCGCTTAAGCCATATCATATTCGAGTTATAGAATTGCCTATAGACCAAGTTGGCAAGTAGATTCAATTCTGTTGTGAAGGTCCGTTTACACTTGGGATTTTTGCTGCGATTTTCCTCTTTTGCTAGATGTGGACGAGTAATAAGTTACGAATGCTCTGATGTGTTCCTATATTTGAACATCCGTAACTAATTCACAATTCGTTCATATCTTTTAAAAGAAGAAAATTACACATAAAATTGTAGCAAAAATTTCAAGTGCAAACGAGCCTTAAATTAAGGCTTAATTGAGTCATCTTTTATGCCTGGATAAATACGAAACTCATAATGGTCTATGGAGTACATACATTTACCCAAAAATTGTCCCCGTGTCGTCATGCATAAGTCTATTTTTTTAGCAAGTAAACCTGTAAGTAATGCTTGATTGTCATTTGTTTTTTAAGTCACGTCTGGGCCTCAGGTCTGGCGAGTTGAAGCCAGCCTGAACAAAAAATGTCAGTGTGTGGGACCACCGATCAGACGTTGCTAAGAAACATCCCAGGCATTGGTATATTTGATTATTGACATTGATATTTTCTGTGATTTATAGTTTTCAATTAACTCCCATGAGGTAAATATTGAGTTCTTGGTGAAATTAAATTACAAACAGTGCAATCAAAGGAGGTCTGTTCAAACAATAAAGCGTATGAACAATAGGAAATGTTGGTTCAGTTGCGTGTATATCTTTAATTAGCAACAGCGTTGTGATACTGAAAGCTTGTATATACTGCTATAAATGTCACTGTAGGGGATCATACGGCTCATTCAAGTTTAAGACATCGATCTTGTATGACTATATTTCTGAATTGTTAGAATTGTTGGAATCAGATTCTAGTGGTTGCTGACTGCTAAAAACTGAGCAATGGGTGTTTTAGTTGTCCCTTTAGCCTCTCTGACACTGTTGATGTTGTTCCTTGGTAAGTAGATATTTCTAAAATTTCTATGCAGCATTGTTTAATACGACAGTTAATTCGAAATGTTATACTTATAGTCGGTGATTTTTTAAATGATGTCTTACAAGAGGTAAAAACTATTCTAAAAGCGATATCGACTAATTGTGTAATTGTTAGGGTTTAAATCTTTTTTGTCGCCTAATATTATAGTACAATAACGATCTTACTAATGGCAGTCGTGGACAGATATTTCGAAAAAAGTAGAAGCGAATGCAGCAAATAATATATTCATAATTATGACAACATAAAATTCTTGTATTATTTTGCTGTTAAATATGTTTTATATGGAGTGGAAAAAGAATCTTGCTTAATAATTGTGACAATCGAAACTTTGTGACATTGCGACGCCAGAGCCAATAAAAAGGCTACAAAATGCAATATTCTCATGAACTATGAGTGTATGTACATGTGGGTCATACTGTGGTCATACGAACTATTACTGCATGGATTGTGACTTCTGGGTTCTATAAATTGGTACTAAACAGTACGCCCGTGCGTGAGCTAGTAAGGTAAATTAGAGGGTTTTATTAGACTCGTAGACCATTTTAGATAGTTTGTTGGAAGAAGCGTGTTCCTGATTGGGCAACTAGACATATTGATTGACGAATCAGAAACATTTCTTGTCCGCATACAGATACTATGCGTTGCAGCGGCGAGCGGCTAAATTTTTTATGAGGCTATATGCGTTGTTTACTGACTCGATGAAACTAGAGACTTGTTGTTTATTCCTTGTGGTTTTCATTTCAGATTGCACAATGTCGGCAAATATGGGAAAACAGGTGAGAAAATAAAAAGTATAATTATTTCCTTTTATTGAGCATATTGTTTATTTTGATCTAAGACGATTTTTATTAAATCTATCAAAAAAAATGTTTTATGCGTCGTTCAATTACATGTTATATATGTAATGTATGCTAGATAAAAAAAGATTTGCTAGATCGCGTTGGCGTGGCGCATTATGATCACTTTTTTTTAATCTTAATATTTACTATTTGGTATTACGCATGTAAAATCAGTGTACATGCAGGACCTTTGCAGGTTGCGGGTTAATCTTGGGATAGACATCTCTATAATGTATAGTAAAATTGAATCATGCATGATGTAACTCCCCTTTCGTTTGGAAGAAAATATTGCCTGTTTGCTGGCTAAAAATTATTTGCTTTCCATGCAGAAAAAGTCTCATGATATCCACCTGAAGATGAACAGTGTTGAATTGAAAAGATATTTTGGTGCATCCTCATTGACAAACGGTACGTAACCGATGTAAACTATTTTCATGGACGCAGGGCAAAGCGCAGGCACGCCCGGCAGTCTCGCTATACCAGCTTTGCATATATCTCTTGCGAAGAAAAGCTTGAAGTGCAAATGGTATATTACAGAGTTTACAATGATCGTAGTTCTCATGCAGTGTTCCAGTAAAATTTACAAGTATTGGTTTGGTAGTTTTTATGCCGTGAACACTCGCATTTCGTAAATTGATCTTGATATTAGCTACCGCGAAGCGTTTTTAGCCTTCAGGATTGGTGGGTTATATGCTTTGCAGACACATACTGTTTACTACTTTAACTGTGTTATTTTTTTGCAGTACCTGAATATGACATAACGTTTCCTAAACATGCTAATGAAAAAGGACAACAAATTTCAAGTCATCGTGCAAAACGTGGGACTCGAGCAACTGGCTTGAAATACTATCATCTTAACGCGTTTGACAAGGATCTTCGTCTAAAAGTATCATTGAATAAGCGTCTGCTTGGTCCTGCTTTTCACGTTGAAATTCGACACAAGGATGGTTCAAAGACCATTAATGATGCGCCCCATCGTAATTTTTACCACGGCCATGTCATTGATCATCCGGGATCTTTTGTTGCATTAAGTGATCATCGTGGAGTGGTAAGATTGTTAGCCTGGATGTTTATTGTGATAATTTCTTTGAGAGGTTTTACAATATCGCCGTGTATGATTGAGAAATTTTGATTTGGAGTTCAGTCGCTGCATGGATGAATTCCCTTTGATTTCAGAGTGGTGCACTTCGCCTTGTGGATGATGAAATGTTGTTCATAGAGCCTATACCTCGTCATCTGCTAGAGCAGGATCATGATGATGACAGTATCCCTCATCTCGTCATAAAGAAAAATGATAAAGATTTTAAAAAGGATAACAAAGTTATGTTTGATACGCGAGGTAAGCTGCAAATTGAATAAACAATATAACCGCGCAGTTTGTGTTGTACGTAGAATGGATGGTCTGCCTGTCGAAACTCGTCTTATACAACGTCATGCGCTAAACTACAATATGCTCATAGGATCATATAAATTGTAATTGACATTTCATTCAGACAATCTACCACGAGATGAGACATTACTTGGTGAAAGAGAATTCAGAAATAAGGATGAAATTGATGATGATGAAAACGGACATAGATTTTATGAAATCATCTATGTCGGTGATCACCTGATTACTGAGCACATTCCACTGAAAGAACTACCAGACATGCTACTTATCATTGCTAATATTGTAAGTATTTTGAACTCCATTGGAATTATATATAACTCTATTTACATGCGCAGAGTTGTTTACACTGAACGAGGGCTTCCTATAGCATGTAACACATATAGCATACACGATGAATATAATGTCATAATTTTACATGAAAGGTTTCAAGAATGTTCACAGATAGTTCCTTTGGTGACATCAAATTGCATTATGTTGTTACAAAGATTCTTATCCTTAATAACGGCGAGGTAAGGTATAGTTTAACGTATTACTCTCTAAACTGACATATTCTAATATTGATATATTAGACCGAAGTTACTTCAACGAATAAATTGTAAATATTATCTATCATGCATGTTTGCAGCTAAATTATACTCGAAAAGCCTCAAATGGAGTTAAAATAGATCACTTTGGAAGTTGGTTGCAAGCAAACAATCCTCAATCAGACGAGGATCCACAGCATGTTGATGCAGGGACTTTGTTCACCAGGTAACATCATGAGTAAATATGATTTTACGGCATTCAACTATATAGATATGTAAATTTTGAAAACGTATGTTTGCAAAATCACTTTTTTTTACTTTTCAGCCACACTGGTGGAGGTAAGAATATTTTAAAATTTGGATGTTAGATTAAGTGTTTGAAGTATGAAACTAATGAAAGAATTGATAATTAGAGATACGATTTTGTGGCACTTCACTCGATGTAGGTAAATTTTAAAGGGTCTTAATTTCGAGTGGAATCATACTGCACTGGCATCGCATAAGCGTAGGTTCGATTCCTGGCGGAGGACCGATAGTTGACTAATTTTTCTCAACTGTTCCTGGCCTTTACCCTTTAAAAACCTTTAGAATTGATAATTAGATTAGATAGCCTATTTTTTAACCCAAGGTCTTGCCCTGTCTGGTGGGATGTGTTACTGGAGGAGCATGCCTTCTATTGTTGGACACATTGGTCTTAGTTCTTCTGTTATTGCTGCCCATGAAAATTTCCACAAGTAATGTATAATCATAATAATTCTCTTGCGTCTCTCGTGTTATCTTATAATGCCACCTGTAACTTGCCATCTTTAATCAATGATTCACTATAAGCGAAAATAAAGTAAATTGCAATTGTATACCACCCATGTGTCTGTGGATTGGACCCAATTGAATGACTACCTCCGCGAATTTTATTTTCAACTTTCACTGTGAATCATACATGTATTTACTTTTCACTGAGAATTTATAATGTTAGTGAAATAAGTGATGTGTCTTGCATAAACTTTGGACGATGACGTCTAGATTATATTTTGAAAACTGCACACATCAATTTTCAACAGTCTTGGAGGTGGACACGACCCAGGAACTGATGAATGTCCCAATGGAGCTAATATCATGTCTACGTACGTCCCTTCTGGTAAAGCCTGTTTTACATGGTCAAAATGTTCGAGAAGATGGGTACAAGATTATCTAAGGTGACATGAACATTTTGTGTTCGCATTCAGTATAAAACCTGTTTCCAGCGAGAAGGTAACAAAATTCTTTGGTTACTACAGTTAAACATGGAAATGTATAGACAAACTGAACACTTCCGCGAATATTTTTCGTCCAGATTGCAGCAATAAATCAATCTGTTAGTTCAGAGCATTTGGTTATGTCTCGCTACGGAGACGATTGCTCAATAATGTGTTGTTATTTCGTTCATCGATATCACACTCTATCCATTATCATTCTCATTTGAAACTGAGTTTATTATTGCCTTTTTTCTTAGTTATAAAACTGAGACACAAAATTATAACAATATATTAGTATACCTTCTATTTCTTAGATCTGGTCGTTCATTTTGCATGAAAGATGCGCCAACGTTAAAACCTCCTGCAATACCTCCTTACATGAAAAACAACCTACCTGGTTCAATATTTGACGGGCACAAACAATGTCAATACTCACTTGGAACTTCTAAAGCACGACAATGCGCAAGTGTAAGTAGAAATTAACAGGCAGTATTTCCGAGAATCTTGTATGTTTTACGTTTTAAATTATGGCGAAGGGAAAGGACATATGGATCTCAGTTACGTCATCTTGGTTTTTGTCGGCTTGTGAACATTATATCACTGTAGTCTGTACAGTAAAATGTGTGAGATTGCTGGAAATATACTCATAACATTCAAATCAAATATATGAGTGGCTAAAATTGTGACTAGAAGCGATGCCATGCATGTATTTAGGACACTAATAAAGGAGTGACCAAACGAAAATATCTTTGTAGACCTGTGGCCCCCTATACTGTGACGATGGTGGTGGATGCTGGTGGCGTGGGGGTGCACCTGCAGAGGGGACATCCTGTGGAAAAGACAAGGTATGGTATGGAATAATATAAACTGACGGCTATAAAAAGTAAAAATCCTCACATTTATCGAAACAAGGATCCCTCAGAGGGGTGCAAAGTGGACGGCAATTAGTCCCGGGTCCTAGGCTAAAGTAGGGTCCCGATATAATAAAGGTATATACAGTCCCGAAAATGAACGGACGGAAAGTGCCTATCGGGTTAAAGGCCCCTAAAATGGACTTTTGGCTGGGTCTTTAAATTCTCTGAAAAGCTCAGGTGAAAACGGAGTATAAAAAGGATAGACCCACCTTACCCACTCTGAACTATCTATCTGACCTCAGCTGTAAAATAAAAAATATTCTGATTTGTCACAGTGGTGCATCAGAGGTGAATGTGTTGACAATGGTTCTCCTTCCATTAACGGGAACTGGGGATCATGGTCTGAGTATACCCAGTGCAGTCGATCATGTGGAGTAGGAATACAATATCGTTCACGAAAATGTGACAATCCAAGGTAAAGGTTAGGTTACTCTCTCTCGCCCGGCAGACCTCCACAGATAATACTGAACCAGCATCAACATGTATTGTTATCCGATATGTTCTATATCATGCATGCAATATAATCCACCAAGAAAATGATAAACTTCATAAATCATATTGATTTATTAAAAGTCCAAAAAGACACGGAGAACCATGCAAAGATCCCAGTAAAGACAAAGAAGAGAGAACCTGTAATAAGCAAGTAAGTTGTGAAATGTGTTTTAAATAATCATTTACTGTGTTCAGAGCTAGCGCATAATATTAGCGAATATTTAGAAACTACGAAGTTTTACAGATCTGTTTAGAACGATCCATAAGTTAATTTTTCAATATCCTTTCGCCTGTGGTCAACCATGCAGGCGGGCATGTGAGTGCGTGTGTGATATCTCCAGCAGGCTTTCATCCAGGTATAAATTTCTCCGAAGCCAGCTCAGCATTCGATTACCCTAAAAATGGCTAATAGAATTTTTTATTATGATGAAATCTCCTTTAGGCATGTCCAGGTGATTCAAAACCCTTCAGAGACATGCAATGCAAGTCTGCAGTCAATGTTAATTATACTCATTATATTCGTCCAGGCGCAGGTAATTCGTTGTTACAAATAAATAGGACGTTTACCGGATTTCCTCAAGTTCAGTTTCCCCATCACATGCTTTTTTATGGGGAAGGTGTATCATTCCATGAATATTGCACATTTCAAGAAAAAGTACAATCGTTTAAAAATCACTTAATAATCGTTTCAAAGAATCTGGAACGTTCTTCCTTTTAAAAGTCCAGAAAATCTCGGATATTATCTTGGATATTATGAAAAGAGGAAGGTGTGAAATTCTGGGAAAAATCAATAAAAATTTTGACAATTTCTTGGAGTGATATCTTGCTGACTTTCCGTAGTGATTAGCAGACTGTCTTCATTGATCTTTGTAGAGTGTTGGCGGTGGTGTCGTCATATTTCTAGTTCAGGAGCAAGCCTACATGGCCAGGTTACAGATGGTACAAGATGTTATGGCGATGATGATAATAATCCTGATATATGTGTTCAAGGAGAGTGTGAGGTAAAATTTTACTCATGAATGAGGTTTAGCCCACTCTTCTTCCCCATTCTTACTTTCGTATATATTACTATATCGAGTCAAAATAATCTTGTAATCTATAGTCCAATTACGATTATCAATTCTGATAGCTTACTCTAATATAAAAGAGTGAGAGAAAAACTCAATTTATCAATTTTACTATCTAAAATTTATAGCGACACCGTGGCAAGAGAGTTACCTCAACATAGCCGTGTTTGAACATCTCACTTATAGCTTCAAGCGAATACACACCAGACCTAGCTTTGAACTTGATTTTTGTAATGTTAACGGTAAAATCATGCAGCTCGGATTAGGCCTCGTTAAAGTGCGTTAGTAAATAAATGTAACCTTGGCTGAAATCGGGATTCAAATTCGTTGTGTTTCATTTCTTATGTTTTTGTATTTTTATTTCAATTATTTAGCATTTGGGTTGTGATAAGGAACTGAATGGAGATGAACTTGATCGTTGTGGTGTGTGTGCTGGAGATGGGTCGACATGTGAGCCAGAAATGACCAACTACACCAAAATACACTTATCATGGGGTATTTTTTCTTTATTTGATTATTTATAATGTATAAGAATTTGCCCATATTCATCAGTAGAAATCTGCCAGTGTATAGTTGAATGTATCAAATGTACTGTTAAAAGATATGTTTTTTGTTTTATTGTAGGATTCGATAATGCAGACACAATGGTGATTTTAAAAAAAGGTTACAGCAATGTCCACGCCAAAATGAATGGGGCAAATTGGAATATGATAGGTATACGAGTGTGGTTCATTCAATGGCTTTTCTATTTGTCATCTCGATCGTTGGTTGTGCCGAATTATGACGTCTTGTTAACCAGATTGGTCCCTTGTGAATACACCTTTCTCATAATGCATGAACATTAAACGTGGAAAGTCTGATGTTACACGAAGTGTGATTGGGAGCCAACTAAATTCCCTGCATGGAACATCAGGCTTTCGGCATTTGACGTCATTACGGCAAGAAGATCTATTTCATCCCAGTAGGTACTCATGCAAAACCTGGTGTCAGCGTATTTTGCACCAAATACATAATAACTAAATTACTTAATTTAAATGTATGCTTCAGGCATTCAGGACATGAATGGAGAGTATATCATCAAACTGCCATCTTGGACTAAGACAACAGAGAGATCCGGCATGAAAATTACTTATGTACGAAGAAGTAATACATATCAAGATGAAATCATCATACCTGGTCTTGTGACTGAAGATCTAAAACTTGTGGTATGACGGAAAATATTCATGTTCAACAATCACTGACAACGCTTTGCGCCCTAAAAATACTACTTAAAATAAATTTATATAACTATGTCCACACAATCCTGTTATTAGATATCTTGTTGCAGAATAAGCCCTAATATATTACTGCCTATTATGCCTTCAAAGAATCAAAGATCCTCGAAAGTATACTAGTGAATGGTTATATCTGTTTTCAATATCCTACGATTTTGCTTTCAATTTTTATAATCTTTTTTTCCAGAGCCAAAATTATTGCAATATTAATTATATCATGTTGCTGCATGTGCGGAGGACGCAAAAGTAGTTTTTTGCATAATCATTACTATCATAATGTCTGTTGTGTTTGGGGCCTTTTTCACGAACCTGATTTGATTTACAATCTCCATTAGTTTGTTCACATCAGAGGCCGGAACGAAGGTGTTGTTATTCGGTACAGTGTTCCTGTAGAGAATCCTGCCAAACCATCTCCAGATATATTCCGCTGGAAAATAGGTTTATGGTCAACTTGCTCAAAAACATGTGCAGGAGGTATATTACTAAATTAGTACCAAAATATGTATAAAAAAATTACACGCTTATCGTTAAATTAACGACTGTTGAAGTCGTTATATTGAAGGCGTTATGTTTGTTGTACTGCAGGTATGTCTACCCGAGATGTGACATGTTCCCGTGAAGATGATAATACTCGCGTTGGAATGTCAAACTGCCCCTCGAATGCAAAACCAGCTGTTGATCAAGTGTGCAATGCACATGATTGTCCTCCAGAGTATGTTTTAGCAAACCGAAGGGCGCCGGAACAATGCGAGGGCGAAAGGGGGGGGGCGGGGGAATTTTCGTGAAAGGGCATACTTCAATCTGCAGCGGCGCGCATCTTTTAAGGAATGTTTGCAAAACATCGTCTGTTGAACTTGGTTTCTCTTTCTAAGATGATTTTGGTGTGCTCTTCTTGAAGCTCTTTGGTTGCACTTTTACTTATAGAATGTAATCCTTTAAAAAGAAAAGGGTGTTTTTGTCCCCCTTGCCGGCAAAGGAAAAGGGGGCAGCTGCCCCTCCATGGTTCCCCCCCTGTTCCGGCGTCCCTGAGGAAACCTTTAAATTTTAGTACGATGGTGTTTTGGTTGAAATGCTATTAAATATTATAGTTAGCGATGAAATATTTTGTTTTTACCTTTTAGATGGCATTCTTATTTGACAGCTTGCACTAAGACATGTGGAAAAGGAAGCCAACACAGAAAAATTGAATGCAGACGATTAACAACTGAACACTTTCGGGTGGTTGACGACACGGAATGTGCCGGTCCAAGACCAACAGCAGAAAAGCCGGATTTTGTTCATTGTAACGAAATTGCCTGTCCACCATCGTACAAGCCTGGACCATGGTCAAAAGTATGTAAAAAGTTAAATCTTCATGGTATTGCAAAATGCGAATTTCAAAATTTATTCTTTGTTTTTGCCTGAATTACTTTTTTCTAATTTTTTTTTTTGCATATACATCTTGCTGTCATTCCTGCATCAAAATTTTATCAGCCAGTCCTCAAACACACCCTTGAAGAAACCTGGGCAAACTGATCAATACTAGCTCCCGTTTGCTTGTTATAGTGTTCAACGATATGTGGCCAGGGTGTTATGACAAGATCACTAAAATGTGAAATGATCAACGACCAGGGAGAAATTGCATCTTTACCAATGCATGTTTGTGAACAGTATCGCATTGTGAAACCGCCGACAGAAGGAAATTGCAACTTTGATAGTCCATGTGTAGGTAAGTGCCACATTAGCTACAACCAGCAGCATGCAGTGTCATGGATCGAGCCCAGAATGTATTTGGTAGCATTGGTGCATGGTGTACTGAAGTGGTGTACTGAAGTTCAAACATTTGGTGCACTTTTGTTCCTTGAAATTAGATGAAACAGTCTCCATGCAATACACAGACGACGAGACAGTCTCCATATAATACAAAAATTTCCCTTCCCAATCATCATGGTTTTTCTTCTCTGATTTTTTTTCTAATTTATAATTATACATTTGTAAACATCATTGCCAGGTTTTAGAACATTTGTTCTTTCTATATTTTTTGCAATGACGATGAACTGTCGATGATTAAACCATCTGCAAAATTTACATAATGAACCTGTGTTGGAACGATTTTAGCATTGCCAAAGTACAGTCCTCTTGGTTGCTTCAAAGACAAGTTTGTTGGTCGAACACTTCCACAATACCTTAAAAATCTTCGACCACAAATCGACTGGCAAAATATGGATGCCACTATCATCGCTTGTGCGAAGCTTGCACAGGAACATAAAGTGGAGTATTTTGCTGTTCAGTATTATGGTGAATGTTGGGCTGTCAAGCCTGGAATAGTTCCGAACTATGACAAGTACGGACCGGCTGGTAACTGTTGGAGCGGAGTCGGCGGACCCTGGTCTAATTATGTGTACAAGATGGTAATGAACTGATGAATTCTAACTACGATAGGGGAATGTATGTATGTATGTATGCATGAGCAAGGGCAAAACATGTGATTGGTTTTTCTCGATTAATATTAAAATATATTACGCTACTATATGATCGTAAAATACTGCTTTTTCATATTTTATTTTTGTTGGTGAACTGTATATAATGCAAGTGAACGTATATTTTAACCACATGTAGACTATGGTATTTCCACTATTATCACACTCAAGAAACATAGAAAGTAATTAGAAGACTCAAGACTGCCAACATGCTGGGGTTTCAAATTAGCGACCATCAGTGGGTGGTCTTTTCTCGAGGTATTCACGTAACCGTGGATGATTCAGAATTGCTTTGTATAATTTCGTTAACCCTGGGTACTTGGTTAAAATCGGAGGAACTTCGATTTGTCCAGCCAGAATAAAGCCATTTACAAAACAAAAGAAGTTAATATCCGCGTACGTTATCTAAAAAGATAAAATAGTTTTTTAAATGCGAAATTATAAATGACGCGACAAAAGATCCAATGCTATTCATACGTTGTGTCAGGGTTGTGTTAAATTTTTCTGTTAGAGGATTGAGTGTGTTCTTACTTATGTAACACAGTAAATTACATTTCTGTTCTCGAAACCTGGACAAATAGACAGCATGCATGGTTCGATATAGCGCCGGCTCGCTGATTTGTGCAATTTAGGTTTGCAAAAAAATTGTAAGGCGGCATCCCCTAATGGGCCTTCGTTTTTTGATTTTCTTCATCTGTAATCAGCATTTTAATGCTCTTCAAATCATAGAAGAAAATTGGAATATTGATTGGACGCCGGGTGGTAAGCTACTGATATATCACCTTATCGCCAAAGAAGAATGTTTTCCCCTTGCAATTCTTGTTCAATATAATTTCAAAATAAGATAGGTTTTTTGGAAAAAGCCCTTCTACCAGATCTTGCTTTGCTTTACTCTAATTAGGAAAAATAAAACACAATAAAATTTTAAGTTATTCTGTTCCACACTTTCCATGATTTTAGCTGATTTTATTGCTAAAGAAGTCGAAGAAAACCGTCTTAAATATCAAGTGAAATAGCCTAGGATAATGGTATATTATACCTTCTCGCTTGCGTCTTTGGTAAACCACATCTTGATAACTTTAAGAACACAGTCCTGTATTTGATCAACGATACTGTCTGCTATTGCAATTTCAAGACTTGTTTCTGGGAGAAATCCTGTTTAGTTTCGGAAAATATACAACAACTAGGTTGTATCGAAAAAAACTGCAATCTCTCTTTTTAATCAGATATTTGTGAAAGTGGCACTGATAATTTACTACAATTAATCCCACTATTCATTATGCTGCGCGATGTCGAAGTACGTAGCTACTGTTAGAGTTAGAATTAGTTAGGGTTCAGTGCGATCTAACTTTGAGTTTGCGTGTAATTTAACAGGATTCTGCAAGGGCGCACATTAGAGGGGGGGGGGGATTAGATTGGGTATATACAGCGTATTTTTATATCCCATGCAGAGTATAATTAACAGAGTATACGTATATAATGACAGTTGCACTGCCATTGAATTCTATCTGCAGACTGCAGTATATCAATCCTCTTGTGCCAATTATACAGTGTTGCACTTTTTTTATAAAAAAAACGCAACCACACTAAACTAAATGCTCATGAATTTTCGCTTTCTATATTTAATCACGAAAGATCGAATGTTTATAAATATTTGGTGGTTGCGTTTTTTATACAACACGGAGCCAGGGGCCGGTTGTATGAAAATCGAATAGCGCTATCCGCCGGATAGTGGTTTTTAATCGTTTTAAAATCGCCCGTTAATTGTTGGGTATAACTTTGAACTTATAAATTATTAGGTTAATACTAGAAATACATGCATGCAAAATCCCCTCGCCTGAAGTAATAAACATATATTTCCATTAGTGAAATTCTATAATACTCGTTTTTGCTGAATGATCGAAGTCGTATAATCTACAAGTTAAACTTACGAAATACTTGCATGCTTTAAAATACAAAATCTACCTATTTACCTGTTCAAAAACACTCCAAGAATGCTTTAAACTCGTAGATTTTTCACTAACGATTTGAATCAAAGTTTTTCTATCGGAAAGCATCATTAACTTTACATTTTAATCAATTTTGCAAGTGAATTTTTCCGTATATTTTCAAAACGATCCAAATGAAAAAATTTTTAAACTAATAAAAGTTTTATAATTCAAAATATCAGTTATGCTGACGCGAACCAAAATTTTAATTTAGCCAATCGCACGCTTGCAAACGTTTGTTAGTTACCAGTTTTAACTCGTCTTAAACTCACGTATGCGCATAACTTACAAAAACGCCCAACGTCCATGACATAATGGCGGACAACTTTCATTTCGCATTTGCATTCCCGGGCGTAATTAAAATCTCCGGGCGGAATTAGTACCCTCGCCCGGTGCTTCGCACCGGCTCGGGGATAATATATTGATACAACGATAGTATAACCAACCATATTCCCTGGCAAGGTAACGCAGAATAGCCATACTCTGCGCTAGAACAACACCATCAAATTCAAGGATTGGTAATAGGCCATACGGACAGACTCCCTCTAAATTAAATTTTGAACAATGTGAAATGCAAATACCCTGGTATTCGAACAATTTATGCATGATAATTCGCATGACTGCTTCTGACTGAGTATACACTACACATGCATTTGGCTCTCTAAGTGTACTTTTTATCTACGCTGAGATTTAAACTTGAAAGTGATTGTGATGTAATTTCTTCTCGGCCTCGGGTCAATACGTCCAAACACTTCATATATTGTCGGAAAGCAGCTAAATAAGCCGGCGTAGCGAGCAAGTCAGGCAAATCAACCGGTCCAAGAAATTACAATAAAAAAATGTGAACTATATCGCAAGGCTTACGTTCATTTAAAGCTGCCAAATCGTCGTCGTTCATATTCCTGTTATCCTCCCAGTCAGCTCCAGCCAATGTCAGTATTATACGTATTGGTTCAGCCCTTGCTCGCAGAGGAAAGTAAGTTAGTTTGTAATGCGGACGTGTTGAGGTTGCCATGATTCAATGATGCACTTGCCTGTTTAGTGTATAACGTTACTGCATGACGCTGTTTTGCCTGCTGATCGTGAACGGAAACCGCATGAAGGCGGAAACTGAATTAATAAAGTCGTGGCAAGTAAAAATGAAAGTAATATATACTGTGTAAAAAAAAATTCGAATCCAAATTTGACGTGTATTTACGTGGAATATTTATTTGCCATTCAAATGACATCCATGTACGCGTCATTCTGTTAAAAAATGAACGAATCATTGGGTCGACAAAAGTCGATAAAAATTACATTCTTCCGCCGATCGGAAATCTTTTGAAAATGTGTCAAACAAGGCTTTGAAATGCTAATTATCACTGAAAAAGAAATCACATCAAAAAATTGACGAAAAATCAGGAATTTTCTTTTGATCCCCCGTTACCGAGTTTGCCCAAAATTTTGAAATTAACCAAAGTATGATTTTTTGTGTTCAAATGTTTTCGTTTATTGAAATAATGTAATTCTACTTAGTTCTCAATCATTTCGAGGTATTTTGAACAGAATTTGGAAATTTCAAAAAATTGACGAAAATCAGGATTTTTCCTTAGGTCCCCTGTTACCGATTTGCCTAGTATTTTGAAATTCACCAAAGTATGATTTTTCGTGTTCGAATGTTTTTGTTTCATGAAAAAATGCGATTCTAGTTAGTTCTCAACCATTTCGAGGTATTTTGAACCGAATTTTGAAATTTCAAAAATTTGACGAAAATTAGGATTTTTCCTTTGGTCCTCCATTACCGATTTACCTAAAATTTTGAAATTCACCAAAGTATGATTTTGTGTTCAAATGTTTTTTCATGAAGAATGCAATTTTAGTTAGTTCTCAACCATTTCGAGGTATTTTTAACCTAATTTTTAAATTTCCAACAATTGACGAAAATCAGGATTTTTCCTTTGGTACCCTGTTACCGATTTGCCTAGAATTTTGAAATTCACCAAAGTATGATTTTTCGTGTTCGAATGTTTTTGTTTCATGAAAGAATGCAATTTTAGTTAGTTCTCAACCATTTCGAGGTATTTTTAACCTAATTTTTAAATTTCCAACAATTGACGAAAATCAGGATTTTTCCTTTGGTACCCTGTTACCGATTTGCCTAGAATTTTGAAATTCACCAAAGTATGATTTTTCGTGTTCGAATGTTTTGTTTCATGAAAGAATGCGATTCTAGTTAGTTCTCAACCATTTCGAGGTATTTTGAACCGAATTTTGAAATTTCAAAAATTTGACGAAAATTAGGATTTTTCCTTTGGTCCCCCATTACCGATTCGCCTAAAATTTTGAAATTCACCAAAGTATGACCTTTTTGTGTTCAAAAGTTTTTGTTTCATGAAAGAATGCAATTCTACTTAGTTCTCAACCATTTCAAGGTATTTCTAATCGAATTTTGAAATTTCAAAAAATTGACGAAAATCAAGATTTTTCCTTTGGTCCCCCGTTACCGATTTACCTAAAATTTTGAAATTCACCAAAGTATGATTTTTTGTCTTCAAATGTTTATGTTTCATGAAAGAATGCAATTTTACTTAGTTCTCAACCATTTCGAGGTATTTTTAACCGAATTTTTAAATTTCCAACAATTGACGAAAATCAGGATTTTTCCTTTGGTTCCCCGTTACCGATTTGCCTAAAATTTTGAAATTCACCAAAGTATGATTTTTTGTGTTCAAATGTTTATGTTTCATGAAAGAATGCAATTTTACTTAGTTCTCAACCATTTCGAGGTATTTTTAACCGAATTTTTAAATTTCCAACAATTGACGAAAATCAGGATTTTTCCTTTGGTTCCCCGTTACCGATTTGCCAAAAATTTTGAAATTCAACAAAGTATGATTTTTTGTGTTCAAATGTTTATGTTTCATGAAAGAATGCAATTTTAGTTAGTTCTCAACCATTTCGAGGTATTTTGAACAGAATTTGGAAATTTCAAAAAATTGACGAAAATCAGGATTTTTCCTTAGGTCCCCTGTTACCGATTTGCCTAGTATTTTGAAATTCACCAAAGTATGATTTTTCGTGTTCGAATGTTTTTGTTTCATGAAAAAATGCGATTCTAGTTAGTTCTCAACCATTTCGAGGTATTTTGAACCGAATTTTGAAATTTCAAAAATTTGACGAAAATTAGGATTTTTCCTTTGGTCCTCCATTACCGATTTACCTAAAATTTTGAAATTCACCAAAGTATGATTTTTTGTGTTCAAATGTTTTTGTTTCATGAAAGAATGCAATTTTAGTTAGTTCTCAACCATTTCGAGGTATTTTTAACCTAATTTTTAAATTTCCAACAATTGACGAAAATCAGGATTTTTCCTTTGGTACCCTGTTACCGATTTGCCTAGAATTTTGAAATTCACCAAAGTATGATTTTTCGTGTTCGAATGTTTTTGTTTCATGAAAGAATGCAATTTTAGTTAGTTCTCAACCATTTCGAGGTATTTTTAACCTAATTTTTAAATTTCCAACAATTGACGAAAATCAGGATTTTTCCTTTGGTACCCTGTTACCGATTTGCCTAGAATTTTGAAATTCACCAAAGTATGATTTTTCGTGTTCGAATGTTTTTGTTTCATGAAAGAATGCGATTCTAGTTAGTTCTCAACCATTTCGAGGTATTTTGAACCGAATTTTGAAATTTCAAAAATTTGACGAAAATTAGGATTTTCCTTTGGTCCCCCATTACCGATTCGCCTAAAATTTTGAAATTCACCAAAGTATGACCTTTTTGTGTTCAAAAGTTTTTGTTTCATGAAAGAATGCAATTCTACTTAGTTCTCAACCATTTCAAGGTATTTCTAATCGAATTTTGAAATTTCAAAAAATTGACGAAAATCAAGATTTTTCCTTTGGTCCCCCGTTACCGATTTACCTAAAATTTTGAAATTCACCAAAGTATGATTTTTTGTCTTCAAATGTTTATGTTTCATGAAAGAATGCAATTTTACTTAGTTCTCAACCATTTCGAGGTATTTTTAACCGAATTTTTAAATTTCCAACAATTGACGAAAATCAGGATTTTTCCTTTGGTTCCCCGTTACCGATTTGCCTAAAATTTTGAAATTCACCAAAGTATGATTTTTTGTGTTCAAATGTTTATGTTTCATGAAAGAATGCAATTTTACTTAGTTCTCAACCATTTCGAGGTATTTTTAACCGAATTTTTAAATTTCCAACAATTGACGAAAATCAGGATTTTTCCTTTGGTTCCCCGTTACCGATTTGCCAAAAATTTTGAAATTCAACAAAGTATGATTTTTTGTGTTCAAATGTTTATGTTTCATGAAAGAATGCAATTTTAGTTAGTTCTCAACCATTTCGAGGTATTTTTAACCGAATTTTTAAATTTCCAACAATTGACGAAAATCAGGATTTTTCCTTTGGTTCCCCGTTACCGATTTGCCAAAAATTTTGAAATTCAACAAAGTATGATTTTTTGTGTTCAAATGTTTTTGTTTAATGAAAGAATGTAATGCTACTTAGTTCTCAACCATTTCAAGGTATTTCTAATCGAATTTTGAAATTTCTAAAAATTGACGAAAATCAAGATTTTTCCTTTGGTCCCCCGTTACCGATTTACCTAAAATTTTGAAATTCACCAAAGTATGATTTTTTGTCTTCAAATGTTTATGTTTCATGAAAGAATGCAATTTTACTTAGTTCTCAACCATTTCGAGGTATTTTTAACCGAATTTTTAAATTTCCAACAATTGACGAAAATCAGGATTTTTCCTTTGGTTCCCCGTTACCGATTTGCCTAAAATTTTGAAATTCACCAAAGTATGATTTTTGTGTCAAATGTTTATGTTTCATGAAAGAATGCAATTTAGTTAGTTCCAACCATTTCGAGAGGTATTTTTAACCGAATTTTTAAATTCCAAACAATTGACGAAAATCAGGATTTTCCTTTGGTTCCCCGTACCGATTTGCCAAAAATTTGAAATTCAACAAAGTATGATTTGTGTTCAAATGTTTTTGGTTTAATGAAAGAATGTAATGCTACTTAGTTCTCAACCATTTCAAGGTATTTCTAATCGAATTTTGAAATTTCTAAAAATTGACGAAAATCAAGATTTTTCCTTTGGTCCCCCGTTACCGATTTACCTAAAATTTTGAAATTCACCAAAGTATGATTTTTTGTGTTCAAATGTTTATGTTTCATGAAAGAATGCAATTTTACTTAGTTCTCAACCAATTCGAGGTATTTTTAACCGAATTTTTAAATTTCCAACAATTGACGAAAATCAGGATTTTTCCTTTGGTTCCCCGTTACCGATTTGCCAAAAATTTTGAAATTCAACAAAGTATGATTTTTTGTGTTCAAATGTTTTTGTTTAATGAAAGAATGTAATGCTACTTAGTTCTCAACCATTTCAAGGTATTTCTAATCGAATTTTGAAATTTCTAAAAATTGACGAAAATCAAGATTTTTCCTTTGGTCCCCCGACACCGATTCGCCTAAAATTTTAAAATTCACCAAAGTATGATTTTTTGTGTTCAAATGTTTTTGTTTCATGAAAGAATGCAATGAAAGAATGCAACCATTTCGAGGTATGTATGCCCATGTGCTTTTTCCATGATAATTTTTTATCAAGTGCCTAATTTTTTTTCCCTTCAATTTTTCTTTTCTTATGCCCAATTTTTTTTCCATCCAAAATTTTTTTTCCTTATGCCTATCTTTTTTAGTTTTTTTTGTTAAACCTGTTTTTCCTTGTGTCCAATTTTTTTCCATCAAAATTTTTTTTCATCAAAATTTTTTATCAAGTGTCCAAATTTTTTCCATCAAAATTTTTTTCTTGTGCCCAAAATTTTTCCATCAATTTTTTTTATGCCCAATTTTTTATGTCAAAACGTTTTTTTCTTCATGTCACAATTTTTTTCGTACCTACAAGTTTTTTTTTCTTGTTTCCAAATTTTTTTGTGTCAATTTTTATTTCTTGTGTCTTTTTGTGTCCAAATGTTTTTCCTCACAAAATTTTTTCTTGTGTCCAATTTTTATTTTCTGTCATTTTTTCTCTAGTGTCAAATTTTTTTCCTGTCAATTTTTTTTCTTATTTCAAATTTTTTTTGTGTCAATTTTTATTTCTTGTGTCTTTTGTGTCCAATTTTTTTTCCTCACAAAATTTTTTCTTGTGTCTAATTTTTATTTACTTTAATATCGTAGCCTTGACCACTAGGCCACCGGATTGTATGTTGATACCAAGCTTATAATAAATACCAACATTACAATATTTATTAATCCGGTGGCCTAGTGGTTAAGGCTACGGCCTATCAGGTTGTAAGCGTAGGTTCGAATCCGGCATGGGAAAGGTTCGATTTTTCGACCCGAAATTACTATTTAATTTGAAATTCTTCGAAAATATTAGGTCAAATAAAGAACAATAGCTATCGACAAATAATGTGGTGGCCTAGTGGTTAAGACGTTGATCCTTAAACTGCAGACAGGCGTTTCAACTCCTAGCAGTGCAAAGGAATTATCCTGAAAATTTTCGGTGTGATTTGGAAGCCTTAAATGAGTTAAAAGACTTTTCGGACTTTCGGAAAGGCTGTAAATTGAAAAAAGTTTGAAATAAAAAAACTGAAAACGGTACTCGAAAACGTTCAAAAGTACTCGTTCAAAAGCACTCGAAAATTAAGCACTTCATGTATCTCCTAAAAAGACTGAAAATTAAAAAGAAAAAAAAATTAAAAAATTTTAAAAAACTCATGTTTACTTACCTTAATTTTTTTTCACGAAAATTTGACAGGGTGATTTTCTCGAGAGTGAAAAAACTTAATTTTTTTCACTTTTGTGAAATTCTCTTAGATTTTTTTTTGACGAAGAAGTATTTTGTCTTGGGCTACCTGTGTCTGTCTTGGGCTACCTGTGTCTGGCTTGACACAGGTGGCCCAAGACAAAATATTTCTTCGTCAAAAAAAAAATCTAAGAGAATTTCAAAAAAGTGAAAAAAATTAAATTTTTTCACTCTCGAGAAAATCACCCTGTCAAATTTTCGTGAAAAAAAATTAAGGTAAGTAAACATGAGTTTTTTAAAAGCGGGAAATTGTTTGATTTTTTCCGTCTGACTTTCTTCATTTTCAGGCTTTTTAGAAGACACGTGTTTTTAAAACTTTTTTTACTTGCGCTTTTCTTTTAATTTTCAGGTACTTTTGAACGCGATAATTTTTTTTTGGTTTCTTTATTTCAAATTTTTTTTCAATTTACAGTCTTTCGCAAAGTCCGAGAAGTCTTTTCACTGTTTTACACATTCCAAATCACACCGAGATTTTTCAGGCTAATTTTGTTGCATTGCCAGGAATTGAAACGTTTGTCCTCGCATTGAGAGACGAACGTCTTTACCACTAGACCACCGCGTCATTTGTCGAAAGCTATTGTTCTCTATTTGACCTAATCCTTTTCGATGAATTTTAAATTAAATAGTAATTTCGGTGGGAAAAATCGAACCTTTCCCATGCAGGATTCGAACACACCCTTACAACCTGGTAGGCCGTAGCCTTAACCACTGGGCCGTAGGATTGGTTGTTGATGGCAGCTTTAATATACATGTTATTGAGGTAGCCCAATTGTTAAGGCTCCGGCCTACCAGGTTGTAAGGGTAGGTCCGAACCCTGCATGGGAAAGGTTCGATTTTTCCCACCGAAATTACTATTTAATTTAAAATTCATCGAAAAGGATTAGGTCGATTAGAGAACAATAGCTTTCGACAAATGACGCGGTGGTCTAGTGGTTAAGACGTTCGTCTCTCAATGCGAGGACAAACGTTTCAATTCCTGGCAATGCAACAAAATTAGCCTGAAAAATCTCGGTGTGATTTGGAATGTGTAAAACAGTGAAAAGACTTCTCGGACTTTGCGAAAGACTGTAAATTGAAAAAAAATTTGAAATAAAGAAACCAAAAAAAAATTATCGCGTTCAAAAGTACCTGAAAATTAAAAGAAAAGCGCAAGTAAAGAAAGTTTTAAAAACACGTGTCTTCTAAAAAGCCTGAAAATGAAGAAAGTCAGACGGAAAAAATCAAACAATTTCCCGCTTTTAAAAAACTCATGTTTACTTACCTTTTTTTCACGAAAATTTGACAGGGTGATTTTCTCGAGAGTGAAAAAATTTAATTTTTTTCACTTTTTTGAAATTCTCTTAGATTTTTTTTTTGACGAAGAAGTATTTTGTCTTGGGCTACCTGTGTCAAGCCAGACACAGTAGCCCAAGACAGACACAGGTAGCCCAAGACAAAATACTTCTTCGTCAAAAAAAATCTAAGAGAATTTCACAAAAGTGAAAAAAATTAAATTTTTTCACTCTCGAGAAAATCACCCTGTCAAATTTTCGTTAAAAAAAAATTAAGGTAAGTAAACATGAGTTTTTTAAAAGCGGGAAATTTTTAATTTTTTTTTCTGACTTTTAATTTTCAGTCTTTTTAGAAGATACATGTTTTTAAAATTTTTTTACTTGTGCTTTTTCTTCAATTTTCGAGTACTTTTGAACGCGAGAATTTTTTTCAGTTTTTTTATTTCAAACTTTTTTCAATTTACAGCCTTTCCGAAAGTCCGAAAAGTCTTTTAACTCTTTTAAGGCTTCCAAATCACACCGAAAATTTTCAGGCTAATTCCTTTGCACTGCTAGGAGTTGAAACGCCTGTCTGCAGTTTAAGGATCAACATCTTAACCACTAGGCCACCACATTATTTGTCGATAGCTATTGTTCTTTATTTGACCTAATATTTTCGAAGAATTTCAAATTAAATAGTAATTTCGGGTCGAAAAATCGAACCTTTCCCATGCCGGATTCGAACCTACGCTTACAACCTGATAGGCCGTAGCCTTAACCACTAGGCCACCGGATTAATAAATATTGTAATGTTGGTATTTATTATAAGCTTGGTATCAACATACAATCCGGTGGCCTAGTGGTCAAGGCTACGATATTAAAGTAAATAAAAATTAGACACAAGAAAAAATTTTGTGAGGAAAAAAAATTGGACACAAAAGACACAAGAAATAAAAATTGACACAAAAAAAATTTGAAATAAGAAAAAAAATTGACAGGAAAAAAATTTGACACTAGAGAAAAAATGACAGAAAATAAAAATTGGACACAAGAAAAAATTTTGTGAGGAAAAACATTTGGACACAAAAAGACACAAGAAATAAAAATTGACACAAAAAAATTTGGAAACAAGAAAAAAAAACTTGTAGGTACGAAAAAAATTGTGACATGAAGAAAATGAACATAAGAAAAATAATCTAAACGAAAAAAGATTTAAAAAAGATTAAAAAGAAAAAAAATTGACAGATAAGATTTTGAAAAAAGAAAAAAAATTGACAGGAAAAACACTTGACACTAGAAAAAAAATGAAAGAAAGAAAATTGGACACAGGAAAAAAAATTGTGAGGAAAAAATTTTGGGCACAAAACACACAAGAAATAAAAATTGACACAAAAATTTTGAAACAAGAAAAAAAAATCGACTGGAAGAAAAATTTGGACACAAGAAAAAAAATTGACTGCAAGAAAAAAATTATGACATGAAAAAATTGAACATAAGAAAAAAAATTGAAATGAAAAAAGGTTTAAAAAGGATTAAAAAGAAAAGAAAATTGACAGGAAAAATTTTGAAAAAAGAAAAAAAAATGATAAAAAAAATTTGAAACAAGAAAAAAGAACTGACAGGAAAAACATTTGACACTAGAAAAAGAATCAGAGAAAAAAAAATGGACACAAGAAATAAAATTGTGAGGAAAAAAATTTGGGCTCAAAAGACACAAGAAATGAAAATTTTGAAACAAGAAAAAAAATCGACAGGAGGAAAAATTTGGACACAAGAAAAAATTGACTGCAAGAAAGAAATTATAACATGAAAAAATTGAACATAAGAAAAAAAATTGAAACGAAAAAAGATTAAAAAAGGATTAAAAAGAAAAGAAAATTGACAGGGAAATTTGAAAGAAAGAATAAAAATTGACCAAAAAAATTTTGAAACAAGAAATAAAAGTTGACAGGAAAAAGACTTGACACTAGAGAAAAAATAACAGAAAAAAAAATTTTGAAACAAGAAAAATATTGAAATATTAAACACTAGAAAAAAATCAACAGGAAAAAAAATTGGGATAAGAAAAAAAAATTGACAAAAAAAATTTTGAAACAAGAAGAAAAATTGACAGGAAAAACATTTGACACTAGAAAAAAAATTGGACATAAGAAAAAAAATTGACAAAAAAATTTTGATACATACATTTGACACTAGAAAAAAAATGACAGAAAATAAAAATTGGACACAAGAAAAAATTTTGTGAGGAAAAAAATTTGGACACAAAAGAGACAAGAAAAAAAAATTGAGAAAAAAAAATTTTAGACATAAGAAAACAAATGGAACGAAAAAAGATTAAAAAAATTGGGCACAAAAAATTGATGGAAAAATCAAGGGCAGAAGAAAAATTTGAAGCCATTTTCAGAATATTTTCAGAATGTTAATACATTTTAGAAAAAGAACACAAGAGAAAAAAATTGCCACATTATACGTTACCGAAAAGATGTTACGGACGAAATTTCAAACTACCAAATAGTTAGTCAAATTTCATCCGTACCAAACCTAAAATATAGTAAAATTGCGCGTAGTGTAAATGGGGTTTCATTGGAGGCTCGACGGTAGCTCACTACATTGTGCGGAGTGCGTGCTGGTGCTTCGTGGTACCTTGAGCGAACAAAAAATGGCCAAACTTCCCCACGACAGATTAGTATTTGCACCACCATTTTCATTTAAACAGATGTTTTCTATGTGAAAATCAACATGTGAAAATCCAGGATTTATCTTCAGCCATCTTGCAAACACAGAGCAACTATGTTTTGTTTAAAACTTTATTATCAGTGTGCAAAGTTACAAACAAGTTTTTTGATCAAAATAACAAACTCATTGACAAAGATTTTGTATTCTATATAATTCATACTATTGTTAGGTACAATAATAGATATCTTCAAATTGAATATTTTTGGACTTCCAAAATGTATGCCTACTGATAATAAAATGGTGTTTAATAGAATGATAAAGACTTGACATGTTCATCTAATTTAGTTCGAAACAATGAACTTTGAATTGGCTCATTCAGCTTGCACAATGGATTCTTTACAATATATTCCACATATATCTGAGCAAAAAAAAACAGAAACAAATGAATCAATTTACACCACATGCCAAGTTTTGAGTAAATTTAATCTCAACTTACCTTGTTGTAAATATCATGAAGCATGCCTTGAATATTCCCAACAGAAAGATCTGTATTCATAACAAACTTCATACCAGTTGGTGTTTCATAAAAATGTAACTTATATTTATTTGTGCGATAACTTATAAAGGAATTCTTCCTAGAAAAATACAGACACAAAATACACTCAAACAAAAATTAGACTTAATTCCTTTATAAAGTACATGTAAAAAAGTTATTCCACATAATGAAACTAGCTAGCTCAGAAATCAAAATACTGATTTCAAAATTTTACCACCAATTCCAATGCCTGAAAGGCAGAAAGCAGAATATGTATCATTGGATCCTGGTAGTACAAGAAATAGTAGAAATACTTTTTTACTGGGCAATAATTTTATTTTAGAAAGTTTACAATTGAATAGCTTATTAATAAATAGATAATGAATTAAATAAATTATTTTGATACATTGTAAAAGGGATGGGGCTACCCTTGCCCTTACCCTTGGTTCAAGCGCTCCTAACAATCATTAATTACAATATATTAATTCCGCTATTCATACCCATCAATTGGTGACCATCTTGTAACAAATGATTTGATGGAAAACAGCATGCCATGTAACAATTTGAATTCCTTGAAATATAAAGGCGCAAATAATTAACTGCTTCAACATTGTGTGGGGCATATCAGCATATAGCTATACAGGTATTACATTAAGGTGTACATTGTGTCATAGACAAGCTGATGAGTACTTAGGTATTTAACCTGTCCTAGTGCATAAGCATTATAAGACTTTACTGTAATCTGGGTTATCCTTTGTAGGAGCTGTACTTTCCCCACTGCTTGTTAGTTTGAATAGATGCAACTACAAGAAATTTTTCACCTATTCTTCTTTAATACAGTCTTTATACTACCCTGCATAGGCATACTATTTTAATACCTCGTACTTGGACATGTTACAGTCAGTTCTTCTATTCCATTCATAATAATACAGACAGGTGCCTTCGCGGTTAAAAATGTAGATATTGTACACAGTCATCTCTCTTTAAATAGAATAATACTACAAAACCAAATGTATTTGTTAATAAATATCTTTATTATCATTCTTGTTCTTGACCACCATTGTCAACATCCCAGAGGCTTTCAAAATATCATCGTCCAAAAGCAGCACTGTGGAGCTGTCGTCTGTCGATGTTTGTCGAGCTGGAATGAGCCCAAAGCTCAAGCATTGTAAAGTAAAATATACAGTAATAAATAGATATTCAATTGAATCCTAAATTGAAGAAATACGTTTTTAACAATTAACACGAAGGAAAAAGTCAAAAAGATAAAAAGATGGCTCGACCTCTTGCCAAATACATTTGACTATTTCGGGCCCCGTCGTAATATCTTCGTTACGATCGTCGGTGACGATAAATAACCGTGTTAGTAATAAAGATTATAAAAATTTATAGTTGTCTAAATTGTCTTTGTGCTCTAACTATTCATAGTATTAATAAATCCACTAAAAAATGAAACCCACGGGAGTTCCTGTACAAGATGAAATGTTTCCTGAAGGGGTTGATTCAGGTTTAATGGACATGGATGAGGTATTACAAGGTTTTACATTATTAGTGGCAAGATTTATAGTATTAGGGTTTGAATCAAGGAATGATGAAATCAAACGCCTGTGCTGCAGTCAACGCTTCACTCAAGCCTGATTCCAGGGCATCCACAGGATTATTATATCATTTTTATGGCTTTTCAAAATCCTCTATTCTGATTGGTTGACGAGCATCGAGCGGTCTGTATCTGGACCAGTATCCTAGATGTGTCCTGGATGGCAGTTCAGCCATATAATAAACAGATTATTGACCTCGCTTGTTTGGTCTGTACTGCGAAATATCAGACCAAGGTTTTTAAAAAGCCTCAGCTTGATATTTTACAGTACAGATTTTACGCTCTGTCAATAATCAGTTATTATTGCCTTTGGGCCTAATTAGGCCTGATCTGGGCCTTAGTGTTTGCTGTGTGCTGACCAGAAAGGTGTATGAACCACTGAACCCAATTATATTTAATTTTCATCAACCTGGCACATAAAATTTTGTGTCTAACAGCAGCAAACATTGATTTGAAAACTACAGTAGAAATACTTTGAAATTTGTAACCACGGTACCCTGTAATATGTACTCTGTTGATAAAGTTGTTTTTATTATAACAATTTTTTAGGCTTGTTCATCAAATATGATGGTAGAACTAGCAGCAAGTGAAAGAGCAGTCCATGCAGATTTCTTCAATCGTGAGTTCATAAATAAACATAATGTTTAGAACGTTGAACTTTATCTACGTCATGTAACACTAACATTCCCTCTTTGATGAAATATGTTGTTTATACCTCTTATAGTGTTTGATGATCTTTTTGATGATGATGATCTGTCCTAATTCCTAAATTATTTGCAACAGGATCCTTAAGAAAATTTTGTAATGTTTGGTGTAAATAATGGATTTTTTATGTAAAGATAACAAAAAGCAATCAGATTAAAGTCCCAACTAAAATATAAACGATTCAGTTGATATGGATTGAACCAATTATTGAATTATCTATATATATAAGATATGTACCAATGCTGTAAGGCTAGTTCTTGATTAGAAAAAATGCTCATCAAGTCTTATATTTGTAACATTGTATATATATAAAAAACTGTTGAATTAACTTCAGAGTTTGCTCTGGCATGTGACAAGTGTCATATGGTATAAGGTTGTGAAGGTACGGTTGTATGGAAGCCTACTGCGTTGTCTTTCAAGGTTGACAACCCTCCATGTTGGAGAGAGATAACTCTCCATTCTCACTAAAATACTGTTTATGTTCTGTACCAAGCTTTGAACAATTAAACCAACGCAACTATGTCGCATGACAACGCTGGATGCTCCCAGACGCTGCGACAATTATTCTTTTCAAAATTAATTTCTTATTAGATTATCATGTCATTTATATCATTCAAATGAATAAAATCCAAAAATAGTTTTATTAAATAAAAACTTGTCCTTGATATGCAACAGTGCAATTATCTTTCAAATAATTTTCATTTTGATAATCAAAATCTGGAATCCAATTAATGCCTTGTGGTCTTATGGTGATTCATGCTTGGAGAAAATTTTTCGAACCAGCGTTCGTAAACTCACAGCCCTCACAAGAACATTTTATCCGAGTTGAAGACTTCTTATATTAAACTCCACTGAAATATTACTATGACAATGTAGCGTAGTCCAATTAAACATTGAAAATAAAGATAAAGAAAACTGCATTAGGATTGCGATTGTCAGGTTCAGACCATGTCATGTTGAACTTGGAAGATATGTGTAGAAAAGCCAAGGAAATTGACTCAAAGGCATGAGCTCGGTTGCCGAGATTTAACGAAGCGTGAAATGGCTTAGAAGTATTGAAATAAGTCTTCAGTTAAAACACAACAATCACATGCTATTGTGAGTATGATTAATCAGTCACACGACCACCAGAATCGTGTTATTCAATCATTTCACAGGGCCCGCGGAGCCTATTAGAAGGTGGGGGGGCTAAATCATAAATAAAACAGCTCAGAGAACTGTGTTCCTGCACTTTAAGAGAAACTTAACAAGATGTACGGGGGCTAAAGCCCCCCCAGCCCCCCCGTCTCCGCGGTCCCTGTTTCAATACCTCAAAGTCCATTTTACGCTCCGTTAATTCTTGGTAACCGGGCTCATGTGAACAGCCCCATTGCTCCAAGACAAGAAATATATATGTTGGCATCTTATATGATGTATACTGTGCATGTGCGCAATGGATGTCAATCCATGCATGGGCATGGTTACAGTGCGTCAGCAAAGATATGCAGTTATATAGTAATAACTTTCAACTTTAATTATATTAAACTTTATTTATTTTCACAAGATTAATTTATTAATGTACACCAATACTGGCAATAGAAATTTAATCACACATTGAGAATTTTTATTTTAACATCTGTGTAATTAATACGTAAATTAGTTTAATATATATTATATGACTGAAGAGTTTTAAAGAAGGCGGTAAGCCACAATACCGTCATTTGCTGATCCAGTGCCAGTGGCTGGGTAGTGACTGTGACTGTTTACGACGTTGAAAAGGTATGTACAAAAAAACATGAAAAATGGATTGTAGAGGCTAGTGAACTAAACCTTAGCAATCTGCGACTGTGTACTCTTATTTACACATATGATATAGCTATCATTGCAACCAAATATATTTGTCGTGTTTGAGTAATCCAGAAACAGCTATCATGATACAGTGAATATAGTGAATGGCATTGCCATTGCAAATGTTTGGACAAAATGCGGTAGTTGAAATCAGTTACTCCTCAACAAGTTCATTGATACTTAAAAGGGCATCTCCAATCTAGTGAACACTTAGGCTTAGCAATGAAATATTATGTAAAATGTGGAACTTAATGCAAAATCTTTGCGGAAAACGGCTAGGATACAATATTCAGTGCGTAATACAAAGGTATACAAAATTTACAATACTTAACTTGGCTTATTTCCCAGAACATTTGTCGCGTTTTTTGCCACGCACATAAAGCTTAAAACCTTCTAAAGTCCGGCCTACACTTGCACGTACGTACGCGCCGAAATCGCGCGTTGACGGCCGCCTTGAAAGTAGACTACAGTTCTACTGTCATACTTAAAAAATTTAGCCGCGACGACCGGCGTAGTGACAGTTTCGAGTCACCGAGCATGCGCCAAATAGGCCGTACTGACAGTACGTGCAAGTGGAGGCAGGCCTTAAGTGTTTAAGTTGTTGTATAATTGCTAAAAAAGACGTTATAGGTTCTGTCTAGTTTTCTTGGTTCATATTCTAGGCATCCTCTAGATATACCTAAATTCTGTTTGGTTATATAAGAAACACTTCACGATCTTCATCAAACTAAACGATCGCCCGTTTTTACAGACTAGAAGCTATAGTTAGGGTATATTTATCGATGTAACTATAAGGTTCAGTGTTGTTTTGAGTAACTAAGGCGTCTAGCTTCCTGAAAGAGCTGACTCAGTTCCACCAATTCGTATTTTCTCATCTAATCAATTCAGATATTAGCAATATTAACCTCTTTGCTCCTTAGCCTAAAGGCCCGTTCCAGACGTCGAACTTTTTATATGTCGAACCTAAATGTTAATGAGCTAAAGCCTTTCTTTTAAGTTCATTTGAATTCGATTCCACACATGAAAAGTTCTTTAAAGTTCGACGTCTAAAGCCGATTCTCCATTAACGTCCGCTTCACCCGCGCGGGCGAAGCGGCTTTTGAAAATCTGTCCATGCGACCGTGACGGGACTGAAAAACAAAGCGCGCTTCGCCCGCGCGGGCGGAGCGGAGGTAATGGAGAATCGCCTTAAAACGGACCTTAGGCTTAGGCTGGCTTTAGAACAGGCGCTAAGCAGCTTCGATTGTCTTGTAGTTGTACAACACGTGTTTTTCATGAAAATATCATTTCATAAAAGTGACGTTCGCAATAAGCATTAATATATTCACCCAGAAACTTTTCCCTTAAAGGTTGTTTTCAACTTTTTAATTATCGAGTGCGGAGATAAAGGTTTTTGAATCTCTCTAAAAAGTTGTGACGTGTGACGTTCTTTGGGTTGTTTACTAAGTGTGAGGAAACAGAAGCTGCTTTTAAGCCGAGAATATAACCAAACTCCGAACCTCGAACTCAAAGGGAATTCCGCTGTAAAACACTTAAAGATAATTTACACATCTCAACACTGGGCTATACATGCATGCATGAGCCACAAATTCAGACGGCAATAATATTAATATTTGCATAAAATTGATTTCCTTATAGTTATTCTTGTCAAATATATGGACTAGCTGCTTAAATATTCATCGATATTCAATTGAGCGACAAAAAAAGGAGAATTAGATTTTAATTAATCACCTAATAAACCGGTTTTCCAGTAGGCGAAAACAAAAATTTTCGCTCGATTTTCTTTCAACGGTGACCGCGGTGAAGGGAACCGCTACGTTCGAATTCTCGACAATTGAAAAGAATATGAGACGAAAAATTCGTTCGATCGAAAAATTCCGCCTAGTGGAAAACCGCCATTATAGTGTTCGGCAAAATTAATTATGTTTCAAAAATGTGTAAAGCATATCGACATAATTATTCCATATCAGTCAACTTGTGGCGGGATCGTAATAAAGATCTCCGAATTATTTGTGTAAATAAATGTTGATTTTGGCAGATTAGAAAAGTAAAACACACAAAGCACAAAGAGAGGATACTAACCCGAAAACTCTATTTCTAGTTTTAGAGAACGGATACAAAATTATGTTGATCTTTGTATATTACCTCGTGTTTCTCGTTTTATACCCAGGTAATAATACCATTTAGATATAGTGTTAAAGTAAAAATAATTGTTTTGACTTAAGAATTAAAGTGACTGAATTTTTTAAACTTTTTCATGCTTTCGGCAGATTTTGGTCAATCAAGACATCTCGAACGGGTAAGTATATTGTATGTGAGGAGCAATATATAGACAATGCATGACTGCAGTTGTTGGTATTGATGCGCGCGATCTTCTTTTTTTTAATGTTACAAAATCAACTTCATCCTGCGAGTCGTCGAGCTCTTGACTATGAAATCAGTTGTGAAATCAAAACTGATCTGATAATACTAGCGTAGGATTTGTTCGCGTTCTCGATATTACTTTGCATTATTGCAGATATAGTGAAAACTGATTAAATGTCAAATAAGCCAAGATTATGCAATAACAGCTGAATACTTTTAACGATATCCATTTTATATTTTGTTCACATAAAGAAGGAAGAAAAACATTCGCTTCACCATAGCATGGGCAAGGCGGAACTAAAAAGATATTTTGGGACAACTTTTTTGGACGAAGGTATATATTTTCTGAGAGCCGAGTATATAGTGCGTTAATATCTGGGACCGACTTTTGTAGTGTTTATTATAATTTTATAGTTCCAGAATACGAGATCACTCATCCCATCCTGTCCAATGAGAATGGCGATATCCAATCAGACGAGATTGCAAGACTACAGGCTGATTCCAACATTAGACAACGAAGGAAAACACCCGAAGAGACCACTGCCCCAAGATATTATAAATTAAAAGCGTTCGGCAAAGATCTTAAGCTGAAGCTGAGAAGAAGTAAGGTTTTGGGTCCACGATTTGTTGTGGAAGACAGACACAAGAACGATATTAAAAGAATTAGCACTTCAGAGATGAATGAGCATTTTATTGGCAATGTTATTTCCCATCCTGGATCACATGTATCCCTTAGTGCTGGAAACGGATTGGTAAGATGGTAAACTTTCTTTATTCATATATTGAAACAATCATAATACTAGTTTCCTAGTTCATACACTGTTTGCTCACATCTTAGTCTATTGTCGTGTTTTCTTGTTTTCTACAGACAGGAATGATAAAACTACCCGAGGAAACATTTCATTTGCAACCTCTCACCGAAAATCTTTCTCAAAGATTCAAACGCTCTGCTTCGCCCTATCCACATATTTTAGTAAGGGCAAACAATAATGAGAAGGCTCTACCATGTGATGTCGAAGGTACCGTATTCTCTAGATTTTTGCAATTTCAAGAAAAAGTACAGAAATTTAATAATAACTTGCCGCATGATAATTTTTACATAGGGACGTTCGAACTGGGGCAAGGTTTTCTCAAGGTCTTTGCTCCATGTTCTTGAGACATCCAAAGTTACTGCATTTTATCCTCTCTTTAGTGAACCAGATTTTCTTATTTAAAAATAATTGCTATATTTGCATAGATGATCTTGGTGATGGGACTGTGGAACATCGTTCAACAATTATTGATCCACCAAAACTTAATAATTCTCACAAATACCTACAAACAATTTACGTCGTTGATCATCATCTTAGAGAAGCATATGGGCAGTCTACATTGGAGAAACTACTTCCTACACTTGCTAATATGGTAATGATCCCTGAATGCCTGCAATAATAGCCACCAATTGTTATAAACAAAAAGTATTTTCTACGAACAAAAATTTGTTTCTCGATATTTCAGGTCGCAGGACTTTATAGGGACCACAGTTTTGGTAAAATAAAATTGAACTACATATTGAACAAGATTATTTTCCTGAATCGAAGCGAGGTACAGTTTACTAAAATATAATATGCTCCCAAAAAGTCGTGATAAATCCTATTTTAACCCTTCTTGTCCCTATACTCAGACTTACAAATAACTTACAAATAATAATAGTATTATCCGATTATATCCTTTTTAAACCATGATTATATGATGTTTTTTCCAACCGTGATCTAGTTATCGTACCCCAAGAATGCAACAACTTCCACCAAGCTGAGTCATATTCAAAAATGGGCAGCTGAAAACAATGCGGAATATGATGAAGATCCTGATCATTTTGACACCGTAACACTTTTGTCGAGGTAATCAATCTTCCCCATGATTTCAAAACTTCTTAGGCCGGCATTCTGCGCGGGCTAAAGGTTTTGCATTTCCCTAAAATATCACACGACGCGCGACACTTCATGACAAAGTCAAAGTTGCAAAATGTTTGTCGATCTTACGTGCAAAAATAGCTGTCCAAAAAATAAATATCGCCCAAAGCCAACTTAAGTGCCATAAATGAAAATGCTTGTTGCGATATCAGGTATATTGGTTACACGGCACATTCCACAGCACAGAGGTGTGGAGGGTGCAAAGAAATAGACAAGAAATGCGGAAGTATTTGTCTATATGGCCCGATATGACCAAAACCTTTCAGCTCTTAAAATGATAGCCATTGTATTTTTCTTGTAGGGGTGAGTTAAAAGGTATGTTTTCAGTACAATCAATACGCAATTACATTATAGCAAAAATAGACAACTATTCAAAAAGCTCAACAAATATCAACTTGAATAACGTGAACTTTTGGAACGTGTCAATGAACCGGCTGAAAAGATGGGTTATATAGAAAGTGTGAAATAAAGGGGAGTAGGCGACTGTGAGGAATTTTCAATGAATGAATGAATGAATGAATGAATGAATGAATGAATGAATGAATGAATGAATGAAGACTTTGAATTATTTAATGTCCCAGTTTACAGTGACTATTTACGCCTCTTAAAATGACACAGTGCATGTTCATTAATTTGAAACAGGCCGAGGTGTACTAGGATCTATTTGTACAAGTCGCTCCACTGCGAACGTCGTTAACCTGGGTGGTCTCAATTCTGCTTCAACAATTGCACACGAAGTATTTCACAAGTGAGTAGCTGTTTCACATTCCTGTATCAATTAGTAAATAATAGTTTCTTAAACCTGCATAGCGTAAATAGATGGAATTATGAAGATCTATGGTGAAACTCCTATTCTCGGCCTTTTGGACATTTCCCTCCAACGTTTGAACGGGCTGACTAGGAAGAGACTGAATTACTTCTTTATGTATTCCTCTACAATAGCAAGTCTTTCAAATAATCCTTCGTTCCTCTCTATAGCCAGATACACTATAATAAGTTACTTACAACTGAAATAAAATGTAGATTTTGTTCCAATCCAAAATTAAAACGTAATAATCTTTTTCTACCTCTGCTGCTATATTTCGCATCGTGAATTTTGTCTTTTGTACCTCTTTCGTACCTATTGATTTATCCTGTTCTAACAGCAGGTAAATTGGGAAAACGCTTCAGTAGCAAATCTTGGGGTAAAGAGTAAAAATACATAGTCTCTAATAGTGATTTTTCTTTTCTAGTATTGGTTATTACCATGATGGTTCAGAGAAATGCCCAAACCATAAATACATTATGTCGACAGTAGTCTCGTCTGGACCAGCTTCATATACCTGGTCAGCATGTTCTAGGGATTATGTGCAGAGCTTTTTGAGGTTTGTCTTGCATGGTTTCTCGATGTCGACAACACCCTTTTTCAATATGCCTAAAATTTTAGCCGTATATTACGGAAAATAACATCATGCAGACGGTACAGCACCCAAACTAAACCATCTACATTTCAATTAATACAATAAACTAGGATTAATATAATGCTGAAAATAATTTCCGACCTCAAACACATTGAGTTTTAGAATCAGTTTACATTGAGGATTTTAAGTCCTAAACTTTGGCATTACATGCGTTTGGTAAAGGTCGAAGAATCTACAAAGCAATTATAGTCTTCATGCATGTTGATGATTTCAATTTAGTTAAACCTCGTTATAGTCAAAACTTTCAATAAAGAACTTTGAAAAAACCTAATCTTCTGATAAAGGTAGCATAACCTTTCTTTGTATCCTTTATAGTTCCGAAGCATCACTCTGTTTGGATGACCCTCCATTTCCAGGAATTCAAAGACCAACAGAGCCATCTGCAGTAGTAATTCAGTCGTCTATGCGACTCCCGGGTGTAGTATACGATGCTAACAAGCAGTGTGAATATGTATATTCTTCACTTTATAAGAACTGTCCAACGAAACAGGTGTGTGTTTAATAATCTTATTACATTAGTTGTTAGTATTAGTCCTTTATATTTTCATGGAAAAAAAGTACACAGGAACTTTGCTGACACATTCTCCCGGCAATAAACAAATCAGAGGTGAAAAAAGATTTTATTTTCTGGCACCGCTATATAAAGAAAGTAAAAACATTTCTGCAAGTATTTGAGAGCGAACAAGTTAACTGTGCTCGGCTAGCTTTTTCTTACTTCTTCCTTCCTCCCTTTATCTGTCTAAATTTTCAGGAATAATGGTCCCGCGGTCCGCCATTTTTTCCAACTGTGCTAAAAATTGTGAGGACTGTATGTAACCGTCATGACTGGAGGTTTTTGTCACACTCGGTGAAAAAAGAATCATAATAAACAAGAGCAGGACTATTGTGATAGTTACTATGCATTTTCTCATTATATTCAATTTTAATTTGCTAATTGGTCAATGCCAAAGTTACAAATGTCTATAGTCAATACAGATTTCTTTTATGTTGGTGTAACAATCGCCAAAAAAGACAATTTGGAAGATTCTGGGAATTTGCTGAACAGCAGTTAGACTTGGAATGTCTTAACCTTATCTATGTTTGGTCTTTTGCATATTTACACATATATAGAACCAATGTGAGTCCTTGTTCTGTACAGCTGATAATAAAGTTTGCCATACTAATTATGCTCCGCCATTGGAAGGAACTCGGTGTGGTGTGCGACATGTAAGTATCTTGTAGCATACATTTGATACTCCTGACGTTAAAATGCTGTGACGTAATTACCGAAAAGGAAAGTTTAATTGAATGACACGTGATAAAGATAAGTGTAAACGTTCAGACGTAAGACATCCTTTCGGCTTTGAATATTTATAACCCTCTTCAGAAGACGTGCATGTTTACGAGGGATTGACGATATGCACTGATAAAGAACACAAGAGGATACTTTCTTCCTGGAAAGGAAAAAATAACGGTTGGAAAGTAGAAACAACTGGGACATGCATGTTGAATTCTTAAAAGTGCATTTCGACGTTGTCCAGCAACGCTTACACAGATGAACCAAGAATATCATAGTGTTTATTTACAAGTATACATATAAGGGATCTGATGAATATCCAGGGTTCTGTTCTTGTTTGACACTTGTGATGCATAAATGCATGATTATTATTTATTCAGTGGTGTATCAGAGGTGAATGTGTTGATGATGGTTCCATATTTGTTGATGGAAAGTGGGGAGCTTGGTCAAATTACAGTGATTGTACAAAAGATTGTGATATTGGTGTAGCACACCAAACAAGGGAGTGTAATAATCCAAGGTTAGTTCAGTGGGTTAGTCTGGTTGCCTAGCTGGTCACATGATCTACTGAAACCTAGCATATGCAGGGGGCGTGGAACAAGTCAGGATGTGATGTGGCTAACTGACTCACAGAATATTCCATGTTTAGTACAATTTTTCTCCCCTCTCGTATACCGGTATTCATGCAGGAAGTTGGTTAGCTTTGAGAGAGAGGCTTGTTCATACTAGACTCACCACTATTGTTAGTGCCAAGCGAGAAAATCTTTGAAATTCTAAGCCTCTAGAAGAAAACATTCTTATTTACAGTCCTCAGAACGGTGGACAAAATTGCGAAGGAAATGTCCGTGGTAACCACAAGACATGCAACACACAGGTAACCCTAGTTTTTACCAGACATTGTCTTCTGTATTCAGACAGTGGAAAGGAGCAAGAGGCCTGTGGCGAGTAGCGCGAAAACGAGGCCAGTCAGTAATTTTCTTCTTTTGCCATATTTGAACATTTTGCCAGGTTTTGACGGTGGAAAACCAAACTATCCTCGTTTTCGTACAACATGCAATAGGTCTCAAGAACATTTATAAACTTTTGGGGGAAATAATCTGACTCGCAACAAGCTTCCTGCTCTTTTAAGAAAAGAAAAAGTCTTCGAATAGGAAAAGTTTATTCTTTTTAACATCACAGGAGTGCCCAGAAGACGAAGTTTCATTCCGTCAAAAGCAATGTTCAGCGAAAGGAAAATACTCAGAATATATCGTTCGTAGTGGTAAGCCAAAATACACTTTGGTCTTTAATGCGCCAAACTTCAATTTTTTCTTTCCTTTATTGCAATACGTACATTACAGATCCTTGTTCATTGGTGTGCAGAACAGGCTCAAGTATTTATTGGATGGGCACAACAATAGATGGAACAAAATGTTCTAACCAGAAGGGAAACCTAGATGTTTGTATTGAAGGTCATTGTAAGGTAAAGCACATTAAACATAACTTTAGTTATAGATTTCTAGGCCGTGATTGGATTGAGTAGTAGTTTGCCTAGCAGACGTTCTTATGGCTATTTTGGGCAAATCGCTAGGAACCGTTCTCGAATATAACCGTTCTCGAATATATCTCGACGTCGACCCGGAAAATGTATCCATTTTTGGAGCTCTTGTTTATTTGACACCTGCAGTAGTGACTGCCCACAATAAAAGGCATTTGCAGCTGCATCCACATTCCCGCAGTTACCTTCAATATTTATTTCTCATGGGCATGTATGCAGGATGTAGGATGTGATTACAATCTTGGTAGCGGAAGAAGATTGGATCGTTGTAAAGTGTGTGGAGGGGATGGCAGCTCATGTGCACTGAATATTTTCAACTACACCAAAGCTTATCGCGGATATGGTGAGAGAATGATTATGATATTAACTTTGCATTTGGTGGCGAAACAATCAAATATCCTGTCTTCCTCTCTGAAGTCTGAACACAAATGCAGTTCGTTTATAGTACATACATGCATAATGCATGGTATCTAATTTAAATTAATTTATTTTTCATAGAATTTCTCTCTTCGTTTTTAGGGTATGAGAAAGCAGATGTAATGGTGACATTACCAGTACATTCAACGAACGTGGTTGCAGTACAGAAAGATATATCCTACAATATGATAGGTATATAAGTAAAAAGTGGATAATAATGCGATTATCGTTTCATATGCACGTAAAAGTTATTAAATTATTCCAAACTACAGTTTGTTAATACACGCTGTTAATTAATCAGTAATCACATAATTATTTTAAACGCCAATGTGGTCGAAAAGGTTATTGGTTTAAGCTCCCAAACGTCAATTACACCCAACTTTCTTATCACTGTAGGAATCCAAAACATAGAAGGTGAATACATGATTCAACCTCCCTCGTGGAGTAAAACAATCGAAGCAGCCGGCACCACCATTACATACATCCACGAAGATAATAAATATGCAGATAGGATATATATACCTGGACCAATAAAATACGAGTTGAATCTGGTGGTATGTTATTCCACTTACACGTCATGCAGTGTAATGATACAACATAACCATGCATGATACTAGGAATATATATATGCGCAGTCTTTTTTTCGAGCCTATTCACCGTTTGATCTAAACGGACTTCGTATAACCGGCCCTACGAAATAATTATTAAGCACTGCATTCTTCTTTTTTTAGTTCATCTTTCTTTATGAAGCGAACCAATTAGGTGTGGATATCTCTTACTATGCCCCCACTGTAGGACTTACTTCGAACGTAACCGATTTTGAATGGACAGTTTCTGTTTGGTCAACTTGTTCACGATCTTGTGCTGGAGGTAATGATAACATTCATTTAAGGGTAGGCCCACTTCACACCCGGTGTTATGTGGTAATGTGAACGCTGCTGTGAATATGGTAATGCCTTGCGTATCATCAAATTCGTATTTGAGTGGTCCTATTGTTTATTCCCTATACTGTGATATAACGCTGACACCTGCAATCACCGAGCTACATAATAATTCCTTGAGGACGTGCTCCTCATATTTCGGTAACTTTGCCCGCCATGTTTCTTTGGTCGCTTTTTGCCACGAATTATAATATATAGCTCAGTGGAAGAAATACTGACAAAAGACAATGTGTGCGTCTCCTTCACTATAACGTCCGTTATACTAAAATGCACGTGTGCCAACTGCCTATAGGGTTGAGCGTAAGAAGTGTTCGATGTGTTCGCAAAGACGATAAAACAGACGTTGGCTACGAAAACTGTGATGGAATAACCACGCCTGCTGCTATACAATCTTGCAATACACAGCCATGTCCACCCGAGTAAGTAAACCTATTACCCTATCTTTACTGTCGTATATCCCTATAGTTAAATTAATTCCCATAGTACCGCATACTTGAATCTACGTGAATCGTAGAACAATGTGGTACTGAATGAGAGATCCTAAATTATCAGGAATGTGATCAAAAACAGTCAAAAAACTGTCCGTGTAACCGTAATATGAATACTTTTTCTCGCGGCCCACGATGGAGACTGTGTTATTAATACCATGTATCGATTCACAATTATCATACACAGATGGTATATCTCTGCCTGGGAAACTTGTTCCTTGTCGTGTGGGAAAGGCTTTCAGCAAAGAAGTGTGGTTTGTCGTCAGAAAATGGCCGAAAATGATTGGAGAACAGTCAGTAATGAAACATTGTGTCTGGAGACCAAGCCTGTTGTCTCGCCAACGGAGAGAAACTGCAATAAAATCAATTGTCCACCAGAATATGTCGCAGGACAATGGTCTAAGGTAAATATATAAACTGGCATGCAGTATATGGTAATGCATGGTAAGACTAGATTTAGCCAGACGATCGCTTGGACATATTACGAAAAAACAGTGTGGATCGTTACACTGATGTTGCTAATACTGGTCGCTCGTCTGAAAATCCTACCCATTGGATTTGTAATCAAGGGCCTTTGCCTGAAACGTTATTTCCATCGTGGAACCTACCAACATGCACTGGCCCGAATGCACGGTTCCAGAACATAGGAAAAAAGGTCATTGTTCTATCTCATACAACTCATGCACCTTCTTATTTAGTTTATTAAGAAATTTTGACAGCCAGACGTCTTTATTTCGTTATTTCTTATTAGTGTTCCACAACATGCAGTCCTGGAGTCATGACAAGAAAACTGAGTTGTCAAAGAAGAACAGCCACTGGTACAACTGAACTACTTCCTGAGTTACGGTGTCAAGAATACGGATCAATGAAATTATCCACCACACAAGAATGTAATACTGATTCCCCTTGTGAACGTAAGAGAGCAAAAAATTATACTACAAACGTTGACGGTTCAGTCTGAAGAAAACAGCCCACATGCCGCAGCAGATTCCAACATATAGGCGCAAGTAGCACAATCCTGGCTATTTCTTGAAACATATTTCGAAGTATTCACAAAATAAACAAAGAAATTCGGTCAAAATCATACGACTCATGACCAGGAATATATACAATGATGACCTATCCAATTATATTTTGAGTTGATACACTAAATTCATTGACAGATTTTCTCTGTTTGCCTCTATTTTTCTAGGTTCGTCCAGATCAATGCAGTCCCATTCAGAGTAATAAATAAGTTGGGCTATACGATAATCCGAAACACATAAAAAAGAATCGACAGACATTTTTTTCTTTTCATTTATTTCTATTTAGCACCGCCACAATATGAAATCGGCTGTTTTCAACTCGATGAAGAAATCTTCCCCAGTATATTGGCAAACTTCAAGGAAACCTTAGATTATGAGAACATCCTCGAGACTGCTCGTTCCTGTGCTAAATTAGCATTTCATCAAAACAAGAGATACTTTGGTCTGGCAAACGAGGGAGAATGTCGTGTTGGACCTGATGATGTTCAGGCAAACATTTTTAAGCCCAAAACATCAAGTCAGTGTTCATCATCTGTAGGGAAAACCGGTGCTATATACCTCTACACCCTGGGTAAGTGAAAAATACAAACACAAGGTTTTAAATGGTCGTTTGGTCTAAAAATACGGTCTTCAGTTTGTTTGTTTTTCATTTTATTGCTGTTCACCATTTTGATTGATCCGACTACACGTTTTGTAGTTAAATCAAAATTCTATACGGACTGGGGTCGGTTGTACAAAATTCCTTACTACATTTATTGAATCGTAGTTCTAATCGCCCAAATCTGTCCCTATAACAAGAGTTTAAATATACCTTATTATTTCTGAACACAATGTTACCGTCTTTCCTATAACCAGTTTACGGTTTACCAGCTGATCAGCTGTCAGCTGATCGCGATTATAGAAATGGCTATATGATTTCATGACGAGTTTTTTATTTCTTCAATATAAAGATCAAATGCCTAGTTTCACTCCGATGGGATGCTATGAAGATAGCTATTACGAGCGAGCCATGCCGGTGCTCTACAAGAATTTCCGGGATCAGATAAACTGGTATCTCATGGAGAGAACTGTCAATCAGTGTGCTCGGGTGGCCTATCATAGTGGCTACGAATACTTTGGAGTGCAGTTCTATGGCGAGTGTTGGTCTGGAGTTACAGCAAATGAAACATACGACAAATATGGTGAAAGCGACTCGTGCTGGAAGGGGGTTGGCAAACACTTCGCAAACTTCGTGTACAAATTGAATTAAACAAATGTTGTTACCATTCACGTAAAAATATTCTGGCTGTAAACAGCAATAAAATTATTCAGTGTGTTCAAAATAATAAAACTATAGCTATACCTCAAATGATCAAATCGTAAAATCGTATGCTTTGTACTGCCAGATTTTGTCAAAACTTCATTGCAGTCAACAATCTCTTGGAAACACTACATAAACATGCATGCAATTCTCAAGCAGTATTGTAATGTCAAAGGCTCGGTTCTTCCATATACACTGCGACTATAAGCATAGATCGAGAGGATTGTAGAGATGAGTTGCATGAGTTGCAGAAAGAACTATTATTGCAACTATTATTAGAACTTATCACTGCATGGGTGAATACAGCTAGGACGTGCACAGGCAACTTCAACTTGCGTTAAAATTTCAAATATCTCATGTATTCGTCCTTCAGTGAATGCGAATCAATATATTAACCACCGCCGGATTGGTGTCACCATTTCTAATAAGCAAGTCATAAATAACTTAGTCAGGTATGTGAGGAATAATGAAGAATAATGCAGGTGATAATTTCATTATACCAACCACCTGCTGTTAGGGGTCTGCAACTATTTATAAATCATAAATATTTTTTGCATGAAGTTGATACAGCCCAAGTTTCTCAAAAATACATGCAGATATGTTAAATGTTAGCCGTAAATTAGGTTTTATGCCATTAAATCACTTTTGCCTTTTTTCGCGAAAATTCCTACTTCATATAAACATACATTTATCCGTGATTTATCTCACAGTTCCCACGACCCTAAATATAACTATACAATTTTTTCCAATTGGGTGACATGGCATGTGTTTGCGCAATAGCATGCATGGTGAATGAGTTCGTGATAGAATGAGAATAAGATTCAGGCTTGGGTTTAAGGTTCATGCGAATTTGTGTCCACCGTTTCGCTGTCGCACGCAGTATCTTTAGCAGACAGTAAAATGAAGTCCGTAAGATTCGAGGCTAAGCGAGCTTTTATAGAATCATGCAAATACTCAGTATTTTACTATAAACAACATTATAGAAATGTTCGATATTATCCGCCTGTCACTCGGCTGGCCAATGACAAGTTGTTGTAAGGAACAAGTTTGTTGTACTACAATATCGCCGAGCAATAGTAAATATTTGTTATCTATATGCTACAAAATAATCAAATCTATGGCGGCTTTATAAACTCGAAGAAAAAAACTCTGTATTTTAAACGAATTCATACGGCATATACAGTACATATAAACAGTACATTGATATAGACTTGTTAACTGGCTGCACGTGTCTTTCTAAGCAAAAGAGATTCATTTTCATATATGAAAAGTCAAAAACTCCAATTGACTTAAATTATACGTTAAGAATATTGAAAGCCTATATGTACAACCACAAGAATTACTATTTAGTTGAATTCCACACGTTTTAACAGAATTTGAAACGGAGAATAACTTCACTTGCTTGCAGTATTAAACTGCGAGAGAAAAATCAACGTCTCGCCAAATTTTACAAACACAAAGAAACATTAGATTATTATTGTGACAGTGTAACAATATATTAAATTCAGGAAACCCTACTTGGTATTTTAATTATTTCTTGCAAAATGAAGGAAAATAAGTCGTCAAACTCAGATTCTGTACAAATTGATTGATTTAGGATGGGCATAATAATAGGATTTTGGTTGACAACAATCTAAGTAGTTCCCTGACAACAATCTACCACCGGAAGAGCGTTGTTACCGTGTAATGAAATATTAAGTGGCTTAGAGTGTGTGAAAGTTTAGCATGTATCAGGATATGCATTTGCATATATGTAGCATCGCTTCCATGTGATGAACGTCAGGTTAAAAGCTAAGTACTCGCTAACATCTTTCGTTTTGATAGATATCTGTGTCTACAATTGACTATATAAAATACAGACTGCTTGTGTTTTATAAGTGTGTTGTGATAAATGTTGCGCAAACAACTGTCAATAAATTAACTGGTCGTTGGCATTCGAGGTTGAGTTTAAATGTAAACAGTGCGTGTTGGAACTTGGTTATATATCTTATCGTGACGGTTAAAAGGATATATGCGTGAATCGAAACCATGATGGGATTTGTGAAAGGGTAAGTGTCATGAATACGTCGCCAAACAAGCGAAAGCGACGGCGAAAAACAGAGAGTTTCGAGAATCCTGAGAAGATGTCACAATCCTCAAGTCAAGAAAATGCTGATTCTACGGGCAATAAATGGAAGCGGAGACTTCATTCACTACGAAGAAGTTTATCAAAGAAAAAAGTAACAAATTTGAAAGAATTTCAAGTTTCTAATCAAGAACGGAATGATACCGAGGAATGTTCGTGCGACAACAAGAATGGAGAACCTGCTATTGCGGATATTACCTTCGATAATAGATGTGAAAATATCAACGATTGGCAGCAAAATAACGAGAAGCAATCGCCATTATTAAACGGTTGTTCACCCAACTATAGTCCTAACTTAGACCCCCTCATTTCGTCTGATGACAACAAGAATAATATTAAGAAAAGAAAAGGATTTAATCAGCGTACAAAAGGTGACACAGTGCGGGGTAACATTTCTCGTGATGGACACACTACAAAAGAAGATTTACAAAACGGCAAAAATCATCCCTGCAATGGTTTCGAGAAGAGAGATAGCGATGTAAGAAGGAGCCGAAACCGTTTGAATGGTCGTAGGAATAAACGTTTATCTTTGTTTTCAAGCTGGTTTAAACTACCAACTCGGGCTTCCTCTGAAAAAAATCTAAGACGTAGGGGTCGAGGTTTATCAATATCAACCGAGAATTTCAACGAACCAGAAGGTAATTTCAAATTCCTGACGGATGTGAAACTTTTAAGAGATCCTGGTTATATATCAAGCTCTGGTGATTCTCTTGATTTGACCGAAGAGAAATATCAGTCGCTTCGGCGTTCCCGAGCTTCCTTAATCGATATCAAATGGCATAAGTATGGAAAGAGCGAAGGTAATCTGGCAAGTCCTGTGTCACGCAACCGTAGTCTCAGCCCTTCGACGCCTAAATCTTTAAGAACCAAGGAAATTGTATTTCCCGATAAAAATAAACAAATTATCCGAAGAGAAGGCATAAATAAACAGCAACAGCAGAAGAGATATAGTGTACCTGTCAAAATCGAGAAATGCACACAAAATACGAGCGAAACTTGGGGAGATTGGGAGCGAGTGTCCGCAGGAGATGCTGAAGTAACCCATTGTAGTAATAGTTTAGGAAGTTTTGGTAATATAACTGAAGATGATGATGTTTATTTGACTGCAGAAGAGAACTCCACACATAGTTCACCAAACTTGTTTGATGACTGTAAAGACCAGCAGCCCTTGCCCAAATGCAAGACAGTGTCTGAAAATTCAGAGAACAGTAATTCTTTGAATGAACCCAATTTTTACAATGCGTCAAATGGCAAGAGCATTTCTTTAGCTAGTTTACCTGTTTCAAACGTAAATAAAAACGTACAACTGGTGACACAGGAAAAATCACCCAATGAATGGATGACACCACATCCTGGCACAGATAAGAGCCAAATTTTACAAGTTCAACCAACAAAGGATGCTGTTAGCAAGACATCAAGTTTGAACCTCGAAAATAACATTGGTTCAAAACCAGTGACATATGTGTGTAAAAGTTGCCAAGTCAATGGATTGAATGGAAGAAAGACAACCAAACCTAAAGAATTCCATAGACTATCCTTAGGTCAACTCACTGATCTTAATGATAGACCTGTAGTATCAATGAGATGTGTGCAATGTAAATCTCCAAGATTATCTAAACAGAATGACACATGCCATGATGTACTTTTTACTAGACCACCAAAAAAGCCAGCCCCTAAACCCCCTGCTTTGATGAAAAACAAATCCAAGAGCATGACTGCACTTGCAGGAAAGTTTCCATATTTATCAGACCAACTTGATCTCAATGAAACATCATCTTTACACAAGTTAAATGACTCTTGCAGTGATAATTTATGTGAACTTCTATCACAGTCCAAAGATGCATCGTCGCCAACCAGTGAGGGAGTTTATGTCGGGATTATGGGAGATCAAGGGGTTATTCTTCGGAAAAGAAGAGTACACTTGAAACAAAAACGTGTAGTTTCCATGCCTTCAGAACTGCTTGAGAATGTTATGGAAGTAGAAGTAATAGACACTAATAGCCATAATTTTTCTAGTACTAATCAAGATGGGGTATCAAAGATAGACAATGGAACACCATTACCACTTTCTGGAAGTGAGGCACATCTAAGTTGCAATTCTGATGCCCAATCAAGTTCAAATTCCAATGCTCCTACATCTGGTGTGTCAAATTGTAGTATTGAGAAAGATCTATGTATGAGATCAGTCAGCATATCAAGTATTGATGTTCAAGATGTGAGCATTAAAAAGAAAACTCACTCTCAAAGTGTCCCATGCTTGGCATTCAGTAAAGGCTGTCTAGATAGTCTGAAAGCAACACAACCTCAACAAGGCATGCTGGAAGAAAGTGAAACATTTTCCTTCCCAAAAGACTGTGTCAGTCAGAAATCATCAACAGCACAAAGCATGATGTCTTTGAATTTTCAGCAACCTCATGAAGAAACAGATGATATATCTGATAAGGTTAGAAATTTTAGGATATTGGTCATAACAATATTCCTTTAATCTTTGTATAGAGTAAACCTTAGGTGATGGTGCTGCATTATTTGATTGTCATATATTTATCATTTTCGCAGGTTACGGGAAAGCCATTGATGTATGCTGAAGCTTTATGGGACCATGTCACAATGAATGAAGAAGAGTTGTGTTTTACAGCTGGTCAAGCTATAGCTGTGTATGATGTTGATGACCCTGAATGGTGGTTTGGTCTGGCTGATGATCATATTGGATGGTTTCCAGCCTCCTTTGTCAGGGTGAGTACACTCAGTACAGGATGGAAAACCAAAAAATGTTCATAACAAAAGCCTACAAATTTCATTTTGTTTAACAATGCTTTTATTTAATAACTGAAAAAGGGTTATTTTGGCGAAATATTTTTATGACATAGGGCCAACTCAAAATTCGCGGTTGTCTGTTCTATATTTGAAAAATCATGTTACAAGCATATTCATCAGTTCATACGGCCAGAATAACTATTTTACCTTGTCCTGCCGTCTTGTTGAGAACAGAAGGATCCACTGGAAGCTAAATGTTTTTAATCCCGCTCTATTCAACGCGTAGTTTATTTAGATTTAGACTTTGTACCAGAGTACCAGATATACCAGAGTACCAGATACACTGACACTGTATGTCTGTATCTGCCATTTTTGTACGAATGACCAAAACGGAACTGATCTCAAATGTACGTTGGAACTGGAATAAACACGTATGCCAGTGATGGGTTACGGTACCACCCGGGGACATTCTTTTCAGATGTACAGTGTCTTGTACGTGTCTTTGCAGAATCTAGGTTAGACAACAATCATATTATATTGTGGGCATTGGTTCTGATAACGGTGAGACGGCTTCTAATTTAAAAATTCTTAAAATTTGTGCAATGTTGGAAATGTCAAACATAGTCCTCCCTATCACTACAGCTCCCATAAATGTGTTAGAGAAAGACTCGCCCTTCCCCGCCCCTCCATAAATACCTCCTAAATTTTATATTCAAAATTTAAATGCGAGTCGAGACGTCCGTGTTCCGATATCACAACGAAATGATTCAAATATATATATATATAGGCTATAGCATGGATACCAACTCTCATTTTAAAGAAAATTAAAGGCTTTGTAGGTAAATGTCTTTCAAAATTAAAAGGCTTTATTTAGCACAAAGTTTCTTTGGTTTAAATTTCGAAGACGCCTATACCTAAGTAATTGGCATGCACGAAGATTGGCGTTTGGGAGAAGTCGGCTGTGCGCGTGGGTTCCTATATGCCTGAGCCTCCTCGTCTTTCGTATAAAGAAGGTCAATTTCATTATTTTGTATATATGTACATCTTGCAGATTCCTGTCTCTGGAGAATTACTGAGTAAGTACCAGAACAGTTATGGGCAGAAATTGAAAATATCTGATGTAAGAAGTGAAAATGGAAGTCATGTGTGTTTATCGAATGAGGAGATCCGCGATAAAATTATAGAAGAAATCGTCAGCACAGAACAAGATTATGTTCAAAATCTTAAAGACATTGTCGAGGTATATTTTTTATCGTTAGTAATATTTCACAGAATTTAAAAGTAGCGGGAAAACGTCTCAGTACAGAGAAAGTTTTAATTATATGCGAACCAAGCCAAATTTGATAAAATTTCCCATTTGTCGTTTTGCGGTTTGTCGCACGTATTATTAATACCAAGAAAATAACAGATTCATTCGTTCATTCAAACATTGATAGTCCCAGGTCAAAAGATAAAGGTGTCATAATTATATCGCCGCGAACTAGTTATTTAAATTTTGATCTTACAGTACATCCATCTAAACTTTGAGTTACATGTACTTATTTTGCATGTATTTTCTATTCAGGGATACCTTAAACAGGCGAAGAAACGACCAGACATGTTTAATGAAGAACTGTTGAAAATAATATTTTCAAACATTGAAGAGATTTATGACTTTCATCTGGAGTTTTCCCAGTCCATTAAACGTCAATACAATCAAGCGTGGCAAGACGCTGCTAATATGGGAGAAGTTGGTGCGGTCTTTTTGCAAAATGTAAGTTTCTTCTGAGATACGGCAGAAAGATTATAATTAATAATATATATACTGCATCAATCAAATCTTATAGACATTACTGATAACACAGGTTCACGCAGAGAGGCCCTGTGATATCGATTCGATACCTAACTAAATACAGTACTAAATACTCAAAATATCCTGCTCAGGAGTCTTAATTATCCCATATTATGCATGTATGGTCAGTACAATAGCAAAAGCAGATAATCCTCCCGGACGTATTAGGAAACGATTTTTTGATCCTCAAAAGATTTTCGGGGAGACATTCAAGAATCACTAATAAAAAATTGGTAAACGTATGTCAGGAATAAGCTTGGTTTTTTCCGGGACCGTCCGCCACTTCTGATCTTTCGTTTTCCTCTGTTTTAGAGAAAAAAATTCGAGCTATATTCTGAATATTGCAATAACCATCCACGGGCGTCTTCTGAACTAAAACATCTTCTACAGCAAGACAAATACCGATATTTTTTCGAAGCATGTCGAATGTTACAAGACATGATCAAGATTTCACTGGATGGATTTCTTCTGACGCCCGTACAGAAAATTTGCAAATATCCTTTGCAACTGCAGGTATATACAATAGTACATCAGCATCAGCATGACTATAGTCGTGTTTCGTTTTTGCTGCATTTGTGCACACTGATTTATTAAAGCATTATGTTTGAATTTCGTCTTCGTACAGTGGAAAACCTTGCCATGCATTTATTAAAATTTAGCTAAAACATCAGTTAAATTACCATAGGTAAAAGCGTTGCACAAAAAAGTCCATATTCATCAATATATATACTCAGCTACAGTTGTCCTTTGAGACTCATTGTACGAGTTATTCGAGGTATAATTATTTCAGGTATAAATTCGAGGTTATTTTAATATTCATTCCAATATAGGAACTTCTGAAGTACACAAATCCTGAACACAGTGATTATGAGAACGTAAAGGATGCCTTGGATGCTATGCGTGAGGTAGCCTCGAGTATCAATGAGAAGAAGAGAAAGGTGGAGAATATCAAGAAAATTGCTGAATGGCAACTTGGAATCGAACAATGGGAGGTGATGTAAAATTCCTGGCAATTCTTAGATATATTGTATAAATCATGGAACCTTTAAGCTTGATGATACTTTACATGCAGACGTCAGTTGAAATACTGCATAGGAGCTAGGACGTGTCTCGCCGGCTAATTTTAACCAAACACTTATATAAGGTCATTGGTCAAGGTGTATCCGGGTAGGCCCATATATTTCTCTGGCATGATCACATAAAATTACGATAACATCTCAGTCCTGCAGCTGGGCCTCTATGTAATTTGAATAATCGTATGGTTTGTATATATACTACCTAATATAAGCATGGAGACATCGTTAATAAAGTGCGAGTTCTCCCCATTGTCGATAATTGAGAAACCGACCTGTTTCACAACTCATTCGCGTGTGATTCTACTAAAATTAGGGTGAAGATGTGTTGATCAAAAGTAGTCAATTAGTTTATTCTGGCGAAGTTGTGAAGTTGTCTAAAGGAAAAGCTCAAGATGTGACACTCTTTCTCTTTGATCATCAACTTGTTTATTGTAGAAAGGTATTTGCATTGCGATAATTTCATAATTCAGTTGCAAGACTGATATCACTGGCGTTTCCCCCGTAGCTTTCTCAGCTAAACCGACGTCGTTTTTTACACGCACGTACACGCACGTAAAATTAGGGTTTTCAGTTTCCTAAAACCATTTTTTTTCTAAAGGATTTAATCAAGAAACGTTCACTGGAATATAAAGGAAGAATAGTTTTGGAAAACTACAAGTTTGAAAAACTTGAGGATGGAGAAGGTTGTGACATGAACATTTTTAACAAATTTTACGGTCATGATACATATAAAATTTGAGTTTCTGCATTATGAAGGTTTCTGTTTTCATTACATTATACGACGATAGCCCATTGTTATTTTATTATTTTTCAGTTATTCAAAATGGTTCAGCTGTAAAAAATGCGTGGAGATTATCAAGCACACAAAGCAACACAAGCTGTTTATTTCAAGCCAAGTCTTCTGATCAAAGAGATAAATGGATTGGATATTTTCTGCAAGAGAGAAAGATTGTGTACGAAACGACATCAGGTTAAACAAATTGTTCTCTTTTTTTGTTCCTTTGTACACAACCCTGGGTGCCAGAGATTTATAGTAAACATGCGTTTGATTTAAAGTGCCGGGACTCTTTCGGCTAACGCGACTACCAAAGCCTTTGCGAAAGCAAGGAATGTCATCAACCCAATGGCAATGTCTGTCGTACACCAGAGATTCGCATTTTTCTCTTATACAACCAGAATCTTTGCATTTGTTAATGATCCATACTATTTTAGCTAACAGCATCCCACTGGACGAGCGGATGGCAGCGATGAACGAGGCAAAGTATTCCGTGAAAAGCGGGAAACAAGTTGGTAAGTACTAAGTGTTGATCTTCTGCATGTGTACAATTGTGTACAATACCTTTGTTGTTCTTTCCATGCATGCCCAACAGCTTGTTTATGAACTAAGCCGAACATCTCTCCAAATCGGAGAACTGCCTAGAACAGGCCGGCATTTAAACAGTTAAACATACAGGTGATGGCATCTTCCTAGAATAATCAATAAACTTTAAACGAACGTCTCTCTGTAAAAAGTAATCCTCTGTAAAACACGGTTGGTATGTAAGTGTCAGTGACCTTTGGCTTTGTAATTGAGTTGGTGAAGTCCGAATGCAGTACTTTTCTCTTATCTTTCTCGCCATTTTTTCAGTGAAAGGTGAAAAGAAGTATGGCAACTTCAATACAGTGAGTCGTGCAATCGGACAAATACACTATGGAAGTGTTATAATGGGAGCACATCGTAAGATTGATCTACCTCCTCCTGTGTCTAGCGCCATGCTATTTCAGCGAGATCAAGCGCGATCGTCGTTTCTGAGAAGTTCAGGCGTTTTCAAGAAACGGCGACCCAAACCAAAACACCGACCTCACCCAAGATGACAAGTGTGGGTGTGAATGTCCATCATCTCTTACGTAACAACAAACGAAAACTCGACTATTACAGAAATACGTTTTGACGCACATTTAACGTGGCCTGATCCTGATACACAGAAGAATAACGAAATATATTCGTCTGAGAAATTCGTTCTGACGAATCTCGACAGAGTCATGCATGCAGAGAACTAGTCGAGATTTATATTTTATACGTCATAAGACTAGATATTCACTTCGGCACTTTGTTCTATCGACATTCTGATATTTCGATCTGTTTCATATAGAGTATTGCACGTTCCAGGCTACATTTAACAATCATATTGTAGTGTGTAGTAGCTACATCATTTATACATTGCGAGTCATCATGCAGTAAAAACGATCTGACGTACACATGCAAGTTAGTTTCATACAGCTATACGCACCCAGTGCAATGTATATGACCACTTATGTAATATATTTATATGAAGTAATTTGAAGCTACAGCGGCGCAAAATTGTCGCTCTAAATTTTGTCAAAGAAATATTGACTAGTTTATACCAAGCTTGTATCGATACATTTTACATATATTTATGTAATAAACTTAGTATTTTTATATTATTGAAAGGATTTCGACTAAAAAATTTTGAGACACACTTCAACAATTGTTTCCCACTGGACAGGAAATAAAATAACTTCTTGGACAAAACATGAAATCATAAGATTTTTTATTAATAATCATTGAAATGATTGCATTTCTTTTGTGCGATAAAGCCTTTTGAAGGCATTTATTAGTAGCTATCGACTGCATATATTACTTCCCAGAAGTTGCCTTGCTGATAACAAATGTAGATTCAATACAAATATAGACTAGAACGTTGTTTGTTTTTGATTATTCCTGGTGTAAAACGACAGGTCTTCCGGATAATTTAGAATAACTGATTGCGATTTTATGAAGAATCCTGCCGAGTTTCGTCTTTCTGCATGACCATCTTGCTTTACCACATTTCATGTATTCTACGGTTTTGTAAAACCAGTCTTACAGTAGGATTCTGGTTGAATGAAATATGGTTTGCTGCTGAAATTTGATTTCCATGATTCCCGCTAATTATCAATACATACATGAATACATACACGACATTTAAATGCAAGTTACTCTAACATAATATTAACCTGCATTTATTTCCACATCAGAATAGAGTGGATTTGTTTTAAAGATTTGATGCAATTCTGCAAATGTAGGACGCTTCTCAGGTTGCAAATCCCAACATCTTAACATTAGTTGATAAGTATGTTCTGGACATTTATCTGGTCTTTCCAATCTCTTTCCTTGGCTTTCAACCATTTCCATTACCTAAGAAAAATGTTTATATTTAAATTCATCAACTTTACAGACAGTCGCTTGACTAGACACCACCGTAACAAATTAACAATGAATATACTGTTTAGTGAATAACTATCACACAGAGTCGGTCCGTTGGAAAATTAAAAACAAAGATAAATCTTCTCAGATACGATTTCTCATTGTATAAATTTCATTGTATATTTAATACTGTTAACTGTCTTTTCTTTGACTTACTTCTAAATTCTTTCCATCGATGTTCTTACATGATAAAAACAAATTTTGAGTAGATAATTTACCTGCGCGCCAGACATTTCCCCGTAAGGTTGTTGTCCAAATGAAAACATTTCCCAAAGTGTGACACCATAACTCCATACATCACTTTCATGAGAGAATCTACCATAGTTTATTGATTCGGGAGCGTACCTAAACACATGCATATGACGAAAGATCAATTAATAGGGGTTAAAAGTTTGGTGCATGGTAATAAATGGCGAGCAATTATAAGGGGTAGAGGTTTGAAGTGATTCAATAGCTCACCAGAGATATTTAGATAAATATATTACCATTTGACAGGCCAACGACCACCTTTTGATGCTACATAATAATTACTTCCAGAACCAATTGCACGTGACAGGCCAAAATCACTTATTTTTATCTAAACGAGAAAACTGTGACACAAAGTACGAAGAAATGTAACACACATTCAAAACAGCAACTTTGACGTGACCTTTAAGTGATAATATCTTACTCTCAGTATTGCCAGCTAATACAATGGAAGACATAAACGCAAATAAAATAACTTTAGACAATTCAACATACCTGATCCTTAGACTGTAAGAGAATATTCCTCGTTGCAAGATCACGATGCACAAAACGTTTTTCCTCAAGGTACATCATTCCCCACGCAATCTGAGCTGCCCATAACTTTAAATCACCCAGAGATATTTCTTGGGCGAATGTAAAAAGATAATCTAACAACGCACCCATATTCACTAATTCTTGCACCTGGAAATAGTAAATACATCTCGCTATACTATATCGAGGGTAATTAAAAAGAATAAGCTCGCAAAACGATTTTCGTACATGTTGAACAGTTGAAGGTTAATATTATTCGTCAACCATTTCATGTTACATTTTGTGAATGTACAACTCGCATGAACAGAAGTGGAAATATTTGTAACGAGAACCATTTTTAAAGTGTCACTACAACGTAACCCATATTAGACGCATCAAAAGTAACAAGTGGAGAGTTACTAACAAATTACAAATAGATTTAGTTATTGGAAGTTAGGAACAAAATACACTTACAAGTACAAGAGGTGGTCCCAGACAGACACCAAGGAGTTTGACAATACAAGGATGGTTCAGACCCGACATAACTCGAGCCTCACGCAAAAATTCCTGAAACGCAACGAAATGCTTATCTGCAGGATTGAACATTTCAAATCAAGAATCATTAAACCCTATTATACAAGACCATATAACGCAACGAAATGCTTATCTGCAGGATTGAACATTCTAAATAAAGAATCATTAAACCCTATTATACAAGACCATATAACACACCTGTTCGCCTTGGGTGATTTTATCAGGATGAAGTGTTTTCATCGCCACGTCCATCTTAAATTAAACACAAATCAGAAATTGTAACTAAGAACTAATATAGAATTTCTCTTGATAAAGATAGAGAAATTGTGATATGGTGGTGACAGGGACATTTTCCTGAGGACAAATATTTTCGACAAATATAGCTTTGGTTTCCCCGACTAAAATCTAGTTTTTCTATTGTTGCAACCAACAATATCTGACTCAATTCTAATACTATTACAATAGTATTACAGTATAAATGATTCTCACTTCAGCACCATTAGGATTCTTCCAAACTCCTCGTAAAACAGATCCAAACTCCCCTTGTCCTAACTCAGCATTTGTCTTAAGTTCAGTTAAGTTTATAATTGTTTGTGGTTTGCCTTCGTTTTCCTGCTGCTGGTCTACAGGTAGAGGGGGTGGTGGTCTATTAGAAATCGAGGATCTAAAAGGAGACGGTCCAGGTGGGGTAGGAGGAGGCTGGCGTCGAGTAGGTTGTTTTGGTTTTTCTTCTAACTTCAGGTAGTCATCACGATCATCATCTGGACTATCGAAGCTTCTCCCAGGACGTAAAACAGGAGGCTTCGTTTTAGGAGGCTATACAAGAGGAGGATTTAAGAATTCCATTGATTTTAGTATTTTATCTCTGCGAATATGAAAATAAGTATAAGATCTAGTTTTCGAAATGGCTATAATTTTGGATCATATTAAAGTATATTCTGCACTGTATTTTACTCCCAACTTCCAATTACAGATGAGAGCATTAAGATGAATTTCACTGCATCTCGCTGGATGGATTAAAAATACACGAAATAGTCTATAGATCCCAGAATAAAAGGGAGATTCGGTGACCAGGTTAATTAAACTATTTAGGGATAAAGGCATGGGTGCAGCTAGAACGATAATTGAGGGGGAGGGTGGTGGGGGTGATTGCTTATTCATATATCATAAACTATCGAACTTACAAAAGAAATCCGTCGGGCAGAATTGAATATACGAATAAACACACACACCCCCCCCCCCAATTATCGTTCTAGCCACGCCACTGGGTAAAGGAAAGGTATACGTACTACTTGAATTATACTGACTACGTACCGGGGGTGGGTACATTTGAGTGTTAATGTTAATGTTGAAATTCGGCATTGATGGGGATGGCAGAGGTATTGGGATGGATTTTAGTGGTAATGGAGTATCTCCATTTGGTTGAATAGCTCGTGTTAACTGGTGCGGTAAACCATCAGCTAGTGCACCATAATAATCCACCAAGTGGGGTAAAGTTTCAAATAATGGACCATCGTCAATGTAAAACCAGCGATCGCCCTATAGCGAAAAATACCAGAAATATTTATTATTCCATAATGATCGATAGGGTAGATTGATATTGCTCAAGTAGTTTAGGATAATGCTCAAGTAGCGATGTTTGTAGACTGGGCGCGCAGAGAAAAAATGCGTAAATTCGTATTTTTTACCATGCTCTTTATCTGATAATGATAAGGTGTTTTCCGCACGGCCATTGTGAGAACGTGAACGCCCCATGCTCTAGTACTGGTTCGTATTAGAAATAATCCATCTGTACATTGCCATTTATACAAAAGCGTTACTGCTGCCTGCGAAAATAGAAACAAACACATTTAATAATGCTTTATATGTATCTGATGAGAAAATACCTTATACAAGCTTTGAAATTGGAACAAAAGTGCCGCTAATCACAGTACCTCTCTATCGACGTTTTGGTGAAGCCAGTGTTTTGGTTCGGTTTTTGGTGAAGAAACAGGAAAATGTTCTGTAAAAATTATAAAAAATTACTGCAGTATTGTTTTGCGAGAGGTCTATGCAGTTAAATCATGCAGGCAACTAATGTAGCAGAATGTATGGCAAAAGACATAGAAACTTAGAAGTGTTTCACCCTCTATAATTTTAAGCTGGGGAACTTTGGCAAACTGTGAAAAATAGTGAAAAGAAAGATGAAAGGACTAAAGAGGTAGTGTTAGTCTGATGGTCAAGAGTCACAACACAACTTGTCTGCAAAGCAAATTGTCATTTTATCAGATTAACAAACAACATTTTTGAACTACTAGGAGTGGGGGGAGGAATAAATATATAAGGTTACGCTTTTACACTATTTGTCCATATTTTTTGGCAAGGGTTATGGCCAAATCTCAAAGTAATTGTTTCTATTATGTCTGCACAAGATGAAGAGGCAGTCAGTCAATCAATTGTGTAACCAAATCTAGCTAAATTATTAGTGCTTTGGTGTTTTACAATGCTTTTGAAGTCACACTTGCTTACCTAAAAAAACTGCCAAGTCATAATGTCCATTTTCTTTAGCAAGATCTTTGGGTGTATTTCCATCTTGTGCTCTTGGGTGTACAGGTGCCCCTGCTTTTAATAAAAGTTCAACACAATCTTTATGTCCACGCATTGCTGCTATATGTAAAGCTACATAACCATCACCAAATGAACGTTCTTGTATTGCTGCAGCTCGGCGATACACAAGCATTTCACATACATTGACATATCCACCATGACAGGCATACTAAAAAGTAGAGATTTCTTTGCCAATATATTTATTGATCATGCAAAGAGCCTGCCAGTACCATCTAGGTCATATTTAGTCTTCATCAGTTATATAAGACTATATATATAATACAATATATATTTCTTCCGGAACAAGTCTGTACTATTTTGAACTTCTCTTTCAACGAGAATTTCCAAAGCCTGGAATAATTTTGACACTTGTTGAGCAAGATTATATTTGAGCGGATATGTTCAAAACAAAAATTCTTTTAACAGTCTTAAGTAGTTTCTGATCATGTACAACATGCATCAATTAAAATTTCCAATCCTTTCTAATTAATGGAATCTAAGAAACACAAATTTGGTCGGTTGACTGCAGATTGTCAATTGCATTCATTGCAAATTTGCAACAAACAACAGGACTTCATAGCATCAGTTTGACTGAAAGAACAAGTTGTAAAACAAAACTGAACAATATTCATTGATATTATCCTTTTTATTCATTAGAACTAATCAGTGATAAGTTTAACAACAAATACCTACCATGAGTGGTGTTCTTCCTTCTTTGTCACGACTGTTTACATTCGCATTATACTCTAGCAGTTTCCATACAATCTCTGAATGGCCTTTGTCACATGCAATATGTAATGCTGTAGCCCCATCTTCATTTACTAACTCAATATTTATATTGGGATCTTGAAGTATTCTATGAACTTCGGTTTTGTCGCCTGATTCACAGGCACGGTGAAGTGAACTTCGTTGAAATTCTGAGGCAATATGAAGCTGACAAATCGATGGTGGAGGAGGTCGACCACCAACACAACACCGAACTAACTTAGTTGCAAGTCCACCAGCCTGGTCTCTATAATAATTCACAAGTGTATCTAATCCTGAAAATATAGGTCCATCATCTATACTAAAATGACAATGCCCATGGTAAATTATTTGATAGTGAAATGCCGTATGCTCACTCCACAATGACAATACAAAACTTCCTGGAGCATTAGTACTTTCACGAACCAGAAATAAACCATCTTGTTGACCAGATTCGATCAATGATCGGCGTGCTTGATCCCGAGTAAGTCTGCCGTGAAACCACAGTATATCGTTTCGTTGCCCTAACCCATCTGACATCATATTGAATTATTGTAACAGAACGCTTAAACTACTCTGGAATATTTCATTATTTGGCAAAGGCGGTCAAACACGACGGTAAACAAATAGTTTCACCTACGTACATCCCACAACCCGGAAGTCCACAATCACAATCAATATCTAGCAGACTGCACAGGAGCACACGTAGTACTTAACCCAATCAGGAAAATCAGGAACCCTTGGGTTATGTCGGCCAATTTTTAAAATGTCTTTCTTCAATGCCCGACCTCATGGACATACATGTTTAAGATTCAAATATTGATTGAAACTTACCAGGAGTTAAATTGAATTGCATTTCTATGAAAAAGCTAAGTTTCGGAATATCAGTCAAATCCTTGGAAGGCTAAATTGTATCGATAAAAGTCGGATTTTTTTCAGACTCCTTTTGACATCCTATACTGCGGCAACACCGCAGAAATTGGTGTTTATAAAGTTTCAACCCGAAAATCTGATCACTGGTTCACATTGTGCATTTCTGCATCGCTATCAAAGAGAAAACTATTGAATAACTTTAAAAAGTTCGGTTTTTCTTCAGAATAGGCATTCTGCAATCTTTTGACAGCTCATCATACACATCTGACAGCTGTGAAATGGCCATTTTGAGGCTTAAAGTATACACAAGGTTATTAATTCAGACGATTCGTTTTTGCCATGTGCAAGCTTCAAATCTTTTGTGCAAGACATATTTTGTGTAGTATCTATAAATCTTTTTTCTCACCAAGTTTCTCGCCTAAGTATTGAGAATTGCGGCTAAGTATTTTTCAATTCTACCAATTTCCGCGGTGTCTACTGCGGCTGTATAGCTATATTTAACTATTCCAGGTATTGAATTCGACCAGCAAAAACTACCGACTCATGAGAAAAAAGTAACCAACTTATTAATCACTGTTTTTCAGCAAAAATTCCAGGAATTGCGCCAGAACTCCATTGCCCAACTTTTCTTGGGAAGGAGGTAGCTCCCCAACCTGAGGCAACCTCGTACCCAGGGTCTTTACTCTGTAGCTCCCATTCCTGCCAAGTAGGCTGATGGGGGGGCACCTTTTCGTACTTGTCTTATGCGAGGCAATAATACGATGTATAGCTATAAGAAAATTATCTTCTTTTATGATAATTGTCAATTGATCGTCCTTCGCCGCATGGCTTCTTTACAAGTTATATTCTTTATTAGTATAAATATATTATCCTGAAAAACACTTTCTCATTCAATAAGGCAGCTGTCCATATGATCATTTATCTCCTTGTTGTTCGCAGCAGGACTGAAAATTAGCTTACATATAGGGCATTCTTTTGTTTCTCGCTGACGACTTGAATTTTGAAGAGAGCTTAAAATATTACCCTGTTTTTTGCACCTTTTTGAAGAATTCTTTCGTGTCAAACTACTTTCAGCTGTTCGTTTTAACTTGTTTCCACCTTTCCCACTGCTTTTGGCTTTATCATTTGACTTTGATAACTTTGTTATAAAGCACTCACTTGTCGTTTCAGTGTTTCCAGCAAAATCAGTTTCAGAGGTTTGTGGGACTTGCTCGTTTGATGATTCATCGAAACTAACACTTGTATGGTCATTTAAAGAATCAGTTTTTGCTCTTGAAATCTCAGGATCATTTGTTTTAGATGAAGGTTTAAAGAAAGTTTTAATTGTTACTGGAGGATTAAAAGCCTTTTTCAACAAACGAACATTGACAGGTGTAGAATCTTCAATTGAAGCTAAACTTGATTTGTCTGCCAACATTGGTAAAATCACTGGCGCTATTCCCAATTGAAGATTTATATTATTCTGAAAAAGGAAAATATTCCCAGGTTTTCAAACATGCACGTACATACATAGTTCTTCAACAAATACAACACAATAATCATGTCACTTGAGAAACAACGTGCATGGCACGTGCGAGTTTCAACATGATTTTACAAATGTAAAAGTACTGGAATAGGCAATTAACGAGGTGCGTTGATACGGAGAGGGGGGAGTAGGGGTTTGATAACAGACAGGGGTGATTTTGGAGATGAGAATGTTAAAATTCTGCAGAATTATTCAAAATTTAAGGAAAATTGGAAGTTTGGGAAAATTGGAACAAGTGACCAAATTCTTTGGAAGGTGATTTTCAAGAACAATACAATTAGCAAAACATACACACCGCCAACGCATTTAGTTTTTGCTGTCGTATTAACTCAGACACTTCCGTGATCAGGGGTTCTGGGTAACGTAAACCAACCAAGCGACGTCCACTGTCCAATTCCACACGCACCACACGCAATGAACGCAGTTCTTTGCTAAATGATGAAATTTTAAACTTATATTATTAATGAAAAATCTTTGACACTCGCTTTCTCTGCAATCATGATCTTAATTATGAGCTTGTGGTCTCAAATATAATGTCCCACCTCATATGCAAGAATGGATCTTCTCAGACGTGGAAAGCCTGATGTTACACGAGGTTTAATTGGTTCGTTATTACAGAGTCAAGCTTTTCTATCACATGCACCATGCACTACATCAGGCTTTCTGCGTTTGATGTCAGTATGAGAAAGTCATTGACAAATCTTACCTCAATTCAAGAGCATCTGCTCTTCGAGCGACCGTCGTTTCCAAAAGAGATAACAGTGGGATAATTCCTCCACAAAGAAGATGAATTTCTGTTGTGCGACAACCAACTAAAGAACAAACAATGAGATCATTCATCATGCACAACGGCATTTAGTAGGCAGGCATGCATGTTGATAATATAAAATATTCTAGTCATGTATAATATATACTGCAAATTACTCGTGAGGGCGTACATGGTGGAAAGAAAACTGTAGAGAGAGAGAGAGAGAGAAAAAAATAGCTTTGTAGAGCATCAATGTATATTTTCTACTATTCTTAGTGGTATTTAATGAAACAGAATTCCAAAGGGTTTTACGTTAACCGACACATGCATGAATATAATGTTGCATATTATATTTTGGGAGTAAATAAAGTTATACCTCTACAGTTCTTGCTAAGTTTACAACCATTTCCATGAATGCAGCGATCTAACGTACGTTCATACTGTGCTTTCCAGCCAGCTTCTACATTGGACAAAAAAAGCAAAAAGCTTTTCACAGATATTTGCATGTAAATTGCATCGTAATCAAAATATCAAATCCCACCAATGAAAATCATTCAATGTTTTTAGTCACAACAAACCCCAGCCCCTGAAGCATACCACACTACAAATATAATTAAGAAAAAATACCTGCATCTTCACTAGCAACTGAAATATACTTGTTCAGAAGATTATTTTTCTCTTCTTCAAATGGCGAGATTCCCGTATTTGGCCTATAGAAATAGGGCGTTTTGATAAAGACAGTTGTCATAAAACTGTTTCCAATATATATCTAATATTGTTGTAATTTTGCACGGTGACATCTATAAGGAAATTAGCTTTTAGGTACACCACGTAAGTACTGTATTTAATACTGCAAAGGTTTAATTATCAGTGCAATAGTTTAGTGTTTCCTATCTATCTCGCACCACCTTCGAAAACACATTTCACACCATAATTTTCTAAAAAAGTTGCGTTTTCCATCCTTTTATAACTTGTATATAAATTATAACAGGAAAAGTGATTACCTGGTGATAGTAAATAAATGAGTAGAAGTTTCTTTTTGAATTGCTAAAAGATAAAGTCGTTTTCCCTTCTGCTCCTTCTTCGAGCAGTAAAATCCATCCAATTTTCCTTTTGACTGTTCTTTGCGAGTTAAAGCCATTTCCCATGATACACCACGATCTGTTAGCAGCTTAACATGCCTACGGGAACATACAACAAGGTGATTTACAAAGTGCCATGAATTCGGAAGGAAACCCGAAGAAGAAAACGTACTTAGTTCCTACTGTTCCACGTCGTATTTCCGTAAAGACTTCCTGAGGTTCACCAATGATTTTAATTGAAGTTGCCTGAATGTCGGTCACCCCCTGATTATATCTAAAATACAAGAATTATGACTCAGCGAGCAATCAGGCAGGCGGTGAATGAGCAAAATACACAACGACAAACAGACATACCTCCCCTCGCGTTTAGCTGCTTCAATCACTGCATGCAAACATTCACAAAAATAGCTAAAAATCTAGAAAAGAGTACGTTCATATTGGAAAACATGCCTTGTATGTTTAGGGTTAACTTAAGGCCAGCAGCCTCTAGCTGCATGTACCTTTAACAATCAAATATCTTCAAGAATCGAACATGCAGTTAAAGAACCAAATTACATAATCTTTGCATGCATAAGCAAGAAACAATGTGCAGCTAGCATTTCTTACGTGCATGCGTGTATTTTAAATTGCGGAAATCGGATCCACTATTAATTATTATACTACTTTGGTGCTGTTGCACCTAAATTTGCCACACCCTGGCAGTGGTTGTGTGAAATCATTAGAAAGGTTACAAATGAGTAATAGGGTTTTATGGAGAAGAGTATGGATAATAAAAATAAACTATAAAGTGAGACTTGAAGGAATTTACCAAGTTTTGTTTCTCGACACTTAAACCAAGTATTCTGTTTAAAAATCTACCAACATCACCAGCTTCTTTCTCTTTGACACCAGTAGCCACCATACTCACGTCAATGAGTACACCTATTGATACTAAACAATTCTAAAACAAGAGCCAAAAAATTATAACAATATTTCTACTAGCAAACTTTCGTTGCATGAAAGACATCATTGACTCCGATCGCGGCCTTCATTGTTCCCAATTCTATCCCAAATTCATTATTAAACCCCTACTTTCACTAACATTATTTCTGACTGGTGTAAAATTAAAATATATTTCATTCGTATGTTGGTTGTGTATTCTCGTTGTCTATACGCTCAAACAAAAATTGCAAAAGCATCATCTGATCAGAAAGCGGGTCACCCGGACCGAAGTAATGAAAATAAACATGGTCAAAGTTACCTGCATAATATTGATAAACTCCCCGAAATCATATTCTTTACTTGCATTGGCTAAAACAAGAACTGCAGGCAGACCAACACCTGGACTAAGACGACTCTAAAAAGCCATGGAGAAATTTATTACTATGAATGCACCACGGACATTCGCGTGATATATGTGTGCAATGAGTCATATAATGTAATTATATACCCTCGCCCCTCAGTGGGTTAGCAAGGAATTAGCCCGCTTGCAGTAAAATGTTTTTCAAGTTATTACACTTAGAGGAAACCATGCACATATATGAGTATAAAACGATACAATACACAATACAAAGAAAGAGATCATACATATAATAATTATACAAATATGACATACACACTGTACCTCACAAATTGAAGAGTACATCTGTCTTAATGCATTCCTTCCATAAGGCGTGTCAAAATTAAATTGGGAAAGATCTGCACCTGTTGCAGCTCGACGATCTCCTTTAGTAAGTGCACCTGATGAAACAATATTTTAGGTCGTTTGGTTAAAAGTATATTAAACATAGAGTATGCTTTAATTATAAAAAGTATGCTAGTATCTCCAATACTCAGTATACTAAATACCAACATGGAATATTAATACAATACTGTACCCAATGATTGCAATCGTTTAGCCACAGCAGCTGCAAACCTTCTCTCTCCACCCAGGTTCGTTGTAACAAGTTTATATATTGGACCACTTCAATCAATATAGTAAAATAAAAAGATAAAATGCTCTAGCTATTAGTAATTGAGAAATCTATATAAGGTCACGTCACAATCATTGTATAAGGTACCAATTACACTGGAGTTTGGTAAAATTGAAAATAACAGTCACTCTACTCTATAGCGCGGGGCTTTTCGAAAGATAACACCCATATACTATAGATCAGCATGTGGTGAGCCATAAGCCATTATAATTTTAAAGAATTCTTTTATTCCAACGCTCCGAGTATGCGGTAGCTTCATGTATTCAAGTGCTTCGAATCCACGCAAATTAAGTTTCTATATCATAGGTACAGCCGTGCTCATGCATCTCTGGTATTACCTGCTCTGATTTGAACGATGTGATCTTCCAAGTTGTTGAACAGCTTTATCAGCACTCCAGGGTAATTCCATAGTTATATGAACACGGCGTCTCTGGTTCTTTACTCTGAGGTCCGCGTGAATTGATATTCCTTTAAAGAAACAATAAACACTCACTGCATACAGCTGGTAAAGGTCTTAAAAATTAAAAGCTTCATTACCGGTACTAGCGGCGTCTGATATAATGGCTACCAATTTTTCGTCGTTCATAAAACTGTTTTTCTAAAAAGATGGATGGACAGTAAATGATTTAAATACAGTACAACATGCGATTCTACATGGTTTAAGATACATATATCACATTTCAAAGGGTTCATAATTTTGATTGTATTGTATGATTACTGTTGCATGTGGGATGATATATATCCAACAGATGAAATGCAATTCCTTGCCTCTTGTATATTTAAGCTGTCGACATTGCTGCTGTCAGATTCCCTGGTTTGATAACGAGGTCTACCTTGATCATTTAACCTCACAATTCTTCCTCGTCTACCTGTCATCTCCGCAACACAAGATGGTCCACCAAGTTTATCAATAATCTCATCTAAGGGACTGAATACCAAATATTTTTAAAAAAAATGCATGGTTAAATTTAAAAGATCAACTTGATGATTGCCAGACATCCCAAAGTGCACCACCACCTTAGAGGACTACTGTTAGTAAACACGCTTTATTTTATTCCGCTAATTTCTGATGAAGCAACAACCATTTATATAAACGTATTCACAATTAATACGGACTTACTTTATAGGTAATTTTACTTTCTTTGCAAAACCTTTGAGAAGTTCTTTAGCTTGCACGCACCATTTGTCTTCTACAATTTCGCCGCTCTGTAACACAGAGGTAGAATCGTTCGTGTCTAGTGAGTTATCTTTCAAATGTTTAGTGAAGATTCCATGCCTTCGTCATGCAACGATTGGGGTTGTTTCAGAGCGGATCGTAGGCTTCAGTAAAAAAAATATGGAGCCACCTTAAATACTGTACAACATTAAAACTGATCGACTTACAGGCTGTTGTATTTGAGTCGGAAAATACTGAACAATAAAGCGATACAATATTTCTTCAGTGGTTGAAACAAAATCATTAATATTTCCACCACAACGAGTGACTTCGCTTTCCAGGCTCGCCTAAAACGTTGAACGTTATTACAGTTTAGCCTGCAAACAATCCTCTTTTTCAGTGCAGAATATCTATTCATTTTTTCTCTCCTAAACACGTAAGTTAATAAAAGGGAAATGTTGTTTGATATATTCTGAAACGGTTTTGCATAACAATAAAATAACAAAAAGGTTGAAAGAATATCATAATATTCTATTCTCCATTAGGGTACCGTACGTACTTCACCAGTCGTTTGCAATCCAATGACCACAGAATTTCCACATTCTAAAGCTCTTTTTGCTTCATTCACAATAAACGGTGCTTTCATACTCATGCTAAAATATAATCCTGATGTATAATTTATACGCCAGAAATACTTTAATATAAAGGAGTGAGAAGAATTTCAGAAAATTAACGGGCAATGTATGTTTAAGTGGTCCATTAATGAGCAGCTCACGTTAAAATTTGGCGTTTAAAAACATGTGCACAAGGTCGACAAGCATATCTATAACCGACAAAACCAATACTTTACCATAACTGTTTGAAGAATCTTTGATGATTCGCCCAAAATGTCGACCATATTCTGTTGTTAGTTGTTGTCGTTCTTGATATAGCAATCTCCAGGGACTTCTTTAGCTCATTCCTAAACCAAGAAAAGTTACCATACATGTGCATCTGTAGATTTATCAAAAATCGATCCACAAGCTTATAAATTACAAAACAATATATCAATTCTACAAACGTAGAAGTACTGTATATTATACCATAAATGGGCTGCTTTGTCAAAAAGAGCAACTTGTTCATCGGAAAGCATCGCTTGAACAGTGAGAAACTAAATAGTAAACAGAGCAAATATAGCATCAATGAAATACAATGAAATAACTTCAACCTTGAATACATTGTGTAAACCCACATACTACGTAACTATTCTAACTATAATCATACCTCTGCCTCACGAAAACTTAATCCCCTTGAAACGTACATTCCTGCAGCTTTCATTTCCATAGCTAGCATCTCCAATGCTCCTATAAGATTGTAAAAATACTGTGGAATTAGATAAATTGTTGAGAGAGTTGTTCGTGTACGTACTGTATAGAGTAATTTCCTGTCACGCTGTTTAGCTATAGAACAATGGCAAAATACAATTGCAAAATGCAAACGAATGGAAAGTAAAAGGCAAACCTAATCCTCTTTTGGTTATTCCCTCCAAAAATGTTTCAAAAGACTTAAAAGGCGTTCCGTCACCCCAAAGACCAAGTCTTTCCATAAATGCCTTAAAAATATATTTTAAAACACTAGCATCCATGATCAATTACGGCATGACATGGTGCTGTGGTAAGCCCTTTTAATTTAACTAAGAATTAAGTTAATGAATACATTTTTGTTAAATGTGTAAAAATGGGTCGCTACCATATTTTTCACGTCAGTTACACCCGTTGCACTGCAGTAAACAACTCTCGCCTTTGGTAAAAGTCTAAACAAAAAGCGTTGTATTCTAATATACACAAAGAGCATTTACTGGGAGTTTTTACACTTATCATTTCTTGCCAAATGAAATGTAGGTGAATAGAGGGACGAGATTCCATTCCAAGCAGTAAAAAGCCATTCGATAATAAACACACTATCATCCATACCTCTGCAAGGTTGTTACAGCTAGAGCGACTTTTGTACTTGATTTCTCATTTCCCTGTCATATAAATAAATACATTGAGAATGAATGAAAACATCAAAAAATTATGCATCTTGCCGATATTGGTGGACACAAAAAGAGCGATTGATGTGTGAAAGAACAAGACTACAACAGTACGTAGTGTTAAGAACAACATAATGTACGTGGTTTAACAACCAATCATGCAGGGCTCGATGAAAATGACTTCACTTACAGGAACATAATGCTTTGCTTTATGAGATTCATCAAATATCAGACAACCATCAAAACCTGTTCCTCCACACCAGTCAATAAGTTGTTGTAATCTACTTTGACTTTTTCCTAAAGTAAATTCTAATCGATGAAAAAGCAATTCTTTTCGTCGTATTGTATGCATTGTAAATTTACGTACCAGTGCGTTGTACAGATGATACAAGAGTGGCGTATGTACTGAATACAACACCTTCCTTGAAATCCGAGGGAAGACCGAATACTCTACGAAAAAATATAAACCATGACAAAACTAGTTAGACTAGTTGGAGTGCGACACAGACATGTAACAACAATTATCCCCAAACCTTGTCTCCTTATCAAGTTGTTGGCATCCATCAATGACCTTTATATAACATCCGATATCCTGAAGATCTCTATTGAGAGAGAGAGAGAGAAACATTAACATATGTAACATGTAAAGCATTACTGTCCTGAAATCAAAAATTTAGTTGGACATATTTTTAGATTTGAAATGTATAAACCAAGATATTTAGTGGCTAAAGCCAAAAACGTATCTTGTAAGCGTTATTAAACTACCGCCGAAACGAGTCTGTAACAAAAATGCTAATAGATTTATCCGTGCCTATTAAACATTGAAAAAATATTTAGAAAACCAGAGGTGAAAATTTTAGAAAGGGAATTAAAACGCATGAATAATGAGCTCTATATTCAGCTCTACAAATTTTTATAGAAATTGTCCTGCTTATATTTTAGTTGTTCGCAATGTTGTATAATAATTTGATATAACAACAAGGGTAGACGTTTTCAAAGTTCGTCAGAAACATGAATTGCAGCGGGTGTAACAGAAGAAAATTATATTTGTAATATCGTGTCTTTGACAGTGAAAGTGGAATTTCTTTTCAGAAGATTCAGAATGAAACGTAATATCTAGTGCAACTACAGGGAGTGTCACATGGTCAACCCGTTGTATACTGGATACGACTTCATGCAGCACTGCCAGATGGCATCAATCAATGATCAAGTTCTGTTTATGATAAAATTTCTCAAAGTTGGCTGTAACTGTAGCTAGTTTATCAATTAGCATTAAGGCATCACACCTTTGGGCATCTAGACGAAGATCTGATGAGATACTGAACCAAACATGACGTGTTCGCCCACGAGAGAAGTTGTCCAGAATAATTCCAGAAATCTGTTAAAAATATACATTATAGGCTTTTCTAAACTCTAAATATTCTTCCTTGGAACCATCTTTGAGGATGGTGTTATTACATAATTTTGTGCCTGGCTGGTAATTTGTGGTGATTAGAAAGCATGTGCGCTTATAGAAGATTAATTTTTGCTGTGCAAAAAAATATTGTGCAGGTATCTCAGTGGTGAGGGAATAATTATGTCTCTATAAGGTCTTGTGGAGGCACTGCACAGCATTTTTTGCAATTCCCAGTTTGACCTGAAGTTATATACATGTATATTTGACTGTTCCTTTATTCTAACCCACCACCATCTACAACCAACTCAATGAAGGTGAAGGACAAACACAAACGTACCTGCCTTCCTTTACCAACACCAGCTCCATCACCAATAAAAAATCCAGCCCTTTCCCCACTTCCTAAGATTACTTGGTGCCTTTGGCACTAAAAGGTAATGTGTTTACACATACATACACTGGTCAGTTATGAATGGATAATATATATTTGACTGCCTTGCAAGCATAATGTTCTCTTCCAAGAAAATTGCATGGCCTCTCTTTATGTAACAAAGTGCTATTATGAAGCACTTCTCAGTCATGCTTAACTGTACACTCAGGTAACTGGGTTTTTTGTAACTGCAATAACCTATACCATTGTGATATATATATTCATTTCATTTAATACTAACCGGGCTAGGAGACTACTAGAAACCATATATGACTCTTTATTTAGGCCCCTTCTTTTTTTCATTTTTGCATTTGTATTATTAGCACATAAACAAATTTTACTTACTGCATAAAGAATCCCTTCTAACTGCAAATCACTCAACTTTCCTGTAAAGCAAGAGTTGTACATATGAGTAAATATAGAAATATTTTGATATTTTGGTTCAACTGGAGTTAATGCATTTTGTGAAAGATATAATCTAGATCTCGTTTAATTTGATATTTAATATAATATTATATACACTTGCAAATTTGTATAGTATTATCTACCATTTTCAATAATTTCATCACCAATTGATTGGCATATGGGATATGTAGCTGTAGGCAAGGTCTGAGCCTAGAGTTAATAATAATTAGTACTAAATAGTTGAGCACATTCAATTTCATGGCCTGTACAATAAAAAAATACCACCATACGTACTGCTAAGGAACCTGCTTCAACTATGTCTCCTGGATGTCTCTGGATTTTTTCAATGTGATGCAAAGAATGACAATTATATGATGAGAAAACTTCTTCACTAGAGTAATGAATATTATATAGTATACAATCAGTACTGTAACCTGACTGGCTGGAAACACCTTGAACCTGGTAAAATTGTCTTAACCAATCATTGAACAACAAAAAAATTATCTGATACCGAACTATATCTGAATTGTGAATAGATTGAAACTGCCCCATATTTTCTTTAAAACCATTTTAGAGATCACGCATATTTTTGGGAGGGTTGGATCAATTTTGAAGAATTGGATGTCTGGATTTGAGGTGAGATGTTTCAAATTATAGATTTAAAATTGGGCGGGAAATAACCCGCACGATCTGTAGAAATGTAGATCTGATATGTCGATGATTTCATATTCCAAGTCCAACGGGTTCTGTATTTTTCAATACCTTAGAGTTTCCGAGACATCATGCGCCATTTTATTCATTTCTTCGTATTCTTCAGACGGCACCTCGACACGATTCAATAAGATTGGTGTGCCATGATTGACAAATTTTACAGGACTTTGAAAATTTGCCGTGTTCTGAGCCATCGCTGTTGGCATTGTAGCAGCTCAGTAGTATTTTAACAGCTTCTACTTCAATATCTAGCTGGCAAAATTTACATCATGAGCTACATTAATAGAAACTTTTAATTTAAAAAAGCTCTTGATGATCCTCCAGGCTCCAGCCTTACTGCCATCATGCGCAAAAATAACATTGATGTTTAATAATTACAATCGTTCAAAAGTTGATTTGAACAATTAAGCGGGTGATGTGCGCTGTTCATCGAATGTGGTATAACAACTGCCTGCCTGGGGCCTTCAGGGCCAACGTCGATAACGCTCCAGACGGAACAACATTTAAAAACCTTAGGCCGAAACATGAAGTCGTTTTTTGTCTGATTTCGAGTGATGGGGGGGGGGCGGGGCCAAAAAGGGACCTCTCCCTGGCGCAACGAAGTATAAATGTTGAAATAATATAAAATACCTTTACTTGCGGGAGGGCAAAATACTTAATTGGTGGAGCAACATGGCCGCTATCGGGCTTTGGCCCCAGTCTTTATGTTAAAAGGGCCCTGGAGTAAAACGCTGTTTGTCCCTCTGGAAAGTAGGGGCTGTTTTGCTCTTTGTATACCTGCGAAACCGGTTTCACAGTCCGCGTTGCCGTTGGCTTGGCATTGCATCATTCTTACCTATCAAATAACCCCCAATTTATATACGCACAATTTTTGGTACCGTACAGGGAAAATTGGTATTTCGATGAAATTTTCAATTGCATAATAAATATTTATCCGTTAATACTATGTTCAGTTTAAGGTCTGGCACGGATAGAAATTTGGCCTCCCTAAGTATAGATTGTCCAAATTTTATCCGTATACCAATTGACCGGCATTAATAAAAACGAAAAGAGCGGGACCATAATTTCAATTAAGACCTGTCTCATAGAGACATGTTGTTACTTTCTAAAAATTTTAACGTCTTTCTGACGTATTCCAATGGTCACTACAGAGTTGAATAGCGAGTTTGAGATGTACCAAATTTACGACGCGGACGTGACATGAAAATTGCTACCATTGTGAGGAAACCAGTATTAAATTGTTTAATGTACGGCTCTGACTTTGTTCATCAAAAAGAATATATAATTTCCATCGCTGTTGGGAAACTGGAAACAACGACAGTACTACCTCACGTCCGCGTCGTAGATTGCGAGGTAGATTGATTTGGTGCACTCACTAAAGTCTTAGAGTTATAGCGCTCGAGCTCATCATGTGCATGATCAAACAAGAGTTATATAGCACATTTTACTTCTGAAACAAAGAAAGGAGGAACAAGAAAGTCAAATAGGAAATGTTGCCTGCTAGTACTTCATTATTCGAAACTAAAAGGTGAAAGTTTTGTATCGACAATTATTTACTAGTTACAGTTTGTATTTATGTACATAGTTTCACTCATTTTACTCAACCTGTCCAGGCAATGAACTGGTCCTTAATTCAGTCATTTCTGTGTCAGGTTGTGAATTTTCCAGATAGTTTCTAACGATTCGAAAATTATGAGGTACTTCTACATGTTCTGGTATCGAAGGCAATGTGCACGATTGTTCAATCTCTGTACTTAAAAAATCATCATATCCCTTAATAGTTACTTGAGAAGCTGAACGATTTCGAAAAGCCGCTGGGGTTTCTATGACAAACGAACATTCATCCGGATTGAAAGGTCTCACTTGGTTACGGCTTATCCTGAGATAACGTCGAATTATCGTATTGATTTCTCGTCGAACCACTTTCACACGAAATGCATAAATTATCGGACACCAGAGTACCGAGGAAAATGCCAGAAAAACGGATAAAGTCTGTATCTCATACGCAATTATATCCGTGCGTCTGCGCAAATTTTCAATGAGAATACAAACGGAATACGGAACCCAGCACACTAAGTTCGTTCCAACGTGAAGAACAAGAGCTTTCCACGCTTTAGTGCGTGAATGTTCAGCGCGTGTCGCCATCGCTCGTTGTTGATTTCGTGCCTGAATATACTCACTCGGTGAAATAAGACTTCCCAGACTTAGTCGGCCTCCTCGAACTTGTTTATGAACCGCGCGCAATATGAAAAAATACGATACAATGATTATGAACAACGGCATAAATATTGATATCACACAAAAGAATTTCGAATAACCACCGCTGCTGTACAGATGCCATAAAACAGTACATGATAACTTTGCCCTTTGATAGCCATATTTACCCCAGCCTAACAACGGGAGTAGTGCCACAAATAATGAGAACAACCAAATCAAAATTATCATAATGTACGCTCTTGTAGAACTCATATGTATAGGATGACGCAACGGTTTCACGATGAAATAATATCGATCGTAACTAAGCGCAGCCAATGTCAATAATAACGCGCTAGACAGAAGTATCAACAAAAACCCGCTCACTTGGCACCAAGCTAGTCTGAATATCCAGTCGTCATAAACGCTACTGGCGACAACAAAAGGTAACACCAGAACGGTTGTAAACACGTTGATTAAGGTCATATTGAGAACAAACTTGTTACATGTGACGGAGAGAAGATCTCGACTCTTACAAAATGTTATAGCAACAAGTCCATTACATACCAACGATAAAAGCACTAGTGCAAACATCACCGAAGATTGAATGGCTATTATTGTTCGCGTACGCACGTATCCTTGGTCAGAAAAATTACTTGATATATTTGATGTATTCATACTCCTTTCAGGCAATTCAACTGCCCAAGCAAACCTTTTCTTCACGTTTTTAGACTTCGCGTTGCGTCCACGAAGACATTGATATCATTCCGCTGGGTGTCTGTAGATGTATTATATTACATATCTCTAGATACTGGGTGGTCTAAGTAGCGCGTGCTTTAGAAAAAGGAACTTGAAACAAGATTCAGATTCACAAGATGAAACAAACACAGATAACCGACATTGAATTAATCGATTTTGCAGGCAGGTAACACAATGATACTTTAAACAGGGCAGAATAATTCAGATGTTCAACTATCCGTCGTAGCTACAACAATAGCAGAACTTTACTCATGCAGTTTTTGGGTTTCCGCTACGATTCCTACGAACGTAGGGTTTCTTTTACTGTACAGGGGCCGGTTATATCTTGATAAGGAACTTTTAGGGATCTATTCATATTCCAAAAAAATTGAGATCATGCAATTAGCTGTACCCAGTGAACCTGTAATAAAACTGAAATAAAAAAGGATTTTTTCTGGGTTTTCTAGTTGAACGTTTGAGACAGACGTAGAGAGTAATTATCCAGGAATGTCTAGAACCATGTAAAATACAATTATTTGTTAACGAGAAACAGAGTCAAAAACTCAGTTTTTTGCTTCAACCAAGTACTACGCTGAACTATAAGAGTTAGCGTTCCAGTTGATATTACAGTTCACTGGCTATACCTGGAAGATGAAGTGATGAACCAGTAACGAACGAACTGTAAGGAGAGTGTACATGTCAGGCATGTCAGGCTACAGATTACAGAATACACTACAGAATGTAGCTTTGCTACGTTTTAGGCTGTCAATTATGGTAATGGTATTGATTTACAGCAATGATATTGACCATTGTCATCATAAACACCTCTCTGTGAGAGATGAATACAATCCACATGATGTTCACCAAATACGAAGTCTTTGAAGACCTAAAAACACAAGGAGAGAAATATTGGGCTCAAACAATCTCAATTAAATAAATATACCATATTAAGGACAGGAAAGATTATAATTTTAAGTTTTCTTTGTAATCATCTGGATTCTAGAATACCCGCCTCTGTGATTTCCCTGGCGTCAAAACTTGTTTGAATTGGAGCTCTTCTGTTGTTACTTGTGGATTGGAAACGCGACGTTTGTTCTGTTTTATCTGTTTCGCGTAATTTTGTGGTCAAAACTGTAGCGTGAAGTTTAACTCTGCCATACCCATCCTTTCCTAGACCCTTCGTAACGAAGTACTTCATTATCGCATTCGCTAATTCTTGTAGCCTTAAAGCAAAATTTGAACTTCAATATTTCTTGTCAAAAATCTCCTATTGGCTTTGCACTTTCATTTTACAAGTTAAATGAGATTTTCGTCTTTTGACAGATGTGAACCAGTGAATATAAGTCAACGAATTAATGTGATATCACAGGAATAAAATGCGTACAAATATATAGCTATTAGCTAGATATATTAGATGGCATGGATTCTTAATTTTCATAATTGCAAAAAGGTAGCAGATCTATTATGCATGCACGCATGAAAAATGACAATCTATACCTTCCATCTTCATCATGAACTTTTGCGTAAAGAACATCAACCTTACTTGGGTCATCATTCATATACTCGACACCTTCAAGTTTTATCTTGATCGGGTCCTCTCCAACGCGTGGTCTTAGGAAAAAGGAAAAATGAAAAAAAATGGTTTCCATTCAAACAGATATAATTCTCTTTAAACTAACCTGATAATCTCTTCGTAACACTCTTCTAACAAAGATGATGCAGCTTCCTGAAAGAAAGAGGTACCCCTAAGATAAATTACCAATACAATAAGTCAGCCTGCTTTATATATATGTCAGTATACTGCACAAGGTGCTATATTAACGTCAATTATGGATTACAGCCTTAGCTCAGGTGCAGAATGCAGAAATATACACTAAAAGTCAGGACTGTCAGTGGCCCCCAAGAAGGGCTATAAAATAATAATGGTAGATATAAAAGTTTTCATTAAGTTGGAATTAAATTGTTCCTAACGTAAGCTCTCCCAACCATGAAAATATTTTTGCCTTGGGTTCAAAATTTCGCTGCAAGCAAGCAAAATGTAGAAAGCGTATTCACTAACCACTTCTTTCTGTGTTAAAAGAGTAAGCATCACAATTGTTTGATGAAGTGTTTGAGGTTTTGTAAAGATACTTGCATCCAGGCCTTTCGACTATATGAATGATATTAAAATGAGTACAAAAAAAACTATACGTAATTCACCATACAAGTTGTTAAGCAAACTGATTGGCTAAGCTACTCACCATATATCAGCTTGAATATATGGTTAAAAGTGAAAACAAAAACCAGACTAATACATTATTCAGTAAGAGTTTATCAAAGTTTGCACCTTTTAATTAAAAAGTGTTAGATATATTAAAAAAATTATTCCATATACCATTGGACCATGATATATGGCTGATATGGTGTCAATTCGGCTGCCTCAAGGACATATACAGCTTATGGTATAACTATGTTACCTTACTATGATGTTATTATCAAAAGGTTGTATTGCTCATCAGACCATTGATTATTGATGAACATTTTGCACTTTGCCACATTCGTGCATACTTTGAATTAAACTGCACGCACCTCTCCGCAGGTTTCTAAAGCAGCAGATTTAAAGTCTTCCAGGCGACTGATTGTCTCCTTTTTGTACAAAGGAAATGAGAGGAAGTGCGTTGGAGGAATTTTTTGTCTTGACCATTCAATTATCAACTCAATTTTCTGGCGACAGGATAAGATGTCTTTCTTTCTTGAACCAGTTATCACTATAATATATATAACAAAACCTAGCTGTTACATGTTAATTCTAATTTTAAAGATAACAAAAAAACTTTTCACTATAAACTCTAACAATTTAATTGGTGTAGACAATTGAATAGTAACTAATGCTGCTTGCTTTATGGAAGACACATAACTGAGGAATTCACCTAATGCAATAAGTTTCTTTCATGGAGGCCTTTCTGCCAGGATTATTGTATTTAAAGCTAATTTACTCACCAGCCGGTCCTTCAACACCATGCCTAGGAAGCTTAATTTGAGTATTTGTTTCTCTTTCAATCCTAAGTTTTGTTTCCATTTTTTTGCCACATATAAATTTAACAAGTTCAACAGGTACAGCCACCAAGGTTTTAAATCCGCTGCCAACTGCTTCAATTGCTGTACATTCTGGTTCATCCTCTTCATATTGATCAAATTTGTACATATTGCCAGAGTCCCCACCTTATATTAAAATGGAAAGCAAGAGGGTGATTCAAAATATGCCTGAATGCTAAACAAACTTCTAACTCCAAAAATCAGGCTGGATGATCAATTAATTGAGCCTGGATCCATCTTAACACATTTTCATATTTAATATATTACAAGCTGTCGCGTTCCCAACTTGATTTTCGATAGAAGACAAGTCAGAGTTCGCATGTGATCAACCACACTATCAGACACGTTGCTTTAAGTATATTTAATCACCAAAGTAGCGACAGATAATGCGGTGAAACTATGAAAATTCAATACAGATAACATATTTCAAACTCACAGTTAAACATTACAAGAATGTAAAAAAGATGGTTTACAAACGAACTAAGCAGCTAAAACGTTTTACTTACGTCTATGCTAGCATATAGTGTCTAGTATCCCCAAAAAATAGAAGTAAAATTAGAACTTGAAAGTCTTAAAAAATGTCTTTCTGAAAAACGTTGTTCAAACGTGTCTTTTCGTTACCATGACAACGACTAAATATCAGTTCCGACCGTTGCCGGAGTAGCCGGCCGTTTCCGAATCTAACGCGAACATAAAAGTTTATAAATGGCTATCTTTAAAATAGGGAATGGGGAATGCGGGAATGGGGGAATGCGGGAATGGGGGAATGCGGGAATGGGGGAATACGGGAATGGGGGAATGCGGGAATGGGGGAATAAGGGAATGGGGGAATGCGGGAATGGGGGAATAAGGGAATGGGGGAATAAGGGAATAAGGGAATGGGGGAATGTGGGAATGCGGGAATGGGGGAATTAGGGAATGGGGGAATAAGGGAATGGGGGCATAAGGGAATGTAGGAATGGGGGAATAAGGGAATGGGGGAATAAGGGAATGGGGGAATAAGGGAATGGGGGAATAAGGGAATGGGGGAATGAGGGAATGGGGGAATAAGGGAATAAGGGAATGGGGGAATAAGGGAATATAGGAATGGGGGAATAAGGCAATGGGGGGATAAGGGAATGCAGGAATGGGGGAATAAGGGAATGGGGGAATAAGGCAATGGGGGAATAAGGGAATGGGGGAATAAGGGAATGGGGGCATAAGGGAATGGGGGAATAAGGCAATGGGGGGATAAGGGAATGCAGGAATAAGGGAACACAGGAATGGGGGAATAAGGGAATGGGGTGAACAGTGAAACCGGTGAACGAGTGAGTGGGGGAACCAGGCAATGGGGGAACAGAGGGATGGGGGGAACCAGGGAACAGGGTAAAGGTATAACTATGGACTCATTGAGCAGCTAAACTAATAGTAACAGTCTTGAGCCTGAAAGCTGGAACAATTGTTAGTATATAGTAGGCGTGTATACAATATTATGGCTCTCTACAAATATATTTATTGTTATTAATGCCAACCTGGCAAGTGTTAATTGTTATTGTGAAACTCAGGCACTCTTGTATTAGATTTTACCAAAGTGAAAAATCAAAATATACTTGCCTTTCAGTAAAAATTAAAACTATAAATAAGATAATGGTATTGTTGTGTGCTAGTGTGTTCATTTAGTTGGCATGCAAAATTTCATTTCAATAGTGATATCTATTCAAAATATAATGACAAATGCAACAGCTAGAACATATGTTATATGGGAATAACATATTGCTCAAGAAACTGTTCTGTGTATATAATTTTCATGCATGTTTGCATTTGCTTTCAACAAAATCTATGAATGAACCCACTGACCCTTAACTAATTAAGGACAGTCATCCTTTATTAGTGGGTTTGGGGCTGAAGAGAAAAGGGTATAGGGTAACTGCATGAAAATGAAGTGTTATTAACAATATAAATCCTTTCATCATTAAAATCTGAAACCAGGCATGAATCAACTAGCTGTACAATCCTAAATCATTATGCATCAATTAAGTGACTGACATCAGCAATATATATATAGTCAACATATTGGCTCTTTCCCATGCAATCAGCATACAAAGCTTAAAATCTTATAAAATCTTTAATAAATCTCAGTCATTCCTTGGTAGGAAGTCTCAGGCCTATATATAGCTAGTTATATGAAAACATTATATCAGAAAATATATAATCAAGTATATAATCAAGTAGGGCATTTAGATATTTATTGTAGTACAGGAAGTATTTATATGTATTCCAATAAATGTCATAAAAAGGTAATATACATACATAGTATTCAGTATTGCAATGTTTGCATGCCAAATTATAAAGTGCAAATATTGCTTATTTACATAATTACCAAGTTATTCACAAAATGCACATTAATTGTTGTTTCACTGTAACCAAAAATGTTTCTTTCAACAAAATATATTCATCATAATTATATGTTTCCCAAAAAGTTTGTTGTCTAAAATCAGTGGAGTAAAACACTCTAAATATACTACTAATTTTGAAAAAGCTATATAGAGTTAAATAGTATATATAGGGAAAATACTTTCTGATATAATGTTTTCATATAACTAGCTATAGGCCTGAGACTTCCTACCAAGGACTGACTGAGACTCCTTAAGATTTTATAAGATTTTAAGCTTTGTATGCTGATTGAGAAAGAGCCAATATCTTGACTATATATTGCTGATGTCAGTCACTTGATGTATAATGATTTAGGATTGTACAGCTAGTTCATGCCTGGTCTCAGATTTTAATGATGAAAGGATTTATATTGTTAACAAGACGCCTGTTCTGGCGTTAACTCCGGCGCACGTGCCAGTCTTCAATATAGAGCTTCTGAACATAAACAATGCAGTTCATATTCGCATTTAGACGCCTTGCGAACCTAAATGTTCCATCGCGAAATTCAGAAGCACATCGTACTTTAAAAAGTATAGAAGTTCAATTGTTCAAAAATGTAAATAAACCGCATAATACATTCGCTTTGTCTTACACTTTGCCTTTGGAATTCGCGCTTATATAGTTATATTAAATCTTCAATCCTGTGCAAACTACGACGAGTCAAAGCGCCCATACACGACCACATCATCTTGTTAAACGGCGAAATAGCAGCGATATTACTAAAATAGGACCAGAATCTACACGTATTAAATATATTCTTACCCCAATTCAGTCTAAACTTAATCGAAAAGCATGAAAAGAACGGTTTATTTGTTCCTCTTGGAGGAATTGCCGTATCATGCGAGCGAAATCGAATCGCGCATCGGAAAATTAGCCAAAGCTGTGCACCACAACTCTTGGGAGACAAGACTGGGACATAGATAAATCCAATCACATACACATTTTAAATACTAGAATGTTTCGCGCCATTACAGACTTGCGACGACGAAAAATAATAAAAAAAAAAAAAAATAAAATAAAAAAAAAAAAAACAAAAACAAAACAAAACCGAGGCGAATTTTCAACTCCGTCGCTGACGCCGGAGTAATAACACATCATTTTATGCAGTTACCCTACCCTTTTCTCTTCAGCCCCCAACCCGCTAATAAAGGATGACGGTCCTTAGTTAAGGGTCAGTGGGTTCATTTATAGATTTTGTTGAAAGCAAATGCAAACATGCATGGAAATTATATACACAGAGCAGTTTCTTGCCAACAAAATGAACACACTAGCACACAACAATACCATTATCTTAATTATAGTTTTAATTTTTACTGAAAGGCAAGTATATTTTGATTTTTCACTTTGGTAAAATCTAATACAAGAGTGCCTGAGTTTCACAATAACAATTAACACTTAATTGCCAGGTTGGCATTTAATAATAACAATAATTGTCAATAAATATATTTGCAAGTAGCATCCTAGATGCAGAGAGCCATAATACTGTATACACGCCTAATATATACTAACAATTGTTCCTTTCAGGCTCAAGACTGTTACTATTAGTTTAGCTGCTCAATGAGTCCATATAGTTCCACCTTTATCCTGTTCCCTGGTTCCCCCATCCCCCTGTTCCCCCTGTTCCCCCATTCCCCCGCTCACTTGTTCACCGGTTACCCCATTCCCTTATTGCCCCATTCCTGCATTCCCTTTTTCCCCCATTGCTGCATTCCCTTATTCCCCCATTCCCTTATTCCCCCATTCCCTTATTCCCCCACTCCTGCATTCCCTTATTCTCCCATTCTCTTATTCCCCCATTGCCTTATTCCCCCATTCCTACATTCCCTTATTCCCCCATTCCCTTATTCCCCCATTCCCTTATTCCCTTATCCCCCCATTCCCTTATTCCCCCATTCCCTTATTCCCCCATTCCCTTATTCCCCCATTCCCTTATTTCCCCATTCCCTTATTCCCCCATTCCCTTATTCCCCCATTCCCTTATTCCCCCATTCCCTTATTCCCCCATTCCTTTATTCCCCCATTCCCTTATTCCCTTATTCCCCCATTCCCGCATTCCCCCATTCCTGCGTTCCCTTATTCCCCCATTGCCTTATTCCCCCATTCCCTTATTCCCCCATTCCCTTATTCCCTTGTCCCCCATTCCCTTATTCCCCCATTCCCATATTCCCCTGTTCCCTTATTCCCCCATTCCCTTATTCCCCCATTCCCTTATTCCCTTATTCCCCCATTCCCTTATTCCCCCATTCCTTTATTCCCCCATTCCCTTATTCCCCCATTCCCGCATTCCCCCATTCCTGCATTCCCCCATTCCCGCATTCCCCCATTTCCGCATTCCTGCATTCCCCATTCCCTATTTTAAAGATAGCCATTGACATATGCATAACTTTACACAAGCAATACCTGCATTTGTGCTAAATATATCAGAGGTGTTGGAAAACAGGCTGCCTTCAAACGCTAGTTTCCTATAATGCCTTTTCCCAACTTTTGTAATATGTGGACGAAGTATAGCCATATCATCCATTTCCATTGTGAGTGGCAACTGGATATTTTTTAATTTTTCTCAGTTTTTTCAGCCTTGATACTTTATTTTGTACACAATATATTGGAACTTGAATGTTTCTGCCCTGGACGAAGTGCCCGAACAGGCGAACCATTACACCACCTCTGTCTGCGGGAACCAACCACTGAGTTTCAATGGATTCAAACCCACGAAATAATATTCCTCCCACAAGGTCCCAATTTATGTAATTATTAGTTATACAGTAATAATAATTGTACCGTCTTTCTAAACTATTTTCATTTCCGTACAGATTCCCGTAACTCTTTTTTCAACATTTCACCTCGCAATGTGATAAAGATTTATTATTATTAAAAAATTACATCGTCATACTGTGTCTGTGGCATCCAGAATGCCAGGTTAACAAAAAGTTTAAAAAAAATGGCCAAAAAACAAGCATGGCATATCTAAATGCAAACAATACCAAGTTAGCGAGTCACGGTCTGTTGGATAATATATACACATTGACTAGAATAAAATGAAGTAAAAGTAACAATAAAATTAATCAAGTTATTTATTAAAATCATTACTAAATTCTAAAATCAAAGCAATTGAATATATGTAGCAAAGGACGCCAAAACTGGGGGGAAGGACAGCAGGCGGGGAATCTAATCATTTGCCTCTTACAGGTAAGGCAAAAGAGGCAAAGAATGCCCTTTCAATTTAAAGCATCACAATGCAATCCCTTAACTGATAATTCTTAAAATGGGGCAAACGAACTCCAAGAATTACACAAGCATCCTGGGCCGGGAAATCCCCGGATTCCAAAATCATCATCTGAACGAAGCGAAATGCCTATGTTTTAAAAATACGCCATACGTCAATACAGAAGTGCTCTTCCTGAACGCCCCTCCTTTCTTCGCATCGTTTTAGCGTCCCAGTGTATAGCTATACTTAATCCTACCAAACTATACAAATCTATTATCTAATGAACTAACTCTATTTCGTGCTCATAGCTCAAAAAACCACAAAATTCAGAAGCATTAAATTTACGATTCAAAAATTCAGAAGAACGGCTGTAGTGTACTTCGTCTTATCCATGCCTCGCCTCCACTCCGAGCGACTTGTTTGGCCTGATTTCTTAATACTCTGTGCACAATCATCGGTAACGTAGCAAATCGATTGCTGTCAAGGAAATAATGAGCTGGGTCGCCGACGATTTGTCGGACATCTGGGGGGATCCTATTGTCGCAAATGTGATCTTTCACGTTACGAAGAAATCTCAACAAACGGGTTATGTCGTTAGAATTATATTGATCCGCAAATTTGGACATAGCGTTTATAACCTGAATGGGAGAGAAACATTTTAGTACAAAAAAGCGCAATGGGTGCTTTAATACATATACGTACCCATGGTATTACCTCACGGTGTGCAAGCTCGTAAATTAAATCGAAATATTAGTTTTCCAAGTTACTTACTCTTGCATCTATCTTTTGTCTCCAACCATTAGGATAATCCCCCGCGTAGCTGTTTAATTTGTTTCCTACGTCAGAACGTACACCACTCCGTGCCACTTCAGGTTCATTTCCCACGACAACCAAGAAACGAAACTGATCTTCAATCGACATCAAGTAAGGGTGCTTTAGAGCTTCATACGCAAAGGGACGATCCTCGAAGTTTTTCTCGATAAGCCAAGAAACAAGATCTTTTTCAACAGCACTAATTGCAGTATTGCTCTCTAAAGAAACTGAAAATAGGTAGACAGGAGCGTTATCTTTCACTGAAGTTAATACAATTTGTGATAGTTGTATTAATGTAATTAGAAGTTTAATATATACCTTTTGCACAATATAATGGATATTTTGTGATCAAACTAATGCGTTCACTTGCATACACTCAGTTGTAAGAATTATTATTGTGAATTTTATGATGGTGCTACTCTGAGAATCTGAGTTACCAAACGGGCAAGTTGAATCTATTCAAACTGTCTTGACCTTGTAGTTCTGTTGGAAGAGCATTGGACTAGCATAATGCAAATTAGCCAATTCTGTCACTAAGCATAATTAAATGTTAACTAAGTTTTATACAACTGGCCCCAGGTTATAAATGAGGGTAATTAAGAATGTACAACGTACATTCTAAACATTTCACATTGATATGTCATACCTGGGTTACCACGATATATATTATTTGGTCTTTCATAACTTATATCGCCAAATGGATGCCTTCCATTTGTTAAGACATAATAGACGAGCATTCCTGCCACTTGAATATCGGATTTTCGTTTGTACACCACGGGTTGATTCTCACCATCGATGGGAATGGATTCTGCAGCCTGCCATTCAGCATTACCTTTGCTTGATGTATAGCTTGTTGACCGTCCTGCAAATACACAAATTTAAGGTTCATTGCAACACAACAAGAAAGAAAGAAATTCGAACATTTTCTGAAAAGGTCATATTGATAACTCAATATAACATACTAATTAGGTAATGCATCATTTGGAACTACAAGAAGAAACATGCCGAGTTTGGTGCACACTCAATAATGACATTTTGCTTATATGTATGTTGGTTACATTTTAGATGCAATATCAAGCACTAGTGAGTGAAATATCACATGTAAGGCTTCTAGTTCTGTGGTGTACTAATAATGGTCTGAGTTATAAAGCTTTAAGCTTTGTAATAATAAATTTATGTGGTGTATTATTAAACAGATAATAATTCTATTACATACCTTCACCAACCTTCTTGCTTACACCAAAATCAGCTAAACGAATACACCCTTCAACATCAACCAAAACATTATCAGGCTTCAGATCACGATGCAATATCATCTCTTTATCTTCATGTCCTTGTTTGTGCAGTACATCTAATCCAGTTAGTATTTCCCTGATCATCTTTTGTGGATTCAAAACTGGCAGATTACCAACAGGGATTCTTCTTACATATTGTGCTAGAGAGTACTCACAAAGTTCCAAGATAATGTATATAAATGGGTCTTGCTTTATATAATCACGATATCTCACAACATGAGGTGACTTTTCCATCTTAATCATATTGAATATCTTAGTTTCATTGTCAGCCACATCATCACAGATGTCCGCCAACATACATTTCACTGCAACTTCTTTACCATCACTAACTCTTAATCCGACATAAACACAGGTTCCATCACGACTAGGTTGAGCAACTTTGAATTGATCTTGCCGACACACAATATACCCACCAATCTGTTTGCAGGCATCACCTAATGGCATACTTTGCAACCTCTGAAATTTCTCTCTATGTATGACAGATCTTTGAATCCAGAGTCCTATAAGGGAGCATGATCTTACTTGATATACTTCATTACTTATTTCTTACATTTTAGCCTTTTAGTACTCTTACTCTAAATGATACCAGCTGACTATTAATTAATAAGTTTACAAAAGAATCTCTAATGTTTTTGTCTCCTGCTAATCTATTATTTGTTAGAAGAGAGTTAAAATAAGACTTGTTGACTTTGTTTTCACAAGGCTAGCAAGGAGTGCTAAGAGGGGCCTGGAAATATTGTGCAAGTAATTAGCTGGTAGCGTAGTAATGCCTTTGTTGTATGGTGTTGATGGTACTCACAAATTTGTCCATTGGCACGTGGATAATTACAAGTTAAGGGATTTTTTTATGCTTATGCCATAAATACTGTTTCGGCCAAAAAGCAAGCTTGCTCTTGAGGTTAAATAACAAAAGAATTATGATTTATGTAAACTCACTCTCTTGTTGAGCAGATGCCATCTCAACTTCCTCTTTCACGAACTGTTCACAAAGTTGACTTTAAACCTGGAATAAATGAACTTTTGAATGTTATTTCAGCTTAATCATAAAAATATTTTGGAACTAGGACTGGAGAATTAAATTATAAATTTCAATTTTCGAGTCTCTGCAATTCAAATTTGATACATGAAAGGTATAGCGTTCCTTTTATTACTCACCTTTGCTTACTTTTATACTGGCTTTTAACGCATGAAATAAAACGAAACAAAGCTTGGACGTGTTGAGCACAAGTAACTGACTTGTGATTTCAAATCTCCACGAAACTATGGTGAAATAACAGAGAAAACACAACAATATTTATAATTAATATTTTGTATAAACCACACCACCAAATTTTTCAATGAATTTCAATCATTCTCGTACCCAGAGCCCCGCGTGTAGCAAATAGCAAATTCGTAACAGTGAATTGATAAAACAGATAAAACAATACATGGAAATGTTTTATACTCTACTAGTACTTGCAGTGTTGCAGTTTCTGTACCACTCCTCAACTGTCAGAATTTACATATCCAAAGAAACAACCACGTTCTCAGCGCCACCCTTTTTACGTTCGAAAATGCCCGAAATTAGGGTTGAAGAAATTGGAGGTGGAGAAATTTCAAAATATTATTAAGAACTACTAAAAATTATCAGTATATGTAAGTCTACTAAATTACTAAAACTATATCAGTGTATGTTACAAAAACAAATTTGTATACAATATGTATATATATATATATATTACTATTGACGCCCAAATATTACAATTTCATTAAGATATACAACCCGTTAGAAAAGGCATGTGCCCCAGAATACCAGGGAGCAACTTTCGATTTCAGTCTCACCGGTAACAACATATATAGGACCTTTTCAACATAGCTATATAGTACCTCTTTAAATGCCGATCACGTTCTTCATTTACGGTTTACGATTACGGCTATGTTCAAACTGAGAAACATCCTTCTTCAGTTCAACACATGCATGAAAAAAGTATGTGCCGAATATTTTTTATGGATCTTTACACAGCTCGCGAGTCGTGAGAATAAAACTTGAAATCCGTTTCATTTAAAAGGGTTCTAAATTGAAAATGATAAAGTCGTGACCCTCCAAAAGGGTCAGAGCCAAAAGTGTCCTCTGTGTTATGTACAAGATATTTTACAATTTGATATAGTGGATGCATCGTATACTATATATAGTTACATTTTTACTTCGCATTTTCGTATTTTGCGTAGCATATATGATCCACTGATATGATCATGACTTTATTCATTCTTATTCATTTGACAATGCTTTCCAATGCATTGTGTACTGGAATCATAACTGGACTGAATAAGGAAGTAGTGTTTCTTTGTTTTGAAATTCTTCCTCAAAAGTAAACAGTCTCGTTACATCTTGTGTTGAAAGGCACCTGGGTGCGATGTAGTGAACATCAGACAGGGTTTGCAACGGTGATATTAATCACTACATAGGAATATAGGAGTCAACCATGTTTGCGATTTCGTAACCCTAGTGATAAAATAAACATGTCACATGTATTCATTTCCCTGGTGTCTGACTAAACAGGCCCGTCGAAACCTGAGGGTTTACACTCTATGGATTTTTCACCGTGCTAGGTTTTGTCACTGAGGTTTATGGGGAAAGCAATGTGGTGCAAGCTGTGACCACGTCTTTTTTCTGAAAGAGTGCATTCCATAATCCAAGTTACGTTTCGACAGGGATTAAAATACGCTATAGCCTATGCATGCCTCATGCCTGTTTCGTTGATCAATATTGAAAAACAAAAATATATCATATGCGAAGAAAACGTTGATTTACGACCAATCCGCGTTGTAAATCGTAAGCTCCCTTAAAACTTTTCACGACGTTACGACATGCATATGAGTCAACTCTCTTGACGAAGGCCCCTCAGGTCGAAACATCCTGAAGATTTTTTTGTTGTTTTTAGGCAGTTATTATACCACATTTGAGGCGACGTTGTTCAAGGGCTCCTATAGGCTACTATGAGATTGGGTTGATTTTAGATATTTAGCAAAAAACTGAACGGCTACAAAAAACATAGCAAGTTTATGAAAACTAGTGTCTAATGTTACTTGATCTATCTTATATAACCTTGTTATCTATCTTATTTGGTTACCTGTGTTGTGTGTAATGTAATGGTGTCAAGTTTCTCCAGTTTGCTTTGAAATTGGAAAGTGTAACTTTTTCCGTCCTTGAAATGGCTCAATATATTCTCGATGGGAAACATTTGGATAGTATCCTGAAAAAATCCATTATTTAAAAAATCAAGCAAATTCCTCGGGTATAAAGGTCAGATGAAGTTCAGTTCGAGACCTCCCCCTTACATCACAGAGTAGTAAATATAGGCACTACATATAACAACACAACTTTATTGTAAAGTTTAGGCAATTCATGTCATACAGTACCTTTGTCTTCGGATTAATGATATGAATGCCTTTGCTGTTGATACCAATGTTGACTATTTTTGGCGACTCGGAAAATTGTCTTTGCTATAAACGTTTTAATAAATCACCATGAATATTGCAATCCAAATACGTGTACATGTATGGCTTAAATGTATGCACTTCGATATAGCATAGTATACTTTTGAATTTTCCTGAATAAATTTTGAATATAATATTTAAACCTACCCCCACTCTAAAATATGCTGACCCAAACCGTTCGTTCTTTTGAATGGTGAGAAGGAACAAAGTTCTCATTTCATTCTCAGAATTAAACGTTATCTTTCGACAGTTCATAATGATATACTGGAAAATATTTAAAAACATACATGTTTCCATTAGTTAGTTTCATAAATAAATATTAATTGTGATATAAGAAAAGAGCCTTGTACCTGTCTCCATACTTCAGGAAACAGGTCATCAATCATGTGAAATGGTAATAATTCTTCAAACATTTGCCTGAATAGAAAGATACAAAGTATCTTTATATTTAACCTTTTTGGCCTCCCATCAGATAATTTATCGAATAATTACTTTAGCGATCGAATAATATCAATTTTTACTGTATAATTATGATAAAATCAGTAGTTTAACGAAAAGCAGAAGTTACGTGATTTCTGGGCAATTCCATCGATTTCCGAATTTGGATTTTAATATAAGTGCTGCAAAACACGATGCTTCTTCTATTGTCAACTTGTAGTATCCACGAAGATATTTAGACACTTCCTATAAAAAAAAGCAAACTAACAGTTCATCATGGGATTGGAATTATATTTTTAGGAACAAATACAGGCATCTGATAGTCTGATTGCATGATATAATATGGTAGACAATCTCGGTGGCCACCAAGAAATACGTGCAACTGAGAATATCAGAATTTAATTAAATATGAATAGTAATGAAGTGCACGAGGAGGTAACGAGCTTTACCTGAGGATATAAAAACACAGCGTCAGCGATAGGATCATTTCCCGGGTGGATTTCCTTCCACACTCTTTTTAGGAACATCAGTTTATAAGGAATTCCTTTTGCTTTGTTGTACACTAAAGAGAAAATAGAAATATATGATTCCGTCCGTATTGGGTTTGCACCCATTCCATGCATATTATAGGATCTTTCACTTATGCACTAGCTATGTTTTATAGAGTGCATACAACATGAACAAAGCTTTCCTCCTGAGTCCTGATTGTATGAGAAAATACTTTATTATTGTCCTATGATAGATACGTTGTTAATCACCACCGCTGCAACTTCAACTCACCTGCCGGTTCTGGTAAACTGTTTTCAACTATTTTTGTCCACTGTTGAATTTCATCAAAAATAAAATCTTCAGAATGCAATGCAACAACTGCAAGTCAATCAAGAACATCATGCAATGAAATGGATGAATAAGGATCAACTGATTTGAAAATCCCCATAAATATATCAATGCACTAACTTTTTGAAAATACTTGAATAAATAACGAATATCCAGTTCCATTTACAAGTCCTATTCTTTGTACAATGCTACGTTCAATATCTTTCACTTTCGTACGAGGAGAAACCTCGAAGTTCTGAAATAAAGACAAACACATGTTTTGCATTGTTTAATATGATTTGCAAAGTAACAATAATTTCACGTGCATGACAAAAACGGTTTCGTACTTTTCAGAATGTTAAATGAATGTCAATCGAATGTTACATGGCAGTGATGCTGGTTACGCACAAAAATACTCAATATATATATACTATACAGGGTGTCTCAAAAAGAACGCAACCACTTAAATATGCAAGAATATTTATATTGTTCGGGTTTGCACCATAGTTCAGCTAAAATGACTTTTAGCATTTTAAATGAAGGATTATGAGCCATTTCAATGCCCAGAGTTGCTTATCTATTGCGCTTTAGAGCTGTATTAATGTCTTGCATATTTAAGTGGTTGCGTTTTTTTTGAGACACCCTGTAAATAAATTTACGTCAAACCAATCTCGCACCCAAAACCAAGGAACTAATTCTTTGTGTGTATTTTTACTACCACTAACCTTTGATGTCGAATCTGGGAAATATACTTTGTGTAATATAGATTGGCATTGTTTCTAAAGATGATAGATTTACTATTAATTAAAGAGTAAATAACAAGGTAAAAAACTTATGTGAGAGAATAGAAGATCATGGGTCATGGGTGTTGCTCACGGGTGCTCACATGTAGTAAAAATCATCAACTCTTCGAAAATGTCAAATTGCCTATAATCATGTATATGGGTATATATAGCCTGTGTCCCAGTCCATACACGGAAAAGTATGTATACTTTTCCGTGTATGGACTGGGGCACAGGCTAGTATATGGATGGTTGGCATAAAGCTAAGCCTAGCTGATACAATTGATTAAGGAGTTTTCTGAAGCACTTGTACGAATTACTTGAAGACATTCTTTTTTCCTCTTTTCTTTTAGAATTATTCCAGAGGCTCTATTTATATGCGTATTATATGAGTCTCTTGCAAAGATTGATTGATAGGAAACTATGCAATCATGATGAACATACCGTCGCTGCAGAAAATTCAACAAAATGTGGTGGACAATGTCTAGGGCCTGTTTGAACTGTTTTGCGTAGATACGTCAAGCATTTCATAGCCATTTTTTCGTATTTACTCCACGTCACACAAAATAACATCACCTCTTTAAGAAGGTCATCACTAGATAAGAAGGAAGTTAAATACTTTTTTAAAAATAATTTACTTTAGTTCAAGATGATGTAGTAGTTTCAGCTAAGATCATCTGTAGTCTGTAGAGCGCAAATTATTTTCATATTATTTTATAAAATTCCACGGAGTACCCTCTTCTGTCACGATCAGCATTTCTACTCCTTTGCGACAGAAAAAGCCCCCCTTTTTAACTAATGCCCCCCATTAGAAATTCCTTAGGAGAGGCCCTCCTGTAGAACATGGACCACAAAAGCTAGATATTTTTTGGCTGTCTATCCTTCAAGGTCTAACAGTCTATACTGTTGTCTATACCAGGCCGGGCACGTATACTGTCACAAAACTATATATAAGAACCAACCTGCAAGAAAAGAGGCTTGTGCAAAGAAACATGAGTTCCCATCCTTGTTGAAAACTTTTTCTATACAAAAATAGCATTTAATTAAGACCTCAAAAATAATTCCCTTTTATGTGTATATAGAAGTAGCTTTTAAACCAGAATGCATTTTTACGTTTGATGCAGTGAGATGTACGTCGTATAGTATTTACTATCACAGTAAACAACTTACGTGACGTAGTTATTCGTCAGTTGTTTCATTATTTCGCAATAAAGCTCATCCTTTAATGCTTCCTATGAAAGAAAATTTCAATGCTCACAGATTTCCGCAGCTAAATTGCATGATGTTTCACTTTACTTTATACTTGGGGGAGGGGCAACAAATAAACCAATAAGAGACTGGTGAGTACTTTAGAACCGTTGCATGGAGGATTAGATTACTCACGTGCTGAACAGCTGGGCTGAATATTTTTTCTGTAAGTTCCATTTTGTAATACTTGGAAGATCTGTCATTCGTGCATTTTTGCATATACACAAGAATAGGTGAAGTGGTGTTATGGAAAACAAATTTTTCTCCAATGTATAATTGAAGGCTGTCAAAAGTTACCTTATCGTATCAGCCATCTTCTTTATTTGTAAGGATCAAGCAAAAATAACTAAATGAAGACATATACTGAATACCATGCAAATTTGTCAAGCAGTCGGAGACCCAACGTACATGCAATGCAATGCAATGCAACTGATGCATAGCTTGGCTAGGAACGATGTTCATCTACTGTATCTGACAAAGGATATCAGAAAACATTTCAATTGAAAGGTTTGATAACTCTTCGTTGTCACGTAACCGAAGTAGAAGAGGTTCCTGCAACGGTTCCTGCAAAATAGATATAACTTTTTTCTTAATATAACTTTATTGAGACCATGCTCGTTGAACAACATGTATATATACAATTATGTAGGGGGAAATTTGGGCTAATTGGCATTTTTAAATTATGCCATCTACCCTGCATAGTGTTTCAGTCGCCACGTTTATATCAATTAATTAACAAAGATAGTATAAATGAAATAAGCCGTTCCAATGAAGTTTTAGACGTTGTCTTGCCGGGTGCATGTGTTCAAATAAAAACTATTGCGTTAATAACTGCGAAAAGTGGTATAGCTTCATAAAATTCAGGCTAGTGAAACTCATTCCAAACATAGCCATAAGTTTTTACCGTTTGATGAGACCAAATATACACAGGTTGGTCATATTCATTCAACTCTGTGTTAGAATTTCCAGTGGTGAAATTCATTCGGGCAAATTCCTCTAAGGTGTGAACATCTCTGGAGCTATCTTTGTATGGTTCACATATTTGTTTTAATGTTGTTTCAACGTTCTGTGATGAATTATTGTTTTCTAAAGCAAACTCAACATTACACATATCACTTGCGCCGGAGTCACTGCGCGATGGTAAACCAAAATCATTCGATGATCCTACGGACGAGAAACTGGACAAGGTTGGGCGACTTATTGAACTCGCATCGGATCCCTTGCGTTGCAGTTCAACTTCTGGAATATTCTTCTCATCTGTCAGTTTTTCTGTACTGTTGAATCGCTAAAGAGGAATATTTGTCTATCATCCTGTTGACCCTATAGACTTTTTTCATGCAAATGCACTGGATAATTGCCAGTTAAGTTGTAGTTATTTAAACATGGTTTCTTCACTGATTTCAGTACTGAAACATACCCTCCTTAACTTAGTTACGCGGGTTCTGATGCCATTAACGACAAAGTTATATGCAAAGTCAGTCCAGCTGATATCCATAACAAATTCTTCTAATGGATTGTAAACTTCTTTCCGGTAGTAAATTTTCCATGGTATCTCATCTTTTTCATATCCCAGTTCTCTAGCACTTTGTTCACACACCCATATTGCATCCATTAGTTTTTCACTACCACTACCAAGGTTGATATGCTGAAAACGAGGTAATTTATCACAGTCACTTAATTGCGTGCAAAGGCGTGCCTAAAAACATTTCGTTATGTCAGAGGATCTGCCACTTTTAGGTGGTTATAGGAAGTGCCTGAAAGAGGTTGCGTTAATGCCATGAAGCCTGAAAGGAACTAAAAATTGTTTAAGCTTTTTGTTTAAACTGAGAAATAACAGGAAAATACATATCCAGCAGCGTAATTATAGAACGCTATTTGGGGTGAGGTCGGTGATTGGGAATCACATGGGGCAGGGGAAACTTGTCCTGACTTAAATAACTAAAAAGATAACGATATATACCTTGCCCATCATGCCTATTTGTATTCCATATCCAGCGTTATGATCAGAGCCCATCTCGTCTGCAGCGTCCACACATAATTCTCTTGCTGTTGTTGAGGAGTCGACTTCGATATAAACTTCTCTACCATCATTTAATTCGACTAACACCACAGGAAATACTAGTTGCTGGGCTGACTAGAATATTATGAACAAAGTTTTTTATTGATTGGATAGAATTGAAATAATCACGACTTCACGTGTTTAATATTCAGAATAGAAAATGAATGTTTATGCATAAGCATCAATCAAGTTAAATTAGTGAAGTTTGAACAGCTCATGTCAGTTTTGGTGCATCGACAGTTGCTATGAATAGAAATAAATATGTAGAAGTTTCTTTGCAAACATCAAGGCCCTGGCCAGTTTTTTATTTTTTTTCATAACCTGAGAGTTAAAACGATCCCACAATAAAATGCAAAAGAGAGAACGCTATAGCTGCACCTGTAATTCCAAAGTATTGGGTGGTTGTTTTCTCGAACCATTTCTTTTGGTTCTCGTCATTTTCTGGTCGCAGTAACTCGCATAGTCGTCTGGACCACACTTCATCATTTCTATCACAATTTGCCCAACCTGTGTTCAGAATAAATAGTGAATTTAATGAACCTGGTTTTGAAACTGAAATTTCAGTTTCTTTCTTGCGTAACAGTAAAGCCCTTTGCCACTTTGCCAACCATTCAGTAATATCTCACATGTACACTCACAGCGTTTACAGTAAAGTGAATTATTTGTATTCTAGAGATAATCACAGTAACCTTTGTGGACGGCATAAAGCAGCCAATACATAACGATAATAGAACCCATCCTTTTAATAGACTGGTTTTTGAAGGATTGTTTGTGACTTGCTTACAAAGTTGGCAGTAAATTTCATCTCTGAAAAAAATAAATTAGAAACGGGACGTGTAAGTAATATTCAAATACTCTTTTTCTTTTGATGATATAGGAATACCTTAAATGTGGCCGGTTGATTCCTAAACCAATAATAAATCGTAGCTTATCAAATGTTGACATCCAACTGTTGGAAGTGAAGAGGTTTGCTTTTTCACCTGCCGTATCTGCCTCCAATGAAGACTACAACGGAAACATATAACATTAAACATGCTTTTGATGAGCCATTTTCGAGCTGAAGATGCACTGACGTTACTATATGATATTGGTTATAGTAGTTACCTAGATGTTATCTGAATAAAAGATATTATCAGCAGATATTTATTACAGCCGCCCGGGAAACGAGATTGGGTGTTTATGCACAAAAAAGATAGGGAAGTAGCATGATATATTAGGCTGAATGATAGTGCGTTACTACATGCAGGTTATGCGCCAAAGTTGTGTTTATACAGTAAAGCATACTTGAAACAGAAGCGAACATTGATACAATTTTTCTCCACAGGGTGTCGCCACATTACGGTATGTCGACCATGATATGGTCGATACAGCACGGTATATAAAGACCAAAAAAACACTCCGCCCATAGACGAAGCATCACGATCCTTTATTGGCCATGCCGGATGAGCCCGTATACGTAGTAACCCTACAAACTTAGAGAGAGAGTGAAGGCGACTCAATGATGAACATACCGTATCCAAGAAGGTGTGTCGCGGCTCTGACATGTCCCCCATGAACCGTAAAATAGTGTTCCACAATACGATTGCGACCTGAGATAAAAATATTAAGAATTCGCCTTGATAAAATAATCATAAAATTTAAAGTTTTAATCTCTTCTATTATTCAGGACTTGTATAGTAGACATAAAGCTGTGAAAATTATTCTAACTAATGGATCGCCTACTGAATAAATTATTCATAATAGCAAGAGAAAACTAAGAATTGTGATGCATCCATCATCGTAAAAAATGTGTTAATGTTAATGATTTTTTCTCAATTATGGTTCACTTACATGTTGGTCAACTTGGTCAGATGAAGAAAGCAACGGTTGTTTGAGACTTTTTGTAGAATGCTGGTACGTTACACCCCTGGGAAACTCTTTGTCAGCAAATTCAAAAAAGAACATGGTTTGTTTTTTCGGCGTCTGAAACAGATAAACTGAATAAAGTATGCCATGGCTGCATACTATGCTTCATAATTTGAAGCACATTTGCTGAAAGTGACCCCATGATGGAACTGGCACTATATATATTATCGTATATAAAAAAAATTACGAGTAAATAAAAGTCCTTCCTCAATGGCATATTAATTAGCAAGATGTAAGAAACTTTATATGCTCAAAGAGTTCGAGTGTAGGCAGGCTCCTACTTAATTCAGGCGCTCAGGATATAGAGTTTACACCTCGCCGAGCATGTCTGGTGGGAAAATGTCTGTCAGTTACTGACACTGTTTAACGCTCCTTTATATTTAAGTGGTTAAAAAAGTAGTAGGGTGGGGACAGGGGGCTAAAGGAAGCCCCAGCCACCCCTTCTCCTCGTTCCGCCAGTGTCTTGGCTTTTTGTTTTTCGCCGCTGGTTGGAATTTAGAAATCATGGTATTATTTGTGTGAATTCTTATACCTGAATATCCAAAACATCATGACGTTTCACTTTTATTGGAATACGAAGACCGTCTCCATTCGCTGACTTAAAATACCAAATTTCATCCTCTCGTTTAGTTCTACAAGCAGAATGTAATCATTATACATTTCAACTTACCGAAAACGAGGTAACCTCTCTCAATTCGTAAGGACACTTGTCCATATGATCGTGAGACATGCATGTCGCCCATGCCTATATATTAGTAACAGGCCTATATATTCGTATTACTCACGATCTACAGACCAATAGCAGGTGGTGTATAGTGCTACAATACTGCATAATACAGCATTCCATTATATGCTTCACTCAAGTTAATGATTTATTTAACCACAGTCATCAGTTTAACATACCGGTGAATCTTTGTAGGGCTGTTCTTACTCCAATAATTGAATCTCATAATATATTGAAACAACAGCGACAGATCAGAAACAATTTGAGATGTTAAAATATACGAAGATAACAAGAGCAAATTAAGACTATTGTTGATATGGACGTCTTTACCAAGAATATCGCTTAATGTGTATTCAGTTGTGGCTATGTTTGTGTGGGAATGAGAAATACTTTCGTTCAAGAGTTTAACAAATAAGGAGAGGGATGACATATAACATTTTTTTATGTATCGTATTAGGATTAACACTTAAGATTTAAAGGATATACCAAACATCACAATGCTGGAAACAATCTCTTCAATGACCGACAACTTCGTCAGCGCCGCACACATGCAATGCCAATGGCTTAGGGCTTTTCTCTATTATAGAGAAGGAAATTGTGGATACACAAGTACCACACGACTAAAAAATTTCTCTACTATAACAATATTACTCTTGAAGCTAAATTCAAGTGTAGAATTCTTCGATATGAAGTCTTCGTGTTTTAAATAGTTTAATTTGTTTATGTTAGAGTAAAAATGTACGCTGACGCAATTGGCAGATTTCAATCATTGTCGTGCTTGCCAAAAAACTGTTTTAATTCGATGTTTAATTATATATATATTTATATAATATTGTTACGCTCCTCAATTCAAGATCATTTTCCAAATTTCCCAAATTTCACACATTCCATGCATGTGGCTCTGACTCGATCCTCCAAGGCGCAAATTTATTTTTTCGGGGGTGACTGACTGGGGGGGAGGGTGACTTTCTCATGGACATAAGGGCGATTGACTAATTTGGGGATGGGGCAGAGAAATCTGTTCAATAATTAGGTCCTCTGGAACGTTGTAGTCCCAGTATTTGTCACTTTTAGCACACAATTCTTTAGTATTCATTATAATTATACTTGACGGGTATCGGGGGTTGCTTAGTTTTATCAAATTGAATAATGGCCATGCATGTGCTGATAACATTTAACATTTTGGAAGCAACTGATGCTTAACGCGCTCAATTTGTCAGTTGTTCGTGAGGTTTCACAAATCACAACCCCCAACCACCTCATTTTCACTGCACAAACAAAAAAGAAAGAAACGAAGTTTTCAGTCTTTTTTGTTCTATCTGATTTTATACCCGCACCGTAATTACTTCCACGGAGCATCAAAATGCTCTTCATGTATAGCCATATGGTTAACGAAAATCTCGCGTGCCCGACTAATTAATGTAGGCTTCGACGACTAATGTGGAGTCTGAGAATGGAGTAGGGACCGTAGGGTAGGAACAAAAAGGCTCGGGAGAATAAAATATATTTCGCCTCCTGTTCAATGTTTGAAGCTTCCTCTCGGGCCCTGACCGAGAAATTGTTACGTGTGGCTTGCGTGTTTATTAATTCTATATCTATGCTTTTTAATGATTCTATAATAAGTTAGGGAAGCTTTTTTTCGAAACCCCAACCATTATACTTGAGATCCCTCGAAAGCCTGAACTATAATTAAGTCTATAAATATTTAAAGATCCTTAAGTCAATCTCTATAAAGAACTATTTGATTTCTGTTAACATAATGTAAATCTAGTTATATAGTTCATCAATGACAATGTTGTATTTAGTTTGAATGGTATATAATTGCGTAGGACAGTCACGCAACGGGAGCTTTGAGTATATTTAGCATGATTATTCAAATTAAGTATTTATTATAGTAGACTCTGAACTTATACAAACTCCATGCTCACAAGGGGTCACCATGTTTAGGTTTACGAAATTTTGTCAGAATCCTCCTGCAAACAATTGTTCCGATCAAGAATAAGGCGGGCCGGAGTATATATGTTTCTAACTACTGCATTAACATATCCATGCAGAGGTTCTGTATTTCTGATACAATTGACACAACATGCATGCATGATATAAAAAGATGAGAAGCGCGAGTAACCGCTAACGAAAATATAAGAAGCAGCAAAGTTAATCATTGGAAATTCCAAAAATCTATGGAAATTGATATACCTCCAGGCTATAAAACCAATATGGTGATTGGTTACCTCAAATGAGAAATATTGCTCTGAGCCCCCGTTACAAAATCGGTATATAAACATATATCATCACTAGTCATGCATATTTCATTGAATCACAATATAAGTGAGAATTGGAAAAGTTGGCATCAAGAGTTATGAGATCTTAAAGCGTGATTATTGATGACAAAAACCCGGCCATTATACTTGCACAGAAATTCACGTTCAAGGTATATTACTACTACAGTACTGTAAATAAAGTATATATATGTATTGAATATCAGGCATGCAAGACATAATCAAAGACAAAAGTACTTTATTTACAATACAGCACGCATTCCTACGGACGAAGATATGGATATACATACCGGTACATTAATCCACTTAGAAACGAAGTTCACCTCAGCATTGACGGCAATTCTCATCTCCTAAAGCCGAATCAAGCTGCAAATAAACCAATCTGATCATTCAAGATGTGTTAGAGGGACGATGTCAATAAAAAACGAATTGTCGTGGGCGGAAAATCACTGCTGCGTTTCACGACAAATGGCACCAACAGTTCTCTTTATTAAAAAGAAGCCAATATTCACAATCACCAATGGTAACGCAACACAGAAGACTTAAAATAGATAAGTGGAATTCTACAGATTCCCACCTTTGTCAAACATGTTAATACTATATTTGATTTATGATTCTCCGCTCCTGATGCAATGGTAACGACTCCGAAGGTTCTTACTTGTACTTTATAGTATATAGACTAATAAAAGAGCATAAAAAAGACCCTTCGGTTCCAACTAGGCATTAAGATGAATCAAAATTTCCACAATAAGGTTTAGTAAGAACTTAGCAAGTACTATTCTAAATTTCAAATGCTGTATTCTGATTACCTATATATTCAATGATTTTTTTATATTTTTGTGATAGATATGGCGAGTAGCTAAAAATCGTCTCTTTTGTTGCAATACTTAACGCGTTTTCACGCATAAAATGGCCAGACAAAAACATAAATTATTAGAAGTATGGTTTTAGTATACTAATTTCAAAGCATTATAGGCAATGTATTATGTATAGTATGACATATAGTATGCCTGCCGTCAATGATGGAAGATACAACTTTTTGTTGTAGTCTATAGATAGTCCTCTCTATAGATGTAAATAAAAGTGAATCAAGAACGATTGGTGATTTTTCACTTAGTTGAAAAAACGACGCAAAACCTATATAGTTTGCACAAGGATTTGTCCTGTGGAAATGACGCACTGATAATAATTATATATTTTTATTAAACGATATCAACAATATCAACATATCTTTAAAATATACATATAAAACTTGGATCAAAATTTGCATGAAGTCGCTTCGGTACAAATATAATAGTTATAACTCATAATCACGTATACGTTTGGGAAACAAGCAACATGCAGCAACAAACTTATAAAGTTATAACTGAAGTTTGAAACGTAACTGAGTAATTAACGAGTACGACCAAATGGAAGAGAAATAAAGAAAGAAGGGGAGTTGACAGCAGAGACTGAGTGAGCTGAAGTTGCGCGTGTGACTGGCATGCACTTGTTCTGGTTTGAGACAGCGTGATGGTTATTTCCTTGATCATTCTGATTTAGGATATTATGGAAATTCATTACGTCTTGATTAACGTTATCTTCATCTTCAAGGACTGCATGAGTCACTTCCGGTGCATGGACATTCTGATTTAGGACCTGGTGAGGATTTCGTAACATTTGGTCAACGTTTTTTGGTGGTTGGATGTCGTTTCTTAGGATGGAGTCATTTTCTTTCGTCTCATGGTATTCAGTTTCGGATGAATGTTGTCCTGTAAAAAAAATTCTTGATATAAATATCATAATATATGCAGAAATGTTGTGATTAGAAATCTCCACATTTTTACGCTATGCTTTGTTTTCTGCTACATGCTTGATTAAATCTAATTCCATCACAAGCCTGATCGATCATGAAAGATGTACACATAATGGTGTATGTCACATACACCAAGAACTATTGAAACTTGAAAGCCTTCGACTTACCGTTGGGAAAATTTTTTTCCGATGTTGGTCCAAGAGTTATATTTCTTACAGTAACGTCAGACATTTCAGTTCCCATCTGTTTAAAGAACGAAGAAGACAAATAAAAACAATAAGACGAATAAAAACGATTTGCCTTAATTATTTCTCTTCAATTCTGAGATGTCGGCGTGTCGTATATGAAAAGAAAGTTGAGCGAAAGCTATGTAGCTAGCATTTTCTCACATTTGAAAAATATTTAAATCATATAAAGTACTCGCAATTAGGTTGGTTGTATTTGTCTGAAAGTATTTACCCTTCCATTGCCACATTCCTGCTCCACTGTAAAATGCTGTACTCTAAAACATAAATTATTTCTTTACCCTATTGTCAAAAAGGTAATATCCATACAGTCGGGTTTGCGCATCTGTTTTGCTCATAACAATGCGGGGCCAACAAACTTCCTAAATTTCGCATGTTGCAGGTTTTTCGGCTGTACACAGACTTTATCTGACTATATAGGCTTATAGCTCATGCTTAAAAAGTAAAAAGCATATAGCGATTAATCAATAGTGTGTGAGATACGCAGACAGACGTGTATACTTTAAAAAAATGTAAACAACAAAGCGTTTGTTTATACATTACGGCTGGACATCATCTTTAAAATCAAGTAAAGAGTCAATCACTATGATAATGCATTAATTTATTTTATGAATGGCATGAATATAATTAGTCTCCCTCGTGCACTACAATATAATATACATTCAAAAATCTTGTTTAAACTTACTCTGCAACTGCGTTATTCTCACATGATTCGAGCCAATTCAAAAATTTCTGGAGTTGTTCCTGTGCTCGTGTCAGTTGATCGCTAAAAGTGTCTTTCATTTAAAGCTAACTTGTATGAAATTCAAAGGGTATGGTACTTACATGTACATACATGAAAAGACTTATTATTCAATTAATTATATAAGAATGCAGTTTCAAATAACTACGTGCAGATCGTGAAAAACGAGGCAACCCATAAGACCATGCAACAAACGGGTATAGACTATCAGAACAATTGGCTTTTGTTACGTAAATATTTCAAAGAAACCAGGGAGCAGCGCGGCGTCGTGGCAGCGTCTCAGTTTCAACATCAAATGCGGTATAATTACAACTACATACAATAGACAATGCGATTTCTCCACGTTTCGACCTAAGAGCCTTCTTCGGGAGAATTACACTTTACGTTTTCTCACAATTGATGTTGATAATTTACTTGTCTGATAATGATATTTACATTGCAGCCTTCAATTCCATGAACGTTAATCCCTGGTGTCCCATTTTCTCGCCCACCAGATCTACAAAGAAAACGCATGCAGAAGTCCTATTTCTTAGGTTCAATATGCCCATAGTTTCGGAAATATTATATACCTTTAATTTTACTTGTGTCTACTGAAAGATTTTCAAAAGCTTTTGTCACATCTTCTAACTCGTTTGTTTTCGCTTCAGCTATACAAAATAGAAAGTTAATGTTTTCGCATTAATAACGAGTTCTTTCACTCCTATATCTCGCCAGGGTCAGACAAGAAACTGGTTATGAGACTACTATTATATTGTAGAGTTATAACTCAAATTAATTCAAGCTGTAATTTCATTCTGATGAGGCGCTCTACAGTCTACCATCCCACCTTCATTTATTATTGTATCCATGTTATCCTTCCATTCTTTAGTTTCCTTTGTCAGGTTGCCTTGAGACTACAATAAGTAAAAGCATACGTGAGAATTCAACCACACCGATTATATGAATTGCACCAGACAGCAATGAAAACTGTGAAATTAGTTTATAAGGTAGGTTTCAACATAGAAAATCTGTATTATCTGAGAATAGGACAATACATCACCGTGGGTGGAAAAATAAACTTACATAAGTTCTTTTAGCGTCTCTGAAAAATTTGGTTAGCTCTTTCAATTTTACCTGAAATTCGTTCCTATAGTAAGACATAAAATCTCAATTTCATTCTCTGGAAGGGAATTTTTGGATCCCGTTATTTCTTCTGTTGTACATGGGGTGTATCAAAAAAGGCAACCATGCAATTACAATTAGGGGTTCTATTGTTCTATATTGTGCGCAGGGCCGCCGAGAAATTTTTGGGCCCGGGGCAAAATTTTTTTCTGGGGCCCTATGACGTCATGGCTTTAAATAACTGCGAGGCATAAAGTACTTTAAAGCGTTGTGCAAAAGTTTTACAAACAAAATGGTCGAGTCTACCCGAACTGCGGCGTATTCGACCATGGTCGAGTGTACCGGAAAACGGCGTATTCGACCATGATCGAGTCCGGCCAAAAATGGCGTATTCGACCATGGTCGAGTCCGCCGAAAAATGGCGTATTCTACCATGGTCGAGTCGGCCAAAAAATGCCATTTTCCGGCGAATTCGACTATGGTCGAGTCCGCCGGAAAATGGCGTATTCAACCATGGTCGAGTTCGCCGAAAAATGGCGAATTCGACCATGGTCGAGTCCGCCGGAGAACGGCGTATTCGACCATGGTCGGCGTATACTAAACACAAAATAAACAAAACATTTTAATAAACTAAGCCGTTCAGTCATGTATATTGAGTTTCCTTTCGAGAAAATGACTATTTGGACGTTAAAAACTAGCAGGGATTGTTTCACAATACTAAAATTTCTAAAAGAATATCAATACACTAAATTTTCTTGCTAAAAACACTTAAAAAACGTTTAGGCGTTTAAGTCTTGACATTTCCAAGCGTGTGCCTTATTAGTCGTTTTCTGTGCATATACTTGTTAGAGACCGCCCCCCGAGACCAGGAAAAGCTTAAATACGTTAAATTTATCTTCGCTCTCAAGGCTTGCCACTGTAGCTGATTCGTCTATGACGCGCTAGGCGTGTGGCATACAGCCCACTCTGTTTCTCACTGAGACGTAACGGTTAGGTGCACATACATCATGGTCTGGGGGCCGTAGTGCATCTCCCCCTTCGGCGGCCGTTAAGATGTGAGTTATGGGGGGGAGTTCTTCCTATAGCAACTGTCCTTGCACCTTTCGTAGTTGTAATCTATGCTGGTATATTGCAGCTGGTTGTATCACCGGTTAGATTGTGGCATAGAGCTGGATGATCTCTTTTGGGTGTTTTTAGGTTCTTTCCAAAATCTTTTTTTTTCAAATTTTTCTTTTACATACAAAAAAATACTGCTATTAAACATATATGGGCCAGATATGGTTCGAAAAAAAAATATATCGACTAAAAACCACCTTAATTAACCCCTGAATACTCTCCCTAGTCTCTGCATGACTGAATCTCTGAAAGAAACAATAGCAGAGATCATTCATCAACATCAAACATTTATCATCAGCATTTTCATCAACCTTACAGCAGTAAAACAGCAAAAAAGACATTCAGTCAGACAGTCAACTCTGCATTCTCGTTAGTGCTTTCTCGTTAGTGCCTATCCGCCCGCCGGAAAATGGCGAATTCAACCATGGTCGAGTCCGCTGGAAAATGGCGCGTATTCGACCATGGTCGAGTTCGCTGGAAACTGATGGCGTATTCGACCATATCGAGTGTACTGGAGTCTGAAAAACGGCGTATTAGAGCATGGTCGAGTCCGCCGAGAAATGGTGTATTCGACCATGATCGAGTCCGGCCAAAAATGGCGTATTCTACTATGGTCGAGTCTACCCGAAAACGGCCCCCCTGCTCCCCCCCCTCTCGGCGGCGCTGATTGTGCGTAATTACAATATGAATATTAAATAAGTTTGTTTTGTTTTTTATACATGCACCCTGCAGTATACAAGGTATACCGACTAAAAATTTACCTTAATCTATGCATAATTTGTGCTATAATAAATGTGTTATATGATTAGAGTAACCATATCGAAGATTTTAAAGTCTAGTTTTGTCATTAAAATTTACTCACGCATCATTTTCCTGCTGAATAGTTTCTATTTTAATTTTCTCGTTCAAACCAGCAAGGATCTTTTGTTTGGCATCATTTATTTCATTTAATCTTCAAAATAAGAGATATCACTTGGCCCTGATTTATAGGAAACTAGCAAACATGCAGCGCAAATTTACAACACTGTTCATGCAGTATGAATAATACTGTGTTCTTTCCAATTTGTTAAAACTTAAGATGGGGTGGGCATAACTTAGACCTCATATACTTGGAAGATGCAAGAGAACTATACTCTTAGGGCCTGTTTACATGGAGCGAGTTATCCCAGCTAGGCGAGGTAAAAAGCGCATCACATCAAAGGCTTAACCTGATTAGTCTTTCATTATAATTTGCAGTTTTCACTTCGCCTAGAAATTACGTTTGTCTTCGGGTAACTGACATGCACGTTATTTATCCGAAAAAATGCTGACCTTTCAGCTTGATTATCAGTTTGAGCAACTTTCTGTTGAGCAAGCTTTACAGTTTCTATTATAAGAAAGCACAACTTATTATTGGTTTCATGACTGGATAGAAGATCATAGTGTTATTAATATTATACTTCGAGATACTCGACTTCAATTTAACAATTGAAACCCTGGGCGGCCTCCACGAGGTCTTGTATAATCTAAAATTATAGGCGTCGATCGCGTATGATCGCGTGAAGCATGCACATGCATATAAAGACTATATATAGTACGGAAATTTTGGACATACAGCCACGAATGTAGCATTGAGATTTTCAGTGCCTATCTCTTGAAAGTAGCCTAGGTAATATCACAAAATAAATTCATATCATATGGTAACTATATGGTAACAATTATCACTATATATGGGCTTGAGTTTAATCGCGTTAGCTTGGAGGAACTATATAGCTATTTTTCAGCACTGCACCAGCACTACATAAGTATTTTGAAGGTCTTTTGTGAACGATGAAAATAATATATACAATATACCTTGCATCTTTGAATTTCTGTCACGACTTTGGCAAAATTTTACTCTCTCTAAAAATTGAAGAAACATTTTAATTGTAATCAATACTCAATAAAATTTACTCCATAATAAATGTATTATCTATCATTTCATTTATCATATTTGTATGACGGCATTTAATTCAGCATTAATATATACCCTGCTCCAACTTTATTTCGATATTTTTGCTGCGATACTTTTCCTCTGCATATCTTTGTTCCAGTGCTTGTTTTTCTGAAAATAAAATAGGAAACTGACGTTGCAAGATAAGACTCGAAAACAGGACATGAAGTTCTGACGGGCGATACTGCGAAACTAAACCCTGCCATTGCCCAGCTGTTACCAGCCAAATTCGCATCAGTAGTTCACAGACACAGGTTTACATTGAAATCCGAAGATTGATCGCAAAGTATATTTAGTTAAGGAAAAATACTAAACAACAAATTACAAAGTTAATCATATTTAAGGCAAAACTCTGATCAGTATGTTTATAATTCATGCATTATTTTCATAACTTAAAGACAAACCTTGACGTAACTCATTGACACTCTGAAGAATAACGTCAATTCGAAAAGAAACACTTTTTGCGGTCATCTTTATAAATAAAAAGGAAACCTGCACAGTAAAAAAGTATTGTTGCATGTATTTTGGTATTTATTCAATCGGCCAAATCAATTTTTCCCGCCACTGATTTTCCTCCCCAGGCCACAGGCCTAAACGACAAGTCCAAAGACTCAGGGACAAGAGACCAGGATGAGCCGAAATGGTCAAATGGACTAATTACTTTGTCAGTTTGTCTATACCTGAACCTATAATTCTAAATCAATGGAAACACCTTTGACAACTTTTGCTACAATAGAAATGATCACCTTAATTTGGGACAAGTGACAGGCACTTGCAGGAGATCTACGAAATTAGAACGGCAAGTAAGAAAATAGGTGGATTTAAATAACCTCCAAGCTAAAACCTTGTTCAAATGCTAAAATTCACTAAATTGTGTCAAGCTGGTCACACTAATCTAAGGCTACGTTCACTCTGGCCGGACACGAATTTTTCGTAATACCCGGACTAGTGAGGAGACTGGTAAAGAAAGAGGAGGAACGAGCGCGTCCAGGATCGTGGAAATAGGGCGCAGTTAAAAGGTATGTTGGCCACCACTCATGAATCATGATCACCCGGTTCGCTTTCGTACCAAAGGTCTTTCCGCCGTATAGATATAACAAATCTATGATGTTCCGCCTCCTTGTACGGATTAGGGACTAGGCCGACTTATATGTATGAGTGTATGAGTATGAAACATGAAAGGACAACCAGTGTCATGCTCGAGGGGCTTGGGCATGTTACGCAAAAAGAGTGTCTATTCAATTACTTTTATTAATGAGTTTACCTGCGACACATGAGCAAAGACTAGATCGTTGAAAATTATTGTGCAATTTGCCATATATATGAACACCAAATAACGTATTATGATATTATATCAGTGTCCAATATTTGCTGGATGCTAAGTCTCTACAGCGTGTAATATTGATTGACCAATGACCGGTCGTTATATGTTCGTGTAAAAGCTGATCCTGATAAGGTGTTCAATTATTTACGAACTTGACATATATGTCATATGATATTTGCCGTCTAGAATTACAGAGCATTCATCTCGTTGGGAAATCGTTCCTTTTGCTGAAGTCGGTTGGCCTGCGTGGTCTTGTAAGAGCTTTTTCCTCATAATTATATTGTCAGGAAATATCTCGCTCTATTTGGCCATTGGGAACGCGCGAATAGTTAGGCAGTGTATCCGTACGAGTTTACGAGGGAGAGTGAAAATTTAAACATGAAACGGGAAGAGAAAGCCAAGCCGACCAAAGGCGAACAGTTCGCACAACTGCGAGCTGACTTCTGTAAATTTCTTTACAATAAAGAAGGAGATGAACCTGCTGTAGTTATGGGTCGTACTGCCTTGAGTTGGGGTAAGTTTATTTTTTCAAGCGTTTAATGGCTATATTATGAAATGCACTGCAATACACCGCGTAGACCGACATAGCTGTAGCATGAAACACAATAATCAACATTTATCGTATATATCGCATATGCACACTTGGGCTTGGCGTTTGCTTTCGAAGTCAGCAGTGCTTCACGCTCCCGGGTATGATACTACTTGTTACTTTGGGGTATCAGCGTAAGCTACAGCGTAGCCGCCTTTACTAGCCGGTACTGCGACACAGCTCAAAGTGCTTTTTTGGATAATATTTATAAGCCGGAAAATTTAACATCAACAGTTACCTAATCGTACATGATGGCTGTATTGCAATAGACCAATGGACTCAATAGTTTTTGCCAATCTCGTTCTTGGGTTGGGATGCCCTCGACTCTTGCCCTCGGCTTTGCCTGCTTGCCAACATGAGTTTTAGTAAAGCCAAAGCCCCGTAAAGTGATAGTTTCGTTGCCTTGCCTTATATAAAGAAAAATCTTTACCAAATTCTCGCTGCAACGCGGACCTAAAAGTTGACACTCCGAAATTCTCCATTCTCCAAAAGTAATTACATACACTGTGCTCGGAGGGACATACCTGGCTCTGGCTGGGAGTACCGAGTAGCATTAGGAGGAGCTTTGACTTTGAGCTTCAGGTACTATATATAATGCAAGACTAACGTGTAAGAGTAGATTGCTTTGAGTTTCTACCTTGCCCTTGGATGTATTTTCTGCCCCTCCAGTAATATTAACCGAGCTTGTATTTACCTCAATGCGCCGGTGGTGAAGTAAATTCGACCAAGAGTATTAGGGCGGATGATGCATGGCACTTTACAACCGGCACTCTACAACATTGTTTCTTTTCTTTGTGTATTGAAAAATATGACGAATATTTATGACGAGTATGTCTAACTTCGAGAAGGTCAAAAACCAGTTGCTAAATATTTATGTACACTTTCCAATTTTTGTTACATTTCAGACACAGGAAGATAATTTTGGCCTTTATAACCTAAAATTCACAAATACCGAACAACTACAGAGGTTATAGGGAATTTTATGTTTCAAGATTTTAAGATTTATTCGCTGTTTTATTGTCCCAACGCAAATTAGAATTGCATATGTTGATTGCGTAAAAATTACCGCTTATTAACATAAACGCATTGCATTATGGGTGGAAGCTAGCGTGCCTTACTCTTCATCCGTCTTCATCCCAAGGGAAAGCGTATTTTGTAGTTTATTTTTAAAACTTTGCTCCGTTTAAATTTCAAAATGGACGAACAAGAAAAGCTAACGTATAAACAAAAAGGAACAATTATGTATAATAATTTTCGAGTTTTCCTATACAACAAAGAGAAGGGTGAAGTTATGGGCAGAAATGCAGAAAGTTGGGGTATGTGGTGACTATGCAGCTGTTATGTGGGAGAAATAAATTCATAACCTTTGCGGTTTTATACTCAAATTAAGTTGCTTAAACTTTTTACTTTCTGTTCTCTACAGGTAAAATTGGTCTATTTTTCTTTGTGTATTATTCCTGCCTGGCAGCATTTTTCGCAGCAATGTTTGCGATTGCCTTCTCGACCATGCCAGAAATTAAAGATGGACCAAAGTATACTTCGTTTATCGCTGATAAACCTTGTAAGTGGATCTGGTATTTTTTTAATGAAAATATGTTAAAACATTGAACTGTTGAAACATTGAAAAAATAAACGGGTTTGTATATGTTAAATTTGAATCAAGAGTAGAAGTCTCCCCTGTTGTGAATAATTCCTGTTTTGTCTGTTTTTGAATTACAACTGTTTCATTCATGTTTCTCTGATCTGCGAATGCCCTACCCCACAAGAAGCATTTCAAAACACATTCTGTGTTTCATTTAAAGACTTGGGCAATGTTTTCCAAGACATCACAGTGGGATAAAGTAGGGTTGCAAGAATAGTAAATAACTGATGACTAATTGTATATACAATTTTGTTTGCAATTGTTGCAAGCCATTCAATACACTGTTTGAAATCCTACGTATTAGTAAATCCTAAGTGTTAGTAATTCCTGCATCTTCCTTTCATTAGCTCAAAAAGTGTGGGTTTCCAGTTTTCAAACTGTATGTAAACTGTGGAGCTAAAATCCAGACAAAAAAAATGCAGACACTTGTCTGTAACCATATGTAACATTAATACATTAGCAGTGATTAGCTTATCAAGGCTACTATGGATTAGTGATTTTTGCTTTCCTCTTATATAGGCCTTTAATGTATAGCAAAACACTACATTGTTTATGAGTATGTCCAATAAAGAAAATCTGAGAAGGAAACCCCAAATGAGTGTATACCAGTTACAAATTTCAGTTTTCTTTTTCAACTTATACACAGTAAATGCACAAGTTTTAACCAAGCTGCTCAAAGCTTTTTTAAACCTGTGCATGACCCTAATTTTCAGGTTTTTAGACTTGTGTACTTGATATATTTTGTACCAAAACTAAAAGGATATTGTATTTCAGTGCTACTTGTATATCCTGATGGAATTGGCTCTTGGAAAAATAGCAGTGTTGGAGAGAGCATTAAAAAGCGTTATGATGACTTTCTAGATGGTAGGTGTATTTTATATCATATTTAACAATCCACTGTGAAGCTGATTAAGGATGGATAATTCTTCTAATAGCAATGCATTTGTCATCTGTATGCATAAATTTTCTGTCAGTTTGCAAAAAGCTTACAGTAGAGAAATAAAGAAAGTGAATTGATTAATTAAGTACACCATGGTGCTACTGTAGAATCTGTGGGTATATATATTGTGAATTTATATTCAAAAAACATGAACACCTTGCTAATTACAAAACAAAGCAACACCAAAAGATGAACATCTTGAAAGCTAAAATATAGGTTAACACAAGACAAAGATAAGTTTGTGATATTTCGATTTTATTACAAAAGTGATTTTTAATGATTGCAAACTTTAATTTTTCTCTTTTTTAGGATATGAGGATACACAGTGTTATTTAAAAAGAAAATGTGTAGCTGGTGACGGTTATCGCCCAGAAAATGAAGACAAGCAGTGTGGTTTTAATCTTACAAGCTTAGGTCCATGTGCACCAGATCATGCATCTGGATTTGGATACTACGACCGATCCCCATGTTTGTATCTTCGGTTGTCTAAGGTTAGTGGAATTCACGAAGTCATTTCACCCACTCATTTATTTTTAAATCTTTCAGGAAAACTTTAGCAGTGTAAACTAGGTCTACTACTACAGTTCACTGGTATTAAAATGGATTGTAAACCCCCAGTTAATACTCGCACGAATATTTGTAATAGTGTTTTTTTCTGGATAGAATATTCAAATTTATATTATCAAGGGCTTATCACATTTAATGAGAGATACATTTTCCTACAATGACTTTATTTCTAGATATATGGCTGGAAACCAGAACCAGCCTCAAACAGCAAGTCTATTGGTTTAAGATGCGATGGTGATAAAAATACTAAGGTATGTACACGTTTGTATTGCACTGTAAAGGTTGTTAATATTTAATAATTTATCCTAATTGGCTGTCAATACACGAAGCTTGTTAATTTGGCGTTGTTGCCATAGATTACGTACCACCCTGGTGAAGCCGAAGCCTTTCCAATCAGCTTTTGGCCATTCCGTGGAGAATCGGGTTTCAGAACACCAATTGCTGCAATCCAGGTTAGCGGTAACAAGGGGAGTGTGAAAATCAAATGTAGTGCTATTGCGGATAATATCGAATTAAGTGAAACTTACAAACTGAGGAAAGGTGCTTATGGTCAAGTGGAATTCACTGTTGCCGCTCCACCGACAGCCTAAACGTCGAAATCGCGTCTAAAGCGATCTTCTTTTAGTTATGCTACTTTTAATATTAACAGTTACTACTTGTTTGAACAGTGTTGTCTAATCACTATAGTGTGATATATGTTGAGGTTTTCCATAGATGTTTCCTAGCACGTTGCTCCAAATTACTTACTCCAATGGATTTGTCGAAGACGTCTGTCGAGAATGATGGAGTAATTATAGCTTTTATAAACCTGTATTAAGGTATTTGCGCTGTTCTGTGCGCATGGATGTCCAGTTTCAAATATTTTTTAATGATTCTCTCGTGATTTGATACTCTCCAAAATATTAAAGTTAAATATTTAAATTCAGTGCATGATTTTTTATTTACAAATGTATTTATTGTAGATTAGTTTATTCGTTTTTATTGTTTGTTTCATGTACATCCAGGATTAGACTTTTTCTTTAAATGATTGTTCTACATAGTTTATGTAGTTGTGGGAAACGTGTGTGAGGAACGGAGTATTTCTCTAGCCAGAATGTTCTAGATTACATGTAGTCGTTGATCATATTTGGTGGGACGGTGGCTGATATATCAATATTAATATAGTGACTTATTGAAAGCTAGGTATTGAACATTTACGGAAAATCTTCATTTTCATTGTTTGTAATAAATTATACCCAAGAGAAATTACATTTTTGAAATTGTTATAACGTTTGTGATTAAGATACGATATGTCTGAGTTTTTCTTTTCAAAGTTGATTAGTTGTTATGTCGACATTATTAAGTTGTTTAATCAAACTCGCTGGAGAATACAAAACCGATACAATAGGCATTTCTCATATAATGGCGTCAAGCAAGGCCACTTTAGGAAAGTCCTACTTATTGTTGGAAGTACATATAGTTCTCTCCATAAAAGAGGAATATCGAGTTCATGTGCTTTTTAAGTTCAGGTAATAATGCAAATATTTTAAATATTGTGAAAAATCTCAACCCACTCTAAATTTTGAATTATGCTACTTCTGACGTTTTTGGCAGGGGTAAGGGCAGATAATAAGGATTTTACTCGGGTTGTAAAGATTTTCTGTGCGGCCCTGTGCCTCATTTGGCGTTAGGCCCTGTTACACGGTGCAATTTTTGGTAAGTTAGTTCTACTTCGTCCCCCCCCCAAATAATCTTACTTTCAAAGTAATACAGTATGTATGAAACGTTAGATCGTTCATGCATGTTTACAACCCTCCCCCCCAAAAATTCTCAGTTCACTTGAACCATGAAAATAAGGAACAAATCACTAAAAAATAGGAAAAGGTCAGGGTCCGGACGATCTTTACTGAGATTTAAATTACAACCGCACCGTTTTTCATACTCGTAATTTTCTGTTTTGTATTGCAACATTGTCCCGTCTTCCAGAACTCTCATCTTTCTGAAGATGTTTTCTGCAGCCTTATACCACCAGGCACAGTGTGATTGTGTCTCGCCAAAAATAGAACCCATGTATAGTTCGAGATTATTCCATTAAGCACTATTGTTAATTAAGCACTTAAAATTTCTGTCGTACTCGGTTTTCCTTAATCCGTTTAGCCAATGTTATATGGTATGCCTGGCAGACCAGGTATAGGAAGCGGTTTCTTTTCGGAAACGAGATACAATGTCAATGAAAAGAACCTGGACTGAAACTGCTGAAAATATTGCTCTCCTAATTTCCAGAATTACTAGTTCTAATGTTAACAGTTCTATGGACATAAGGTTATGGTGTTACGTTTCTTCCACTGATTTCTTTATTTACTTTTTCCAGTGTTCGAAGAGCAGTTCCAACACGTTTCCTAAACAGGCGCATTCTTTTTTACTGATGCACAGAAACATTTTTTAATTTTTGGCATCTGCTTAATATGGTTCTTTGTATCACTCTTCGCTGCATGGGTTAAAAGATTCGTTTTACACCTTCAATCTTCATACAGAAATCGGATTTATTAGAAAAGTGTTCACATTCGCTTTTGAAGCAAAGTTGAAACAAGGCCAATTTTAAGAAAAAGTCAATACTACCACTATGTTATTATTGTTAGTTATGGTCGGCTCGACTCCGGGGAGTATGGCTAGAATTTCTTTATACGCATTGGTCGCAGCCATTCAACGCGCTATGAGGCCTGAGGACTAGGCTGTATTGGTCGCTGTGTTCCACTTTATCGCGTCCGCCCCAAAACTACACAAGACGACGTTATAAAGTAATAATGACATGGTAAATGAATATTATTATTCAAAAAATTGAGTAATGAGTACAATACAAACGCATGCGAAATCTAGAGTTCCATCTAATGTTCTTCTAACTTGCTTCTGAAAGTAGCTTGTATATGTCAAACTATGTTATAAGATAAAACAAAGTACTCTTATTAGGAATCTTGAGCCAGGACAACATCCTGCATTGCGGGAATGAGACCTTTGCGAAATGCAATCGACAGCAACTCTTCTGCATCTTTGGCATTCGGGTATTCTCGAGCAGCCCATCTGAGGTACAATGCAAACTCGTTCCAATCCACGGAGCCATCTTCATCCATATCAATAGCTTTCAACGCACGTTTTGACTCGTCACATCTATAACAGCCAAAGTACGGTGCCATGAAGCCATTGTAAAAGGAATCAAATTCTAGCTTGTCGTCTCCTTGAACTTCATCTCGTAGATCCCATTCATCCCACATCTTGCGAATATCATCAAGCAATTCTTTAGCGCGCAGGCTTTTCGGTTCTTCTTCAGCGATAGCATCCCTCATCGCAGCAGTGAGTTCACCACCAGAACGATCAAACAGAATGGCAAGGCCGACTTTGCTCATGTACTCTTCTTTTCTGCCGTTGCGAAGATCTTCGAGCATCTTTTCCAACATGGCTTTTCCAATTTCCAATGTAAATTGTGGATGTTTACCAAAAAGATTAGTTAGACGATCAACAACCATTTGTGGGGAGGCCAGAGTTGTCATTCTCATCACCATCTTTTCACCAAAGAATTCGGCCATCGAGAATTCCTTCTTGTCAGGAGCGAAGTTAGGCATACCAAATACCATATCTAAAGCTCGCTCTCCGTAGACTGGCTGCTTTGGGTGCGGTGGTAAACCAGTGGTGATTTGGGTCACATTCTGAGCGGCTTCACGGAGTTTTGCACACCCCTTATATTGCCTGAGGACCTTTTTGTTTCCCATTCGGATCATATTCATCAATGCAAGCGTAGAGCATGCGTGACCCATCGATGCTCCTTCCTCACAAAGGCTAGCCCAGATTCCAGTTGCGCCATTCACAATGCATTCTATTTGAGTCATATTAGCAAGACCCCATTGCTCGTGAACGTGGACCAACAAATGACCTTTCTTCTCCGCGTTTTCTGTCCACCCATTGTCGTCCATCTCTTGTCGGATGGCGGCTGTCCAAACACCGAGCTCTTCAGGGAGATTCTTGCCAGACTCTTCATATATAATAGCAAAGGGACGCTCGTCTTCGGGTAGGGAAGATAAGAATTTGACCACTTTCAAAACACGTTTAGGCTTTAATCTCATGGCGTCTGAGAAATCACGGAAGTTGAATAGAACATTGGAATTCTCCGCCAATTCTGAACGACACCATTCCATTCTCTTCTTCATCAGGCTGCAAATATCTTTGACGGTGAACTTTTTATAGTCGATTCCTTTGTAAACGAGATCAAATTCAATGATCGCATGGCGGATTCCCAACTCCCTCATTTTCACCAAGCCAATTGGAAGTTTCTCAACGTTAGGAACTCTATCTTTGTCGATCGATTCAACAAACTCACTGAAAGCATACAATTTACTGAAATCTTCTCCTGCCTCTTTAAGTGCAATGCAAAATTTGTCTCCAAGGCGAGTCATGTGGGAGAAAGAAGCCACAATAATGTGTTGGTAGCCAATTTTTTTGACCTGTGAATTAAAGTAAAATGAGACGACTTAAAATGGCTATTCTTAATAATAATATTTCTAATTTTCTGTATTTCTCTGTTTTATTATTGTTTTATATACACCATACACTCCAGAAACTTGGACCAGTGAGATTTTTTTTCTGGTAAAAATCGCAAATTTCAAACCTATGACCTGTAATTTGCAGTAAAACCAATATGATGTTAGACTTGCATTAGTTAGTATATACTTAGTAATAATTTTTTAAGCGCCGGTGCGATGGCCTAAACAGATATTATCCCTTATCAAAGCTTGGAGCGGTACATGTTTGGGAACACCCTGTAGTACCCACCTCCTCGTATATCTTCCATTTATTTTCCAGGGTGTGCCCTCGTAGCTGACCAACAGTACTCTCACGAAGTGAATTATCAAGAACAAACAGTTCCGATTTTCTCAGTTTTTTACGCTTTTCAAGCTCTGCAGATAGTTTTTCTTTCATATGCGCGACCTTCTCATCGTATGTTGCCATATTTTGAGCTAAATAATTGAACAAAACAGTTAAGTGATATAATAATTGCTGCCACAGGGGCGGTTGTATGAAGCCCGTTTAGCTTGAACGGTATGGTTAAGATCAAAATAGAAAGCAAGTCTATCGTTTTATTCAAGAAGCGAACAAAATGTTTTTAACCTTAATACAAAGATATTCGTTAGAATTACATATTCAGTGCATAATATTCAAGTTGACTCATTCAAAAGAGATTGTCGTGAAAATGTGCCAAATGTCATGTTTGTCTGTTTGTATTATATATAAATTCATATAACTATACTAATTTATGTGGAAATATAGTGAATTTGTGAACAGGGGAAATAATGCGCGCAAACACATACGCACGTCCAACCACGAAGAAGGGAACTGCCTGTTCCACACGCTAACGCAAACGGATGGAAGAATGGGGGCAGTGCGGTTAGAGAGTTAACCGCGTTGCGGGAAAAAATCCTGGGACGTGCAGCATAAATTACGCAAAGGAAGTTGATGCGAAATTAGAATAACATCCCCTAGGTGTAGTATAAATATAAGTAGAATTGTAAACTTTAGTAAAGTTGAGTTGGATTGGAAATTGGTTATTTATTACTAATTTATTTACCCACGGTACTATCTTACAATGGTTCAACACTTTAAAGATTGAGAGTTTTTTTGATTGGATGTTAATTTGTCCCAAGCCACTGCACCTCTGTATGAAAAAGATTTTTTAACCAAAATTATTATTTGGCTTAGGTGGTATAAGATTATGCTCAGCCTGTCTAGTTTGATAGTCATGCACCACGTTTGTTTTCGTGAAAAAGTCAATGAGATAGTCAGCAACTAGGCTATCAGTTTTTACCTGATACATTGTAGTGCATAATTGCTTATTTCTTTCAAATTTGGTATCTCAAGTTCATTAAGTATGTCTGCTGACCTATAATCATAACCACGCTGTGTAATAATACGGACTGCCCTGTTTTGTAAGCGTTGCAGTTTGTGTGGTGTTGTATTGTGTGGTGTGTTGTCACCGTAACGTCGTGTTCAGAGCGAGTGTGTCCTTTTAAGAGTACTGTGTTAGAGTACGACGTGCACTACGTGTGTAAATATACCTGTACATAGAGTGTTATTAAACGTTAAAGAATACAGTCCCCAAGTTGTGGCATTCATTGAATCTGGTGCCAGCAGCAGCGTACTAACTTGCACTGAGGCGAAGTTGCGCGACAGAGATGTAAGAGCTAAAGAGATGTTTAAGCTAAACGGACTTGATACAACCGGCCCCAGGTCCTAATTTATACAATTAAATCAAAATTTGTCTTTATTGCACATATTTTATTTTAGAGAGGCTGAATTTAAAACAAGTTATCGTTTTGTCTGATCAGCTATATAAAAGTGATTTAAAATTGCTAACAAGAAGTATGAATGTGGTCTATTTAGTCAATATAAGTGGCGTGAAAGGAATGTTGAATGTTGCATATTTTAGCGGGCGAATTAACAACAGCATTTTGACGACTTTGTTGTTACATGTTTGTATTTTTGGATGGTCATAACATATTCGCTATCCTTATTTATATTGTGCAGGTAAAAGTCAAATTCATCAAACGGCGCTTGTGCACTCTTTTTGCGACACAAATAACCTTTCTTCATTTGATTTTCTTTTACCAAATAAATGCTTCGCTGATTACTTTTGTGCCGTCATTTTTAATTTTGATCTCCCTGCCATGCATGATGCATATTCGTTTCCAATTCCGGAGCAGTTAATCTATACCTGCGATTTTTTCCTCTGAAATATTCGTCAACGTGGTCGTGGTAGCTTTTAAACTATCATTATTGATTAATCATGCATTTACTTTTGATCACTCTTTATTCTATAATTATGCCTATATATGGATTAACTATTGAATACAAAACACAGGCTGCATGTATAAGACAAATTATATATACACCTCCGTTTGAGTAACCTGCGAATAACAGAATCTATTTATACCGCTTATTCCACGTTGGAGGGAAACGCGCTCACCTCAGACTGACCGATTGGGAGGACTGTATCTCTACAAAACCTAACTTTCTGGAGCTAGTGAGAAGGTCTTTTTGGAGAGGCATGCTTTATATCATGGCTGATATAAAAGAACTTCATCATGCACTAGTTACATTTAGCTATAAAATCGGTTGGTTAAAACATCCTTTGTTTAAAGACGATTAAAGTCGCTTTACAACTTCCGTGGTGTACTTAAAAGCTAATTTACTCATTTATTAATATATATGCTTGTTATGAAAGGATGACGTCTCTTTAGACTTTACCCACAATTATACCGAGGTTTCACTCATGATCATTTTATTGTTATTCGATTAATTAAATTGCCGTGAATGCTCCCAATAAAAAGCCTCACATTCTTTATTTATTATTCGTGGAAGCGCGAATAGCACTTCATCACAAGCTATATTTGATTTTAAATGGAATGGGGTTGACACACCCATACAGTGTAATTAGCCTCTCAGATGGTATGTGAGTTATGTCAAATGTAGGTCAAAACCGCGAACTCTTTAAAACCATATCTATACTGTGATAATTTGATATCCATGATATCTAACACAATTTCTGCTCTTTCAAATCTCTTTCATTTCCGCAGTTGCTATTAAACCTTTTTTGGAACTCTGCAAAATTTCATTCCAAAAAGTTGAATTTGGTGTACTCTATATTAAAATAATTATATTCTCAGCCTTAGGCTAGCTAACATGCTTTAAACTCGCTAGCAAAGGCTTTTGCGGTTTGTACTTTACTAAGTTGGCGATACACAAGATATAGGGAGGATAAGTGCCATGCGCTAGTCGTTTATTCTGTTGGCATAATTTTTAGAATGAATATACTTCGGATGCGACCAGTCCTTCATAACGCGGCTTAACAATGCCAATGGCTTACAATATTAATATAAACAACGTACCCGTTCTACTTTGATATATATCCTGGGAACTAAACGTAGCTGAAGTCTTTGAACTGCAAGAAGACAAGTGTCAACAAAATGAGCACTGAAATAATAGAGTTGACGTCACAAGTGCTGTTTGTTCGCACTTCCCACAATTATTGGGAGCTCAACTGTTAACAAACATGTTACAGAACGGCAAAGACGACGTAAAAATGGCGCACTTTGTCGAACTTTTCACGTGTCAAACGCTCAAACCCAGTGGCGTAGCCAGCCCGACAATTTAGTCATGCTATGCTTGTTGAGGAGACTGATGGTTTAGTCAAAACCTTAGTACTTATGGTATTTGTTAATTTATATTTGAATAGTTCTTTGTTTTACTTATTTCAATTAATTAGTAATATGGGATTAGAAGACAGACATATAAAAAAAGACAAAAAATATTTATACGTTATTCGTCGTAGACTATAGTTAGTGAACTGCTCTTGGTACGAGTATTCGACCAAAGAGTTGCAAAAAAGCTGCGAGTACGCGGGTACCACCCGGAGGAAGGTTTGCTTTGAATGAAGTTTGTGAGGAAGGTTCAAAGTTGAACACTCTAATTGATCACATGCATGTACCAAAAAACCAAATATTTCTTTATGCTGGTTGCTACTTGACTCAGTGTCGTAACGTCATTTTGAGGAAGGTTTTCAAAACTTGAAATCTTACTGGAGGAAGGTTGAACTCTTTTTGCAACTCTGGAATTCGATTCCTTTTTAACAATTGGTAGCAGGAAATGACGTAGCGAGCGAAGGCGCCGAGAATATCGAGGCGTCTTTGAATTCGGCTCTAACGCCTACAGACGAAATTGATCGCTTGAAAAGGCAGCAGCGAGCTGCTGAAATGCTGGTCTGGCGACTGCCTACAAGAAAGCGGGTGATGGACGAAAGGGTCGTAAAGATCGAAGAAGAACTTGAACTCTTCATGATGTTTTGATTGGCCAAGACCAAGTCGACTTGCATTATGCAAAATGTGACGTGAAAGGTGATCCAGGAGAACCAATCGCCAGATTAGGTCCCTAGGATGGTCCTGTATTGGTAACCCCAAGAGGAGCTCGTCAGCTTCTTGTCGACCACGGACGAATCTGATTTATACGTTTTTCGCAAAGTCTCGAAGATTTGAATAATTCCTTGAAGAAGTTCCGGGAGGTGGAATCGTCCGCAATGGAGCCAGAACGTTGTGTGATGTCCTGTGAGGAGAAATCTGCCATAGAACGGGTTCGTGATTCGTTAGTGAACGACGGCGAACGTTACGAAGTCGCAGTCCTTTGGAAACAGAAGCATCCAACCTTGAGAAGCACTTATTAGACAGCATGTTAAGTTTTCTATTTTCTACGCGAGGTAGTAGAATCTTTACAATGGATTAACTAATGTTCACTAATGTTCGTTTCTGGATGCTCTTTCTCTTCCTGATCTTTGTTGTTACTGTTCTGTCTTCTCGTCGGTTCTGTATTGTTGAGTTTCTCTAACGTTTCATATGGTTTTTACTCCGCTAGTCCACTGAAGGTGACCCACTTCGTTGTTCCACTTCGTTGGTCCACTCCTTTGGTCCACTGAAGGTCCGGGGATGTTGTGCACGCCCTTTTACAGTAACGGTTGAGGGAAACTTGCACACGTCATCAACCAGAGTGGGCTGATCCTTATCCAACCAATCAGCGTTGTAAGTTAGGAATGTGGGTTAATCTTAGATTAATTAAAGACTTTGTCGCACTAGTCTTCTGCTCAATCGATCAATACTTAAAAATGTTCACAACTTAAAAAAAATATTTATCATCAACGACTAGTAAAATTCACAAATAATGCATCTGTGAACAATATCTTTCAACTTAAACTATTTTTACTCTTATTTTACCGAATTGAACTTTTGATGACATAATCTATTACATGCTCGACCGCGCAGCATTTTAACCACAATTGTTTGACATAAGAGCTTGCATTGCCTACAGCACGCACATTTTTTTAAAAAATGCGACCATTAAGATAAGTGATGACTGGACTTAAGACTGTTTATCCAGGTATTAGTTCTAAGAGGGTGATAAATAATATTTTCACCTTATTACTTCTTTAATCCCACGATATGTCATGCATGAAAGGAAAAGCGATTAATGATTGCTAATGGCTGAAAATTATATTTACTCAGGCGTTTTGCGGCAAAAATCAGTGTGGTTTTTTCCACATTTCCCAGTGTGTCGACCAGATAAAACCACTGACGAAAACTGGAATAGTATTTGACGCCAGCGCGAAGCATGATGGAAAATCATTGAACGATGCGATCATACCTGGTCCAAAACTCCAGAGTAGCTTGTTTGATGTGCTGATGCGTTTTCGTCGTTATCCATTTACTCTGGCGTCACGTGTGATATTCGAGAAATGTACTTGCAAATTCGAATGCCAGTCGAAGATCGTTCGTACTTCAGATTTCTCTGGAGGAGTTTGGAGATTGACAGACGACCTGATGTTTATAAGTTCGAAAGAGTTGTTTTTGGTGACATATCGGCGCCATTTCGTGCACAATTTGCGGTGGCGAGGTCCTCAATTTCTACAAAAGAATGAAGCTGAATGGGAACCGAAGCTCATTATGAAGAAAGAAGCCGCCGACTGCAGGAGAGAGAGGACATTGATTGGTGAACGACAGACTACTACAGTACCGGCTTATCCCATGTCGAGTTTAAATCCAATCAGATGGACTAGCTGGCAACGATTAACTTATGTCCTTGAGTATTGAGGTTCATTTCCAACTGTCGATCGACGAGCGAAAATCGAGAACTCAGACCATGCATTGTAGCCAGAAGAAGTCCAAGAAGTGCAGCTTTCTACAATCCGTGATGCACAGAAAAGAAGTTTTCCGGAGTATGAACTTATTCGAAAAAGAAAACTACTAACAGTGAAGAACAAGTTATTAAAGCTTATGCCAAAGATTGGTGATGATGGCGTACTTCGTTGTGATGCAGAATTCCTGCCGTATGAGGTTCGTTTTCCGGTTATATCTTTTTTCCGTGGAAGTTGGGTGACGAAGCTGATAATCAAGCATTACCAGTCCATGAGGTTGGACGAAACATCCTGGAAACCAATCATGACGTAAACGATGAAGAATTATCTACTGTTTTCATTGGAATAGAGGCGTTATTGAAATCAAGACCCCTTGCGTATCAGACATCCGATCCCAAAGACGCAGCTCCACTTACTCCAAATAATTTTCTGCATGGTAGAGTTGGAGGTCGAACTGCTCCCGAAGCCGTTGACTATGTCGAATTTCATCCACGAAAACGTTGGAGAAGATTACAAGAACTAATTAGCCATTATTGGAGGCCATGGATGCGGGAGTGGTTGCCGATGTTAAACGTTCGGACTAAATGGTGGGAACCAAAGCGAGATGTGAAAGTTGGAGACCTTGTTCTGGCTATCTCCGCTGAGGATACATGTCGAGGACATTGGCCATTGGGTTGGGTGAAAGAAGTCCTTCCCAGTAAAGATGGACACTTCCGAGTTGCAAAAGTTCAAATCGGTCGAGATATAATTACGAGAGCTATTACAAAACTAGCACCAGTTGAGTTTAGCAAATGAGAAGGCTTTGTCAGTTACCACTGTCAAGGGGGGGGGGAAGAAATGTTGAGGAGACTGCATGGTTTAATTAAAACCTTAGTATTTGTTCATTAATATTTGAATAGTTATTTGTTGTACTTATTTTAATTAATTAGGAATATGCGAATATATAATTACGGGATTAGAAGACATGCAGACAATGACATGTAAAAAAAGACAAAAGATATTTCTACGTTATTCGTCGTAGACTATAGTTAGTATCGTTTAGGATTTTTGTTTAATAAAATGTTAGAACTGCTCTTGGTATGAGTATTCGATTCCTTTTTAAAAATGCTAACATTTTGGTCCTTATTAACTGTGAAAACAATGAATTTCTAAAGAAATGAATAATGATAATAACATAAAATTTGCACTAATCCACTGCCAAACCTAACCGCAAAATCTTTGTTTAACCGTGGAATCAGTTCGACTATTAATTTCAACATTCTGACGCAGAAACTCACTAACATGGGCATACACCTCTATAACTAGTTTGCCAAACCTATACTGACAAAAGTAAGAAAACTAGAATTGGCTTTAATGGAGGAGTTTTACACGGAGCAAAATCGGGCCTTTTCCTCTTTGACGACACCACTAAAAATGAAAGGGCTTAGCTAGCTATCCTCTAAGGCCTAAGGGTATAGCTAGCTATCCACTAGGTATAGCTATCGCCTCAAATTGCGGAATTTACTAGTTAGGTTCCTGAAAATAACATGAAAATGAACCCTTACAGTTTTTTCTGATGTCATGCTATTGTAAAGATGCCGTTATGCCACAGTGTAATTAGTTATTTAGTTCCTTGAATGCGAAGTTGGTATACGCATGTATTATTAGTTTGTTTTACTATAGATAAAGCAAAAAGTATATTTTGGCAGACCATTTTATTGCCGCACTGATGACGTGGCGTTAATTTAGCATAGCTTCTAGTCAAAATAATCCAACCAACCGGTTTACTCATAACAGTTATATTGGTGCATGGTTACACTAGAATTCATCGAGCAATTATTCATGATTCTCCGGTTCCTACGCTTTTAACTGTTCTCGGTTGCATGGTCGTTTATTCCGTCGCAAAACTGAATAAAATTCTGCTCTTAAAGATATTTAACAATTACTATAAAAACATACCCAATGTAGCTTCGATAAAATTATATACCCTGGCAATTGATTTCAAACTGATGATGCTTCTTCAAGAGGACAAGTGTTATTACCAAAGTCGTGAACTGAAATAGCACAGCCTGCACAGTTAACGAAGGGTTGCCAAATTAGGTGTGGTACATGCCTATATGAACAAACTTTGCTATTGGTTGATGATAAGAATAAAACACGATTAACTATAGAGATTAATTTCTAATGTTGCAAAAAGCCAATCACAAAACTCGTAATGTAATGAATAAATTGAATTGACACTGTTTGCTTTGGCAACCTATCATTTTGTTTTATTATCTGTCGTGGAATGTCATTATCTGACAGCACCATTTATTGCATGTTTCAGTTCGCCTTGGAAATGTAAACGTAATTAAGAGAAGGATTTTTCCTATAATTCCAACCAAAACGCTCAAAACTACCGCACAGCCGGTCTGGAAGCTTACGTTGCAAGAATGCACGGAGCGCAGAAACTGGTACAAAATATTGATAAAATTAAAGCAGTTTTGTAAAGGTGAATGTAATCCTTTCAAGTATATTAAAATATAGGTTATTTTGTACAATAACCAATAATTACCCATGCATGCATGGGTAGAAATCCTGCTTAAAAGCATGATGTCAGTGTTTGGGTTGTCAATCTCGTTCCCACGAGAAATTTCTACGAAGGGCCTTTACAAAGGCTGTTTAGCTGGGACATTCAATTTCTAACAATACGCGTAGTTTCGTAGAACACATTGTATTTCAAGAATACTGAATAATGATATTGATATATCATTTGCTGGCTTGCTGCCAATACCGTAAGCCGCCAAGCCGCGGCTACACAGGGCCATTTTCATCGGCGATTTTCTCTTTCTAGCGTGTGTTATTGTGTGAATGTCTCTGTAGATTTCGGAACCCCCCAGTGCTTCAAAGCTTACTCTGGACAAAAGTTAACAGCTATAAACTAGTTTGAAATGAAATTTAATAAAAATACATTCAAAACTAATTTGTGATAACGACGAATTCGTAGATTTTAACATATAACAGGTGGCCGCGGAACCAAAATAGCAACCAAAATATATATAGCAAACACTGCATGGGATCAGGGATTAAATGAAATATTTAAACAGTCAAATAGGAACTATATAGGTTAAGCTAAACAGCATCCGTAAAGGACCCCTCGTAGAAATTTCTCGTGGGAACGAGACTGTGGGGTAGTTTTGAGCGTTTTGATTGGTGGTATAGGAAAAATCCTTCTCTTAATTACGTTGCGTTTTCAATAATGGCAAGGTGAACAAACATGCAATAAGTGGCGTTGTCAGTTAGAATTCATAGAACACTGAGATAACGACATTCCACGACAGATAAAAAAAAAGTGATAGGTTGCCTAAGCAACCAGTGTCAATTTAATTCATTCATGCAGCTAATCTGCAGTATAAGTATCTACCTAATATGAACGAGTTTTGTGATTGGCCTATTGTATCATTAGAAATTAATCTCTATAGTTGATTGTGATTTATTCTTATCATCAACCAATAGCAAAGCTTGTTCATATAGGCATGTACCACACCTAATTTGGCAACCTTTGCTGCAACCAACTGTGCAGTCTGTGCTATTTCAGTCCACGACTTTGGTATTAACACTTGTCCTCTTGAAGAAGCATCAGACTGAGTTTGAAATCAATTGCCAGGATATGATATCGAAGCTTCATTGGGTATGTTTTTATAGTAATCGTTATAGTATCGTTAAGAGCAGAATTTTATTCAGTTTTGCGACGGAATGAACGACCATGCAACCGACAACAGTTCAAAGCGAAGGAACCGGGGAATCATGAATAGCTCGATGAATTCTAGTGTAACCATGCACCATTATAACTGCTATGAGTAAACCGGCTGGCTGGATTATTTTGATTATGTTTCATATTCAATATATAATGTAATACTTTGGGAAATTCGTAGAAGTTATTTTGCCAAAAGTCTGGGAATTTCAGAGAAGCTTTGCTAAATTAACGCCACGTCATCAGTGTGGCAATAAAATGGTCAGCCAAAATATACTTTTCGCTTTATCTAGTATTACAAACTAATAAAACATGCGTATACCATAATAATACCAACCGCATTCAGGTAACTAATTACACTGTGGTATAACGGCATCTTTATAATAACATGACATAAAAAAAAACTGTAAGAAAGGCTTTCCGTTTTATAATACTCTCGATTTCCGCCCTCAAAACTAAACTATCTTCGAAGTTTCATCCATGTATAATCTACATATAATACAGCGTACACGTACAGAAGCAAAGCTATAGGATATGGCATCACCGTCAATGATCGATCCACGGAAAACTATGAGATGAAGAGGAGACAGAGCCCAACACACACTTCTTTTGTTTTGCCGTATATTGGGTTCATTTTCATGTTATTTTCAGGAACCTAGCTAGTAGATTTCGCAATTTCAGGCGAAAGCTATACCTGGTGGATAGCTATACCGTTAGTGAATAGCTAGCTATACCCTTTCAAGACAATTTCTAGTGGTGTCGTCGAAAAGGAAGAGCCTGATTTTGTTCCTTGTAAAACTCCTGCGTTTGGCAAACTAGTTAGAGGTGTATGACCATGTTAATGAGTTTGTGCGTCAGAATGTTGAAAGTGATATTCGAACTGATTCCACCGTTAAACAAAGACTTTATAGCTCATTACGGTTAGGTTTGAGCAGTGGCGTAGCCAGCCTGACGATTTAGTCATGCTATGCAAATTTCATGTTATTAAACTTATTACAACGGATCCGTTTGACTGCAAAACAACAAGCGTTCGCAAGGCATGTTGGGTCGTATAATAGATTTCCAAGAAATGGGCAGAGCGTTCCATTTCTGCTTTGACAATTGATATAGTTGCGGTGTTGTTGAAAGAAAGTGCTTCCCTATGACTGTGGGAACGCCCTTTCGTATTGACTTTCCACATTTCAAAATACCGCAAGCGTTTTGAATGTTTATATTACATGCAAGGAACACCAAAATATTAGCATAGCATAACTAAATTGTCGGGCTGGCCACGCCACTGGCTTTGGGCGTTTGACACATGTTCTATAACATGTTTGTTAACAGTTGAGCTCGCAATAATTGTGGGAAGTGCGAACAAACAGCACTTGTGACAACTCTACTATTTCAGTGCTCATTTTGTTGACACTTGTCCTCTTGCAGTTGAAAGACTTCAGCTACGTTTAGTTCCCAGGATATATATCAAAGTAGAACGGGTACGTTGTCTAAATTAATAATGTAAGCCATTGGCATTGTTAAGCCGCGTTATGAAGTATATTCATTTTATAAATTATGACAGAATAAACGACTAGCGAATGGTACTTATCCTCCCTATATCTTATATCACCAACTTCGTAAAGTACAAACCGTAAAAGCCTTTGTCAGCGGGTTTAAAGCGTGTAGTCCTTTGTGACTTGGTGTAATATACAACATACATCATACATAGCAGATTCAGCAGTTTTATTTGTAAACTTGGCTCTTCCAACTCATGTTTAATTCATTTTGACGGAAAAAAGGCCCACTAACAACTTTTAGTGAGGTGTTTTTTCAAAAATTTTTGGATTGTCATAGTATTTGACTAACGCTAGATGGAGAACATCGTGATATTGCACGGAGTAGTTCAACCTGCGAAAAGCATTGGCTGAATTTACTGAGTTGGTTGAGTGCTTTTCCATGCTTGGAGAAACCTCCCTCCCTCAGAAGATCTTGTCAATGAGCTGAACAAATGAGCTGGGAAATATCAAGCTGTCTTCCGATAATCATGAGCGCATGTTTCGGGAAATTTTTTTTTTCATTTAGAAAATCTAACCCAATAACCCCCTCCCCCCCCCTCCATAGGTGAGTGTAGATACGCGGTTCTGTTTGATTAAATTCCACTTTCGTGATCAAAACTATTTAAAATTAAAAACATTTCAGTGAACATAGTACAGTACTGGTTTAAACGACTCAAATGGCGATGCTGCATGTTATAGGTAAAAGGTTACATTGAGTGTGCGGATTCTGCTTTTGTATTAAACGAATTCGAAGGACCCAGCGACTCAAGGTGTGGTGGCAGCGACACAGCCCCAATTCCGAGACGTTCCAATTATTTCGCTTATCGCACGCGAATATCGTTTTCACATGATTTGTAAAATCTCTACAGATTTAAAAAGCAGAGATATTGGACAACTTTGGATTCAGCTATGTTCCGTCCCGGGTTCCGGGTGTAATTCCTAATCTCCGCGCCCGCTTGGGCAATAGAACGAATTAAGTCGTGCAATCAATGCCAAAATCATACTCGTGATTAACAAATCAAAGTTATAAAAATAATACGTTATTAAATATATTATTATTCAAATAATTGAGTAATGAGTACAATACAAACGCATGCGAAATCTAGAGTTCCATCTAATGTTCTTCTTACTTGCTTCTGACATAAGCTATATGTCAAACTATGTTATAAGATAAAACAAAGTACTCTTATTAGGAATCTTGAGCCAGGACAACATCCTGCATTACGGGAATGAGACCTTTGCGAAATGCAATCGACACCAACTCTTCTCGTTATTAACAAATCAACGTTATAAAAATAATACGTTATAATGTACAAAGTCATAATGACATGGTATTATTATTCAAACAATTGAGTAATGAGTAAAATACAAACGCTTCATTTTAATGTTGATCTTACTTGCTTCTGACAGTACCTATATATTAAAGATACTCAGGAAAACATCCTGCATTGCGGGAATGAGTCCTTTGCGAAATGCAATCGACAGCAAATCTTCTGCGTCGTTGGCATTCGGGTATTCTCGAGCAGCCCATTTGAGGTACAATGCAAACTCGTTCCAATCCACCGGGTCATCTTCATTCATATCAATAGCTTTCAACGCACGTTTTGACTCGTCACGTCTATAATAGTCAAAGTACGGTGCCATGAAGCCATTGTAAAAGGAATCAAATTCTAGCTTGTCGTCCCCTTGTACTTCATTATCTCGAAGATCCCATTTATCCCACATCTTGCGAATATCACCAAGCAATTCTTTAGCGCGCTGGCTATTCGGCTTTTCTTCAACGATAACATCCCTCATCGCAGCAGTGAGTTCACCACCAGAACGATCAAACAGAATGGCGAGGCCGACTTTGCTCATGTACTCTTCTTTTCTGCCGTCTTGAAGATCTTCGAGCATCTTTTCCAACATGGCTTCTCCCATTTCCACTGTAAAGTTTGGATGTTCACCGAAAAGATGAGTTAGACGATCAACAACCATTTGTGGAGTGGACAGAGTTGTCACTCTCACCACCGGCTTTTCACCAAAGAATTCGGCCATCGAGAATTCCTCCTCGTCAGGTGAGAAGTTAGATATACCAAATGCCACGTCTAGAGCTCGCTCCCCGTAGATTGCCTGCTTTCGGTGCGGTGGTAAACCAGTGGTAAAAAGGGTGACATTCTGAGCGGCTTCACGGAGTTTTGCACAACCCTTATATTGGTTGAGGACCTTTTTGTTTCCCATTCGGATCATATTCATCAATGTAAGCGTAGAGCACGCGTGACCCGTCGATGCTGACTCCTCACAAATACTAGCCCAGATTCCAGTTGCGCCATTCATAATGCATTCCATTTGAGTTGTATTAGAGAAACCCCATTTCTCATGAACGTGGACCAACAAATGACCTTTCTTCTCCGCGTTTTCTGTCCACCCATTGTCGTCCATCACTTGTCGGATGGTGGCTGTCCAAACACCGAGTTCTTCTGGAAGATTCTTGCCAGACTCTTCATATAGAAGAGCAAAGGGACGCTCGTCTTCGGGCAGGGAAGATAAGAATTTGACCACTTTCAAAACACGTTTGGGGTTTAATCTCATGGCGTCTGCGAAATCACGGAAGTTGAATATAACATTGGAATTCTCCGCCAATTCTGAACGACACCATTCCATTCTCATTTTCATCAGGCTGCAAATATCTTCGACAGTAAACTTTGTATAGTCGATTCCTTTGTAAACGAGATCAAATTCAATGATCGCATGGCGGATTCCCAACTCCTTCATTCTCACCAAGCCAATTGGAAGTTTCTCAACGTTAGGAACTCTATCTTTGTCGATCGATTCAACAAACTCACTGAAAGCGTAAAATTTACTGAAATCTTCTCCTGCCTCTTTAAGTGAAATGCAAAATTCGTCTGCAATGCGAGTCTTGTGGGCGAAAGAAGCCACAATAATGTGTTGGAAACCAACTTTTTTGACCTGTCAATTAAAGTAAAATGAGACGACTTAAAATGATTATTCCTAATAATAATATTTCTAATTTTTTTGTATTTCTCTGTTTTATTATTGTTTTATATACATCATACACTCCAGAAGCTTCTCTTTTCTTTGAAATTGTTTAGTACTTAGATTATAGCGAAGGAAAATAATTTAGGCCCTACTTTCGTTGTGATTGCAAACCGAAATTCAAAATACAGCAATTTAAAATTCTCACTTTCCCAAGTCTTCATAATTTATTAATTTCAAAGTTTGCAAATTTCAATCAACTGCTTCCTACGACATACAGGGGCGGATCTAGGGGTAGTCACACCGATTTCTTCTTTGTTTCATTGATGGCTGATTCATAAAGTGATGATTGTCAACGGTAGATGTTGGTTATTCTAAACTTGATACATACAACAAAGGCGAAAACAAAATACCACCAATACCAGTTTGTGATTTAAATATTAATATACCAATACCAATTTGTGATTTAAAAATGTAAACTTTAAAAATTGGTTATTTATGCAAAACTTGGACCAGTGAGATTTTTTTTCTGGCAAAAATCGCAAATTTCAAACCTTTGACCTGCAAATTTGCAGTAAAACCAATGATGTTAGACTTGCATTAGTTAGTAAATACATAGTAATAATTTTTTAAGCGCCGGTGCGATGGCCTAAACAGATATTATCCCTTATCAAAGCTTGGAGCGGTACATGTTTGGGAACACCTTGTAGTACCCACCTCCTCGTATATCTTCCATTTATTTTCCAGAGTTTGAGGTCGCAGCTGAAGAACTGTACTCTCACGAAGTGAATTATCAAGAACAAACAGTTCTGATTCTCTCAGTCTTTTACGCTTTCCAAGCTCTGCAGATAGTCTTTCTTTCATATGCGCGACCTTCTCATCGTAAGTTGTTGCCATATTTTGAGCTAAATAATTGAACAAAACAGTTGAGTGATATAATAATTGCTGCCACAACGAGCGAGCCACAAGCGAGCGAGCAAAGGAGCAGATCCTAATTACTCCGGCGTGAGCGACGGAGTTGAAAATTCGCCTAGGTTTTGTTTTGTTTTTGTTTTTTTTTATTTTTTCGTCGTCGCAAGTGTGTTTTGGCGCGAAATATACTAGTATTTGAAAAGTGTATGTGACCATATTTATCCAGCCTAGTCCCAGGCCTTGGTAAGTTCCTCTTTCTGAAGTTATGCGTTCTCGCGTTATGGCTTATTTCTACATTTATTGGTCAAAATAAAAATGTGTTGAAGAAGATGTTTTGCATCTTTGCACCTGGCTCGTGTGGGTAAAACGTGAAATCCATTTCATTTACATAAAGTGCATAAAGTGGTTATAAATTTAAAACGTTGTGACGTTAAAATGTTGTGACGTAATTACCGAAAAGGTCTATAGTTTTAATAACATTCACCGAATGCGTTAAACGAACGTAAATTCAGTTATGTAAATTTCTAACGTATGAAGTCGAATTCTGATTGGCAGCATTTGTAATATATGTAAATGTTCATATTCACCTATCGTTTATACTGTAGAATGTGCAAATTATGTGAAAGTGAGTAAGCTATATACCGTTTCCCCGAGTTGTGAAATATAAAATTTGTGACATGCTACAACAGGCCCAGAGTTATAACATCTCATGAAAGCAAATTCCATGTTCGCATTCCGAACGTAAGCAAGTAAGCGTTCAGTCACAGTGTGGTTCAGTTCTCTGTTCTTCAAGCTCGCAACTTTCGTGCGAATAAATAAGCCGAACGTTATTAAACCTTTGTCCAATAAGAGCTTGATATTCTACGGATTCAGCGCTGTTAGCCAACGGGAAACTGTGTTTTAACGATTGTTTCGTTCAGTAATGAAACTTTGCGTTCGTTTAACGCCTTCGGTGAATGTTAACTATTTGCACACCAACGGAAGTGTGTCGTCGAAGAGTAACCAAAACTCTCAGTGCACAAAACCGCGGGGTGAGTACTACAAAATAATCTATACGAATAAGCCTATCTAGAATCTAGACTAATAAGTTATTAGATGATTTGATCAAACAAATGTCGTTGTAGTCGTTCCTGAACTGACATTTTGTTTGTTTCCGGATGATTTATAGTGATTGTAGATAAAAAGCGAAAGGAACTGTAAATTCTGTTTACAAGCCATCGGGTCACTTGTGCTCGCTTTACCACGGACAGAACTTGAATTTTATTTATATACGTATATTATTATTGTTAAAACCAGCCAAGTTGATAAAATGACTCCTGTTTACTAAAGGGTATACATATATCAATTTTGGTACCTATTATATCATAACTGAAATGTAATTTCATTCATGTATAATGACAAAGAATAACATTTTATTCCAATTTATACTAAATCGAGTACTATTAGTCTTTTATATCACTGATATCTGGATAATGTGGAAATTATATAAATCCCTACTCTCCCTATATTCTTACAATTCTCTATTCAACAAATTTCACCACATATTTTTGTCAAAAGTATGAATTATTTACTTATAGATCTCATTATTTCTTAAACATTTTTAGTTATATGTTACAATAAGTAAAATATACTTTAAAAACCACAACATCTAGCAAAATAAGAATCAAACACTACTGAGTGATACTTTATCAAAATTGCATAACCAGATATAGTAATTTTAAATACTACGTTGGTTTTAAATACCATGATAGCAATTTATTACTATCCTATTATCTTTTCAATCTCTCATGCTTATCTGTTTTCATAACTACAAAATAATAATGATAAATTAATCTTTCTTATAGATTTTTTTTCATTATGATGAACATTGTACAGATCCTTAGGAACAACAACAATCTCATCAACCTTGAATGCTAACCCACCTTATAGATTTATTGCACAAATTAGAACAGATTAATCTTGGATTAACTAAATGAGAACTGGCTTAATGAGGAGTAATAATAAAGAAATATATATGTATATCTGATATCACTAATGGAAGAGCAACAAGGATGTATAAAAGCTATTTTTGGAAAGCATCGATTTAATTCTCATCTTTTGGGCCTTGACTCTTGCTGTAAAATAACTTATTTGATATATCCATTGGTGTGATAAATGTGGAATTAAAGTAGGTTTATTACTTTTTATTAATGTTTGAAAGTATATGTAAATTCTGATACATCTATTGTTAAAAGCCTTGCAAAATATTTCCAGATGAGTTATATGTATGTGTATTGAAATTTATTGTATTTAAAGGTTATATAATTAAAATATTTATATTAGGGAAGTCATATTATTTTTTAAATTTTGCTCACATGATTTTGCCCGTAAAATTAACCCCAATCGGCCCTCCCTTTGAGGCAGCACTTCGCTCGCAGTAACTTCTAGTTTTAATCTATAGTTTACACTGTTGGTGCTTAAAGGCAGATTTCCATTCAGTGCAAAATGTGGAGCGATCGACTTTTTGCGATCGCTTTCTTTTGAAATACAAACAGTCAAGCGGAACTAATCCCATTAGATGAACTTGAATGAACACATTTCAAAAGAAAGCAAGTGCAAAAAATCGATCGCATGAATGGAATCCGCCTTAATTCTACAGCATCGAACTGCATTCAATAATTTCTCAAAACTCTAGGGAGCCACCTTAAACGAGCACTGAAATGGTTGACGTCACACTGAGTGCTGTTTATTCACACTTCCCACAATTATTGCGAGCTCAACTGTTAACAAACATATCAGTCAGTATAGAACGGCAAAGACGACGTAAAAATGGCGCATTTTGTCGAACTTTTCATGTGTCAAACGCCCAAACCTAAGCGTAAAAAGCTATAGTCTTTGTTCAACCGTGGAATCAGGCTCTTTTTTAAAGCCTTCGACTATCAATTTTAACATTCTAACGCAGAAACTCATTAACATGGGCATACACCTCTAACTAGTCACCAAATTCCTACTTTAAAAAGTAAGAGAACTAGGATTGGCTTTAAATTTGGAAACTTGAAAACTACCAACGGAGGAGTTTTACAAGGAATAAAAGGGGCCCTTCCTCTACGAGGTAGGCTACTTCGACGACACCACTAGAAATCGTCTTGAAAGGATATAGCAATCTATCCACTGCATAAGGGTATAGCTAGCTATCCACTAGGTATAGCAGTATAGCTATTGCGTTAAATTTCGGAATCTACTAGTTAGGTTCCTGAAAATAACATGAAAATGAACCCTGCATGCTAAAACAAAATAAGTGCGTGTTGGGCCCTCTCATCTTCATCTCGTAGCTTTCCGAGGATCATTGACGGTGATATCTTATAGCTTTGCTTCTATATCCTGTATGCCTTATTAGCTTATATGATCACTGAAGAGATCTTCTATACCAATAGGACAAGTTAGTCCGAGTTTACACTAATTGTGCGTTCAAATAATCTTAGAATTTGTTGCGAGGCATTATAGCTTGGCACGATACTTAGAATTTTCCAGACGTTTTCCAAAATAACTTCTACGCATTAAATTGCATGCTTAATAAAAATGGAAATATAATCAAAATAATCCAGCCAGTCGGTTTACTCCTAGCATGTAGTTATATTGGTGCATGCATGGTTACACTAGAATTCATCGAGCCATTCATGATTCCCCAGTTCCTACGCTTCTAACTGTTGTCGGTTGCATGGTCGTTTATTCCGTCGCAAAACTGAATAAATTTCTGCTCTTAAAGATATTTAACAATTACTATAAAAACATACCCAATAACTTCGATATATATATCCTGGCAATTGATTTCAAACGGATGCTTCTGCGAACTAGACAAGAGGACAAGTGTTCTTGCAAAAGTCGTAGACTGAAATAAATAGCACAGACTGCACAGTTTATAAAGGGTTGCCAGATAAGGTGTCTGCACGTACCAATATGAGCAAGCTTTGCTATTGGTTGATGATAACAATAGAACACAATGAACGAATCACAAACACTGTGCATTATTTTGACAAAATGCCAATCACAAAACTCGTTCATATTGGGTAGATACTTACTGCAGATTATACCGGCTGCATGAATAAATTAAATTGATACTGGTTTGCGAAATTGCGTTGCTCAGGCAACCTATAATTTTGCAACATTACTGAAAAAGCAACGTAATTAAGAGAAGGATTTTTAAATTAAAGCAGTTTTGTAAAGGTGAATGCAATCCTTTCAAGTATTCAAATATAGGTTATTTTGCCTGAAAGCATGATGTCAGTCTTTGAGTTGCCAATCTCGAAAGGTCCTTTACCAAGGCTGTTTAGCTTAACCTATAATTATTTCCTATCAGTTGATTGCATAAATATTTCACTTAATCCCTGTTCCCAGTGTTTGCTATTTTGATTGCTAGTTATTTATGGAGTAGTTTGTTTGTTGATCTATAAATAATTTGAAATGGTATTGTAATGGGGTTCAAAATGTTGTTGTAATGTGGTTTTATTTTTCAAAATTTTGAAATGCTTCTAAATTATTTATTATTTAACATCCAGGTATACAAGTGCATACTAAAATATGCGGAAAACTAAAGGCCATGTTGCACGGTACAATTTTTTTTGCAACTTGCAATGTTATTCTCCTTTTGAGGGATGTAAATTTGGCAACTACCAAACTTTGTCTTTATTACTCTCCATGGCGTTTCTTACAGTTACATTTTGAAGACTCTTCACTAATTTACATCACTAAAAAGTAAAATCGCGTTGGAAGTTGCAGGAAAATTACATGGTGCATGTAACATGGCCTTAACGTCTTTCGATTTATTTACATAGTTCTTTCAAAAATAACATGTAAAAGGATTTAGATTTTTACGTCATTCCGTGCGCGTACGTGCGTGAAAAGTAACCGGAAAGCAGCCTTAATTCGAAGCACTGGGGGGTTATGATATCTTCAGAGGCGTTCAATAGTCTTGTGGAACAGCTCCACTCAGTGGAGTGCAATATACCTTATTTAT